ATCAGAAATAATCAGCGTACCCGTCAACATTTCTCGGATGAAAACAGTAAAGGTAAAGGGACCCCTGACTGTTAGGTCCAGTCTACTATTATCTCTAATAACTATTAGTCTACGTGTTTTGTTTGTATTGTTGAGAGAGGGGAGATAGGGGATATTTTGGTCTTCCTCTGGTCACTGGTGTCATCGAAACCAGACATTTTCTCAACTGATTGGCAGTTTTTATTACATCCATGGGTAAAAATGAAAACGAGAGGAGGTCTCCCCTCACACTGTGAAACTTTCCAGCTCACTGTCTATCGACTTTATACAAACAGGAGTTCTGTTTTTTTTGGCAAAGGTGTTTTGTTTTGTTTTTAAAATTCATTTTGCAGAGAGTAACCGTTGCGACAACAGATGGACATTAGAAAGTGGAAAACAAAACTATAAAACACTGTGGGAGTCTCCATTGCACCGGGGTTAAAATAACAAAGTCCAAGACTATCGGCGTTATCTGATTATCAAGTTCAATTCCAGATTCGCCAGGCGTAGGTGGCCTTGAGAATGATGCCTCTGCTGTGTTGTGTACGAAATAAAGCGCGTCTGAAGATTCTAGTCCTCAGCCAAATCTCAAATTATGTGTCATTTTCTTCATATTCCTGATACCAAGTGCCCAGCGTCGGATTCTGGGCTGTTTTCCGCTGAGCGGCAATTCCTACTTGAGTTGCCAAGGTCATATATAAGACCAAAACCTTGTGATATTCGGTTGCTAATTTGTTTGTACAGTCATACCTTGGGTTACAGACGCTTCAGGTTGTGTTTTTTCGGGTTAGGGACCACCGAAACCCGGAAGTACCAGAACGAGTTACTTCCGGGTTTCGGAGGCCGCGCATGCGCAGAAGGGCTAGATCTCACTTTGCGCATGTGCCGAAGCACCGATTCACAACCTGCATGTGTGCAGATGCGCCGCTGTGGGTTGCGAACACTGTGGGTTGCGAACGTGCATCCCGCATGGATCACGTTCGCAACCCGAGTGTCCACTGTATTGCCTAAATACTGGCTTTTGGGATAGGGTTGGATATTTCATGATTTATCTGTATGATGTTATATTAAAAACACAGAGAGAGAGAGAGAGAGAGAGAGAGAGAGAGAGAGAGCGTGAGAGCGCAAAGCCTTGCTGGCTCAGACCTGAGACCCCAGAAGCATTACCTGGAAAAACCCAGACATCATCGGACTGGGCGCCACTCCATCGCCGGGGCCACATTTGCCATCACAGGACTGGGGAGCTCTGTCGAGAAAGAAAGGATAGCGGGTGGGTCAGAGCGACAAGTCACAAAATGTGCCACGATCTGTCCTGCGAACCTGCATTGTCAGGGTTGGACTAGATGACCCACCAGGTCCCTTTTAACCCTTGTGATTCTACTGTTCTGTTCTACGATTCCAATAATCCAGATTCGGAGAAAACAACATGGACCATAAATCCCGGGCCTGAGGGAGCCAGTTCTGGTATCTGAGGGGGTCTCAGAGATGAGGGTGGGCAACAGAGATGCTGATTTTATTTATTTCGCAAATGTATACACTGCTCAAGTGTGCAAAAACACACAAACACAACACCCTGAAAACAGTTAACAAAAAAAGAATATAAAATGAGAGAGAGAGAGAGAGAGAGAGAGAGAGAGAGAGAGAGAGGGAGGGATGAGAAGGAGGAAGAACTACGTATGCCATCTCAAGCTCCTTGGGGAATAGAGAGCCATGTGCTTAGAACAACAGACTTAGAACCATAGAATTGCAGAGTTGGAAGCGTCCCCCTGCAACACACAGATCTTTCACCCTGTTAACGGAGAAATCTGAGGGCTCCCTTGGACAAAAAGCAAGGACACCAGCCAGGAATACCAGAGCAAAACAGTAGCCAGTAGGCTTGGTCTTTATTGAAGACGGTCGCGACAGGACTCCCACCTGCCACAAGGTGGAACAAGATGGAAGCGCCGAACAAAAGAGAACCCCAACTTTTATTAGCTGCTAATCCCCATGTTACACCCCCCCAAACTACATCACTCATACATCATGGTTACATCATGAAAGGGGAGGTCTGGTGGCCGTAATCTGAGCATCCTGGACCCTGCCCCATGGTTCCCCTTGCCCTCCACCAAACACCCATCAAGTGTAACAAAAGAGATATTTACATTTCCCTGTTTCCCAGCCAAGTTCATCACACCCTTTTGTCTTCATCTGGGTTTGTTATTTCTGGAATGGCTACCTGTCTGGCACTTGGGTATCAGGATGCCAGGGATTATCACTCAGGCAGAGGGGCTGCTGAGGAGCTGAGCTCACATGTCTATATGAATTTCTGAAGTTTTCCTAGTGAGCCAGTACAGAGATACATCTATCAGTGAATTCTTACATTTGGTATCGTGCAGCAGAGACCCTTTGAATAGATAGGAAAAAACTGTGATGAAGTGTTTTTGTGGGGACAAATCGCAAAGGCCACAAAAGCGATTGTGCTGATTTTGGTAGTGGGTTGCATGTGCGCGATATCTGCTGGAGGGGCAACCCCCCCCACCTTTACATAAATTCCTGCAACAACGCAACGTGGGGCTCGAACCCACAAACCTGAGATTAAGCTTCACCGCTTAGCTGCTCCAGGAGCAATCAGATGCCATCCCTCCATCTCCGACACAGGGCACTGCTCATTTACTTTCCCTTTTTGTTTTGTCGGCCAACCTTGCAAGGATGTTGTGCCGGGTGGATTAAATGGGAAAGAACCATGTACAGCAAATTCAAGCTACTTCGGAGTGGGGTGGGGGAGTGGGGTGTATAACGCAACAAATAAGAGATAAACTAAAATGAGAATTTTTTTGTGTGCAGTTGCTAAGTGAGATGGGGAGAACGCGGGGAGAAATTGGTTCCTCGTAACAGCCTGGCAACTCAGCTCTGGAAAGGAAATCGGAGGGGGAAAGCTCCCGTTTGAAGGTGCAGGATGAGGCCTTTTGCCTTCTGGGCTGGCATTCCGGCAGACTGCAGCTTCTTTGCCGGGCTGGCTGGAAGCCCAGAGTTTATGCCCGTAGCTGATAGCCTCAAGGCCAGGGAAAGACACAGCGAGCTTATTCCAAGGCCGCCAACGAGGCAAAGGCTTCGGAGAACCCTCTGCAGAGGATGAGCAAATGAACTTGGAACCGTAGAAATGGAGAGCTGGAAGGGAACCCAGGGGTCATCTAGACCAACCCCTCCCCGCTGCAATGTTGACGCTGCTATTCCTCCCAGCCAGCAGAGGGAGGTTGGCCCAGGGGGAAAAGGCACCCAGATTTCCAGAAGTCGGGCCGGGAGAAGCGTTTGGGCGAGGATGAACTAGGGGCAGAGGGGTGTAGAGGGTCTCCGCTAGGGCCAGGGCCTTTTCAGTACTGGCCCCGACTTGGTGGAACACTCTTTCACAAGAGACCAGGGCCCTGAGGAACTTGACATCTTTCCACAGGGCCTGCAAGACAGAGCTGTTCCACCTGGCCTTTGGTTTGGACTCGGTCTGACCCTTATGTTTCCCTCCCCTTATGGTTTTGATCTATGGGCTACTTTTAAAATGAGGCTGCATTTTAAAGTGTATTTTAAATTGTTCTTTATTTCTATTATGTTTTTACTGTAATTTTACTGGTGTTAGCTGCCCTGAACCCGGCTCTGGCTGGGGAGGGTGGGGTATAAAAATTATTATTATTATTATTATGAGAAAGGGCAAGGCATGGAAACCCAGCCAACACATTTCCCTTGGCAATACGCTCCCTTTATTCATCGCCTTGAGGACTAACACCTTATATTGCAGGGGAAGGTGAGTAGCTCAGCAGCAAGTTCAATCCATGGCATTGAAACCTCAGAGAGCCGATGCCTCAGCTCAGTATACCTGAAAGAGCGTCTCCACCCCCATCGTCCAGCCCGGACACTGAATTCCAGCTCCGAGGGCCTTGTGGCGGTTCCCTCCCTGTGAGAAGTGAGGTTGCAGGGAACCAGGCAGAGGGCCTTCTCGGTGGTGGTGCCCTCCCTGTGGAACGCCCTCCTGCCAGATGTCAAGGAAACAAACAACTATCTGACTTTTAGAAGACATCTGAAGGCAGCCCTGTTGAGGGAAGTTTTTAATGTTTGGTGTTTTGTTGTGTTTTTAATATCCTGTTGGAAGCTGCCCAGAGTGGCTGGGGATATTATTATTATTATTATTATTATTATTATTATTATTATTATTCCTAAGTGAGATGGACCAATGTGCTGAGTTGGTTTAAGGTGGCTCCCAAACCAGATCCAGTAATTACAATTATAAGGGACCCTTAAGGCAACAGGCTGTTGATCGGGGAATGCTTTGCAGGCAGAATGTCCCAGGATTCAAATTCAGGACCTCCAGAACGAAAATATGTCCACTGCAGAAAACAGAACCACTGCTATCCAGAGGAGCAAAAACACTGGCTGCATGGATCAATGGTCTTACTCAGGGTAAAAGGAAAGGACCCCTGGATGGTTAAGTCCAGTCCAAGGCGACTATGGGGTTGCGGCGCTCATCTCGCTTTCAGGTCGAGGGAACCGGTGTTGTCCGCAGACGGCTTTCCGGGTCGTGTGTACCAATCTGTCAACTCCAGTTTCTCTCTGCCTCCCTTCGTAAGTGTATGCATATATTTATACAGTGGTACCTCGGGTTACGTACTTAATTCGTTCTGGAGGTCCGTTCTCAACCTGAAATTGTTCTTAACCTGAAGCACCACTTTAGCTAATGGGGCCTCCTGCTGCTGCCGTGCCACCGGAGCACGATTTCTATTCTCATCCTGAAGCAAAGTTCTTAACCTGAAGCACTATTTCTGGGTTAGAAGAGTCTGTAACCTGAAGCGTATGTAACCCGAGGTACCACTGTATATGGAATTGCTTTTACGTTAACACTAATCGTTTCGAACCGTTTCCTTATTCCAGATGTTTTCACTGCGAAAGTCCTTTGAGATATTCCAGTGGGGAGAGATTCGCAATAAATAAACCGTTCTGGTGTGGGCAGTCGTAATTCCTCCTGACTGAGATAGCTCAGTCGGCACACGGTGAGACTTTTAATCTCGGGTCGCGAGTTCGAGTCCCGCGTTGGGCAAAACGCTCCTACATTGCAGGGGGTGGGACCACAATTCTAGGATACTTCCAAGATTCCCCAGGATTTTATAGAAGGTATTCGGAACAGCTGGATGAAACATTAGAAATCTCCAATGGATTTGGGGACAGATTTGGGTTGGGTGTTCTCTGTGTTGGGTAAAAGATGGTGGAGAGGCTGTTTGCAGCCCTTAAACTTTACCTGTGGAATGAAGAACATAGACAAGACCTATTTGGAGAATTTTTTATTGCTCTTTTCATTACTCCCCACCCGTCTCCAGATAAATCTTATATAAATAATACAAACCAACAGCACGTCCAAAACACTGGTGACACAAACGAGAATAAGTTAACAATAAATAAGAGGACTGGGTTTTAAAAACACACACACACATATTTAGAACCACAAAACAGGTTGGGGTTTTTTGACAGGTGTTCAGAGAACAGGGGGACATGATCAAACTCATCTCTCTCTCACACCCCCCCCCCGCAAGACCCTGCTTTTGACATATACGCCCTCAAAGAACCCCAGAATTACTAGTTATCCTCTACATTTAATACCACCCACTTATAAATAAAGCTCTTTGTTTCCTGCATTAAAGTGCTTGTAATCTGTAATGGTGTTTTGCTGACACTGCAATGCCCCATTGGTTGGGTTTTTAGGGGACCAACCCTGATTGGTTGGGACGGACTTTTGAGATAAGAGGCACCGTATTTTTTGCTCTATAAGACGCACCAGACCACAAGACGCACCTAGTTTTGGAGAAGGAAAACAAGAAAAAAATTATTCTGAATCTCAGAAGCCAGAACAGCAAGAGGGATCGCTGGGCAGTGAAAGCAGCAATCCCTCTTGCTGTTCTGGCTTCTGGGATAGCTGCGCAGCCTGCATTCGCTCCATAAGACGCACACACATTTCCCCTTACTTTTTAGGAGGGAAAAAGTGAGTCTTATAGAGCAAAAAATACGGTATTTGGTTGGGACAGGGTTTTGTGAAAAGAGACCCCAGTTGGGATGGGCTTTTGATAAAAGTGGTCCCTGGTTTCCTAGGACAGACTTTCGAGAAAAGATGGCCTAGATAAGATAGGTCCTTGATCCCAGATTGGTTGGGAAGGGCTTTCGGAAAAATAGGTCCCTGACTGGTTGCGATGGTCTTTTAGGAAATGAGGTCCCTGATGGGTTGGGACGGGCTCTTGATAAAAGAAGTCCCTGGTTGGCTAGGACAGACCTTCGAGAAAAGATGGCCTAGATAAGATAGGTCCTTGATCCCTGATTGGTTGGGAAGGGCTTTCGGGAAAATAGGTCCCTGACTGGTTGCGATGGTCTTTTAGGAAATGAGGTCCCTGGTGGGTTGGGATGGGCCTTTGATAAAAGAAGTCCCTGGTTGGCTGGGACAGACTTTCGAGAAAAGATGGCCTAGATAAGATAGGTCCTTGATCCCTGATTGGTTGGGAAGGGCTTTCAGGAAAATAGGTTCCTGATTGGTTGGAATGGTCTTTTAGGAAATGAAGCCCCTGATGGGTTGGGACGGGCTTTTGATAAAAGAAGTCCCTGATTGGTTAAGACAGACTTTTGAGAAAAAATGACCTAGTAGTAAAAAGGAGCTGCCAATTGGGCAATGCACTGGCAAGAAGAGGCAATGTTCAGCACGCACACATCCTCCCGAAAAGTGCTGTTTTGCACCAGAGATGGCACTGAGCGTGGGCTGTTCCTATTGTCCCCTTGCTCCGGACAGACAGGACGCCGCTTCCTGCAGAGCCCCTCGCTCCGCCCTTGCCGGGCTGCTATGCACAATGGCAACGTGTGACGATCATGTCGTCGAAGAGCTGCGTGACCACCTTCCCATCGCTGGCGTAGTGCATGAGGACCATGGGTTCGTAGGCGGCGGGGACGCAGCAGGGGGCTGGCGTCTCCCCGGACAGGCTATGGAGTCTGGCCTTGATCTGGGCATGCATACTGGCCGGCTTGTAGTTGTGGGGGCACGAACCCTCGCAGAACCTCATGGAGTAGCTGCTGGGTGCCAGCACCCAGTCGGACCACCCGATGTCAGCAAAGGAAACCTTGAGCGAGCGGAGGCAGCATTTGGTGTCGCCTTTGCCGCACTCCTCGTCCAGCTGCCTCCGCTTCCGGATACGCCTGAGCTCCTGCGTCTCGACCTCCAAGGGGAGCCACTCTCTCCCTTCCAGGACGGAGGCAGCCTCATCCGTGGGAAACTCCAGGCCCAAATGGAGCCTCGGGTTGGGCCCAGCTAGCCACTGCCCCACGGCGTCTCTGAGGCTGAGGACGGGTGTGGTCCTCGAGACCACCTGGGAGGCCAGGAGCGTGGAGGTTTCTCGATCCCCACCGGCCAGTCTGTAGATGTTGACGCGAGCCAACCTGGTCGAGTTGAGCTGGGAGATGCTGGGGACGTCCGATAACTTCTTGGACAGAGACAGCTCAGCCCGAAAGACGTGGAGGTCCCGGCTGAGTGCTGCTGTCCTGGAGACTTCCAGGCTGTATAGGGGCCTGAGTGGGTCGCTGTTGACCCCTGGACCTGCAGCCAATCCATGGCCCAGAAGCTTAACTGTGGAGAGAATGAAGAGAGGAAGATGTCAGGAGCGAGCCAGCAATAAATCACACAGAGTAGGCGATGTTAACTCTTTATTAGCAAGAACAAAATCTTTTTGTTATTATTAATTTCTGATACACACAATACAATAATACACAAAGATACAAAACACAAAGATATAAAAGAAACACTCTACAAAAGAAAACCACAAAAAATAATATGCCGTATTTTTTGCTCTATAAGACTCACCTTTTCCCCTCCTTAAAAGTAAGGGGGAAAGGGTGTGCGTCTTATGGAGCGAATGCAGGCTGCGCAGCTATCCCAGAAGCCAGAACAGCAAGAGGGATTGCTGCTTTCACTGCGCAGCGATCCCTCTTGCTGTTCTGGCTTCTGAGATTCAGAATATTTTTTCCTTGTTTTCCTCCTCCAAAAAATAGGTGCGTCTTGTGGTCTGGTGCGTCTTATAGAGCGAAAAATACGGCAGATGAAATTACATTCCCACCACCCATGCTTCGCTCCCCTCCACCACACCCCAATTTCTGTTTTCTATTATGTTAAATCATTGCATTGCATTTCTTATCTGATTTTCTTTCATATTCCATTTGCACATCATTCTTCTTATACATTCTATAGTCTTAATCTATACATATCAACATATTATTTTGTGAACAGTGTTTATATAATCTTCAAAGCATTTCCATTGCAATCTTAACTTTTGATTTGACTAGCAAGAACACAGTCTGCACAGAAAATCTAACAGAAAATCTAATTTTTTTGAAGAACAGAAGTCCTTTTCAGATTATTTGAAGAAAAATTACATCAGGAAGAATCTGCGACCAGGTTTTGAGCTATGAGCAGCAGAAAGAATGAGAGGCTATTGTGTTACGATTATGATTTTTTAAAAGAGAGTGAAGATGCAGCAAAATTGGAGAGGGATAAGGAAAACGTCTCGGAAGCCGAAAATAGAAAAGAAATCTCTTTTTTAAATGCATTTGGAATTTTCTGTGTAAATTTTGCAAAATTTAATAAAAATATTATTAAAAAGAAAGAGAGAGAGAGAAAAAACGACAGTCAAATGAAACCACGATCAGGATTCGAATAGCAGGCTAGGGAAGGAGAATAAATAGATGACAGTAATATAAGTCACAATGCAGTATAAAATAAATGGCAGTTACGGCAGCTTGTAAAGGAATACAATAGGAGCATCACAGCTGGGAAATCGAAACGTAAGGAATTATGAGATTGAAAGTGAACTGAAGGATGTCAAATTTTGTGTAAAAAGCTTTATGGATGCAATGAAGCTTACCTTTCGCTCTCAAGGTATGAACAGTTTTTGCTGCTGGTGGCAAGGTCTGGTTCGCTCTGAGTTGTGCCAGCATCTCCCGGTAGACCAGGTGAGCCTCTTGCAGCTCACCTTGACCCAAAGCCCCTCGGACGCTGGGAGGTTTCTCCATCTCAAGCCGCTCCAGGATGCTTTGTTTGACAGCCTCCAGTTGCGGGTGGGTGTCTTGGGGGCCGTGGGGTCGCAGGTCAACCACACCGGACAGGTGAGACTGCAGGAACAGCACCCAGAGGCTGGTGGCAAGGCGAGAGGCTCCGGGCATCGTGGTTGGAAGTCAGAGACTTTGGAGGTGGCAAATTTCTCCAGCGAGCTGTGCTTGGCTGGCCCAGACCTTTGGTTTTATACCCGAGGCGAAGTTAAGTCACCAATGACGTGGAGGTACTGTAAACAGAGAAAAGGAAAAAAAAAAAAATTTTGACAGTTGGCTGTGTGTGTTTTTCTTCCTTTTTTTTCTTCCTTGGAGCAGGCAGGTTTATAATAACTCGAAGATGCTTGGGGTAGGTGTGGCCAAAGACCAGGTCTTCTGTCCTCTGCGGCAGTGCCCAACAGGACAGCGATTTTTGGGAAGCCGCAAAGCGGCAACAGAGCACGGCAGCAGCAACGGTTGCATTTCCCTAGGGAGGTTGTGGACTCTTCTTCCTTGTGGGTTTTTCAGCAGAGGTCGGATGGTCATCTGCCGTGGGTGCTTGAGCCGAGATTCCTGCATTGCCGGGGTTGGGCTGGATGACCCTTGGGTGTCCCACGCAACTCTAGTTCTATGATTTCCATCTGTGGTTTCCAGGTACTGGGTCTCAGAGGCGTACTCTCGGCTCAAGCATCCAGGACAGATGACCGTCCAACCTCTGCTGGAAAACCTCCAAGGGAGACCGTTCCACTGACGAACAGCTCCTACCACCAGAAAGTTCTTCTTCATATTTAGCTGGAACCTCCTTTCTTGTAACTTGAAGCCGTGGGTTCGAGTCCTACCCTCCAGAGCTCAGGCTTGCAAAGTGACGGGTTAATAATAATAATAATAATTTATTATTTATACCCCCACCCATCTGGCTGGGCTTCCCCAGCCACTCTGGGCGGCTTCCAACAAAATATTAAAATACAGTAATGCATCAAACATTAAAAGCTTCCCTAAACAGGGCTGCCTTCAGATGTCTTCTAAAAGTCTGGTAGTTGTTGTTCTCTTTGACATCTGGTGGGAGGGCGTTCCACAGGGCGGGTGCCACCACCGAGAAGGCCCTCTGCCTGGTTCCCTGTAACTTGGCTTCTCGCAGGGAGGGACCCGCCAGAAGGCCCTTGGCGCTAGAGTTCAAATCGGGCTTTCAGCCTGATCCAAGAAGGTTCTCTTTGTGGTTCACTCCTTCTCCAAACGAGCCTTTGGCTTTTGCTTTTCTGGCAACTGGTCTGAACGCAAAGAGACGGGTTCCAAAGCCAGAGACGGGTTCCAATCAGCCTCCAAACATGGCCATTTTGTATGTCCAACTAAGACCAGGATGGGGGCAGGGGGGTCACCTGTGGCCCCCTCCATATGTGTTTGGCCTCCGAGATCCCACAAAACTCGGCTGAATCGGTCAAGAATGATCAGGAATGATAGGAGAGCCTACCAACATTACACTGCAGGGGGTTGGACTAGATGACCCCTGGGTCCCTTCCAACTCTGCAATCGCATAATTCTGATGTTCCCTTCCTTTGATGCGAGGCTTCCTTTCAGAACCCCCGGCCCAAACCGGATCGCACCCTTTCCAAAGGGGCTGGAATGTCAAGTGTTTTTTTGGGAATCTGGGCCTCCTTTTTCCATCCAAATATTTTTGCGGTGATTCGGCGCCTTCCATTATTGGGTAAGTCGGTGGTGAACTTTCGTGAAGCCGCAGAGTCTTCGTTCCGAAAATGCCGGCTGGGCGATTTACAAGGCAGCGGAAGCCATAAAACAGGCCCGGGTGATCCGTGTGGAATGAACCCGTCCAAACATTGGAGACGAGAGGGATGTTGATTCACGAGGCGTCATTGCCACTGCATCCCATACGCCTCCCCTTCGCCCATCACTAGGGGACCTGCAACCCGAAAACCCTTCCCTGGAGGAAAACAAGACTCTCACAATCATTTCACAACCTCCCCTCCGGAACTAGGAACAAATTCCTCACCATATTTGAGAAGCCGCGAGCCAATTCTGTTGGCTGTTGAAAGCATGGCTTTGGAGCTGTTTGCGAATGTTTCGCCTCTATGAGACCAGAGGGCTGTTCCTTATAGGGTGGGGATTAGCTTTATGGGGGGCTGGTTTGGGGGGAGCGGGGCCTCGCAGGACGTGGCCCAGGTCCCCAAATCATGTTTGTTTGTTTTTTAATGACCTGTGCAGCCAATTGATTTAGAGGGGGGAATCTGAATTGGTTTCTCTCAGACGTCCCTGGAGAATTGAAGCTTCTGAGACGTTTGTTGTGCAAAGCGGATGCTGTTCCCAAAGACTGCAGCCTTCTCACAAAGAAAGCATGTCATTTCAGCAGTTCGAAAGCACGTCAAAGTGCAAGTAGATAAATAGGTACCGCTCCGGCGGGAAGGTAAACGGCGTTTCCGTGCACTGCTCTGGTTCACCAGAAGCGGCTTAGTCCTGCTGGCCACATGACCCGGAAGCTGTACGCCGGCTCCCTCGGCCAGTAAAGCGAGATGAGCGCCGCAACCCCAGAGTCGTCCACGACTGGACCTAATGGTCAGGGGTCCCTTTACCTTTACTAAAAGGGCAGTGAAAACAGCCCGGGAGGTGTCAGCGAGACGCTCAAAAAGCGTTGAGATTCCTCCCTGTGGAACACCCTCCCACCAGATGTCAAAGAGAACAACAACTACCAGACTTTTAGAAGACATCTGAAGGCAGCCCTCTTTAGGGAAGCTTTTAATGTTTGATGTATCACAGTATTTTAATATTCTTTTGGAAGCCGCCCAGAGTGGCTGGGGAAGCCCAGCCAGATGGGCGGGGTATAAATAATAAATTATTATTATTATTATTATTATTATTACAGCAGAAGAATTCATCGAGGTTGCTTCCAGGCAAAAGTCAAACTCCGCTGCTGCAGCTCCATAGAGATTCTTTCCATTCCAGAAATCCATCGTCATAATTGATGGAGGCGAGCGGAGGACCAAAAGGCCAGTTTTGACCTGGATCCCACCCAACCATGGAGGAGTTGATGAACCTACTTCTCTGCATGGCAATGCCAAAAACAGAACATTTATATATGGGAGTAGTTGTAGGTGGGACGCGGGTGGTGCTGTGGTTAAACCACAGAGCCTAGGACTTGCCGATCAGAAGGTCGGCGGTTCGAATCCCCACGACGGGGTGAGCACCCGTTGCTCGGTCCCTGCTCCTGCCAACCTAGCAGTTCGAAACCACGTCAAAGTACAAGTAGATAAATAGGTACCGCTTCGGCGGGAAGGTAAATGGCGTTTCCGTGCGCTGCTCTGGTTCGCCAGAAGCGGCTTAGTCCTGCTGGCCACATGACCCGGAAGCTGTACGGCGGCTCCCTTGGCCAGTAAAGTGAGATGAGCAACCCCAGAGTCGGTCACGACTGGACCTAATGGTCAGGGGTCCCTTTACCTTTACCAGATGGCCCCCTGTCATGGATGCTTTAGCCGAGATTCCTGCATTGCAGGGGGCTGGACTAGATGACCCTTGGCTCCCAACTCTTAAGATTCTATGATTCTATGGTTCTCTCCATTGATGAGTGCCCAGGTACTCTGCAGATGGGCAGAGGCACGCTTTCTCTCTCCTATTTATGACTGTAAACCACCTTTTGCATTAAAAAAAAAGGAAGTGTGGTACTTTATAGCATTATTATGAATATTTGGGCTGCATCTGATTCTGGTGCCAGTAAAAGCATCCATGTAAAAAAGCAATAAATACTTCACGTAGATAAAACCAAGTAGATTGTGGGTGTGCTGTTTTAAGCACATCTGCACCGTTTACAAACGCAAACAAGCAACTTATTCACAAGAGGGCGCGCCCTTCCTCCGACGAACCTTTTGCTTTAAGGAAATAAGAAAACTTCAACTCCCAGCAGAACTTGCGGCCACCCGACCCTTTCCTTTCGCTTTGCGAACGAACGCAAGGCACCACGGGACTCGTAGTTCCCGCGCCCTCTCGTTCCGGCTTCCCGTCGCCATGGCGACCGCGCGCCTCCGAACACGTGGAGCTTGACGAGCCCGCCCTTGGTCTCCTGGCGGCGGGCGTGGAGTGGAAATCGAGGCCCAGGCTTCGGCGGGGCGTGCTAGGCCGCACCCCGCTATAAAAGCCACCTGGGGGGGCAGGTCTTCCTTTCCCTGGAAGCCATGAAGCGGGTGGTGGCTGCGGGGCTGGTGCTCTGCCTCTTGCTCCTCTGGGGCCGGTTCTCCCGAGGGGGCGCGGGGCCGCGCGTCTACCTGAGCAGCTGGGCGGTGCGCGTCCCCGCGGGAGCCCAGGTGGCGCAGCGCCTGGCGCGCAGGCATGGGATGCTTTACCTGGGACAGGTGAGGGTGGCTTGCATCTACCTGGGCAAGGAGAGCAGCAGCCATCCTTCTCCCCAGTGAAATAGGCTGGGGAGAATAATAATAATAATAATAATAAATAATGTGTCCCCCACCCATCTGACTGCCCTTCCCCAGGGATGAGAAGGGATAGGAAAGATGGGGCCAATTTCTTTCCCTGGAAGGAGTCGGGTCGAGTGTGGCCTCTGAGCACGCACGGAGTGCATTCTGCACTGGAAGATTTGGTGCCAGCGGCGGGTGGCTGCCCGGTTGTCCCAATATGGAGGTTTGATTGAGCCAGGTTGATGGGATCGGTGCGACCCACTGGCAGTCCCAAGGCTCTGCCCTCCTAGTTCGGGTCGAGTGTGGCATCTGAGCACGTGTAGAGTGCTTTTGCACCGAAAGACTTGGTGCACCCAGACCCAACGCCCACCCGGAGCAGCGTCCAGGTTTTGCGAGCGGCCCGATAGGCTGCTCTTGGACATGGAGGTTTGATTGAGCCGGGTTGACGTGATTGGGGCAACCCACAAGCTCTGCCATCCTAGGTCGGGTTGAGCGTGGCCTCTGAGCATATGTGGAGTGCCTTCTGCACCGAAAGACTTGGCGCACCCAGACCGAACAGTCTCAAAGCTCTGCACACCTAGGTCTGGTCCTTACAGATAGACTGCATCTGAGTATGGGGTTTCCACTTAGTCTTGGCGGCTGATAGCGCCCGGTTGCGGCATCTCAATGCATTAGTTCAGGGAAGTTTTTAATGTGTGACATCTTAGTGTATTTTTGGTCTTTGTGGAAGCCGCGCAGAGTGGCTGGGGAAACCCAGCCAGATGGGCGGGGTACAAATAATAAATTATTACTATTATTGTTGTTGCCGCTGTTGTGTCTTGCGGTGGTGTAGTTGCCTTTAAGCAGCAGAAAAAACTATGCATTCCTTTTTGTGTGTTTTGTTTTGTTTGTGGGCAAAGTGCCTCTGGACCTATGAGGAATGCCGTAATTGTAACAGCTAATAACTCTTCTGTGATAAAACACACACACAAACACAGAATCAGAAGTGTAGCGTTGGAAGGCACCCCAGAGCTCATCTAGTCCAACCCGCTGCAATGCAGGAATCTTAGCTAAAGCACCCAGGGCCCATCAGTGTGTAGATATTGCTGGACTCAGCCATGCGAGCGAAACGAAATCGGTCCATGCCCAAGGGAGCTTCCAATTGAAAATTCAACACAGGGTGGCTATTGAGAATGGTAAGAAATATGGGCTGCATCTGCCAGAGTCGGCATGTTGTTGTTGTTGAGTCGTTTAGTCGTGTCCGCCTCTTCGTGACCCCCTGGACCAGAGCACGCCAGGCCCTCCTGTCTTCCACTGCCTCCCGCAGTTTGGTCAAACTCATGCTGGTAGCTTCTATAACACTGTCCCACCATCTCGCCCTCTGTCGTCCCCTTCTCCTTGCGCCCTCCATCTTTCCCAACATCAGGGTGTTTTCTGGGAGTCTTCTCTTCTCATGAGGTGGCCAAAGTCTTAGAGCCTCAGCTTCAGGATCTGTCCTTCCAGTGAGCACTCAGGGCTGATTTCCTTCCGAATGGAGAGGTTTGATCTTCTTGCAGTCCATGGGACTCTCAAGAGTCTCCTCCAGCACCAGAATTCAAAAGCATCAATTCTTCGGCGATCAGCCTTCTTTATGGTCCAGCTCTCACTTCCATACATCACTACTGGGAAAACCAGAGCTTTAACTATACGGACCTTTGTTGGCAAGGTGATGTCTCTGCTTTTTAAGATGCTGTCTAGGTTTGTCATTGCTTTTCTCCCAAGAAGCAGGCGTCTTTTAATTTCGTGCCTGCTGTCACCATCTGCAGTGATCATGGAGCCCAAGAAAGTAAAATCTCTCACTGCCTCCATTTCTTCCCCTTCTATTTGCCAGGAGGTGAGCGGCCCAGTGGCCATGATCTTCGTTTTATTGATGTTGAGCTTCAGACCATATTTTGCGCTCTCCTCTTTCACCCTCATTAAAAGGTTCTTTAATTCCTCCTCACTTTCTGCCATCAAGGTTGTGTCATCTGCATATCTGAGGTTGTTGATATTTCTTCCGGCATACCGGAAGAGTTGTCATAGCCTTCCATTTTTGAGGTTTCCTTCTAAATGGTAGTCTTTCACCCCCCCCCCCAAAATCGTGCCCCCAAACCAATCCACAGCACCGTTGCTGGCGTCCGTCTCGAGAGACAATGGAGTGCGCCTCCGGCAGTGAAGTCAAACCGCTGCGTTGGCAGCATCGAAGTAACTTTCCCAAGGTGCAAGTCTGGGCCGTGTGTCTGGAGGTCCCGGGCAGCCCAGACGACAAGACCCCCTCCTTGACCTCAAATATGGGGTCCGAAGGAAAGCAGAGCGAGATGTTTGGCACCAGCTTGGCTGCAGGAATTGCCAGAAGGAGGCGTACAGGGCGCCATCCAACCGTCTCTGGATCTGTGTCGGATTTCCTCCCGTGCTTTTTCTTTTCCCAAAGATATCCCCGTAAAGCAGTCGAGGCTTAGGGTCAGAGCTCGTGGGGGGGAAAATACCTTCTTGACTGTTGGACCCATCCTTGGTCGCACCAACACCATCTCCAGGAACTTGTCTTGCAAAAATACCGTATTTTTCGCTCCATAGGACGCACTTTTTCCCCTCCAAAAATGAAGGGGAAATGTGTGTGCGTCCTATGGAGCGAATGCAGGCTTTCGCTGAAGCCTGGAGAGCGAGAGGCATCGGTGCGCACCGCCCCCTCTCGCTCTCCAGGCTTCAGGAAGCTATCCGCAAGCCTTGCACGCCCGGTGGGAGTTCCCGCGGGCTCACAAGGCTTGCAGGCAGCAGCCTGCAGCCCCGGCGAGTGTCCGCAAGCCTTGCGCGCCCGGCAGGAGGTCCCGCCGAGCGCGCGAGGCTTGGGGCAGCAGCCTGTCGCCCGAAGCACGGGGAGCCCTCCGGAGGGCTCCCGTGCTTCGGGCGAGTGTCTGCAAGCCTTGCGCGCCCGGCAGGAGGTCCCGCCGAGCGCGCGAGGCTGGGGCTGCAGCCTGTCGCCCGAGCACGGGAGCCCTCCGGAGGGCTCCCGTGCTTCAGGCGAGTGTCTGCAAGCCTGCGCGCCCGGCAGGAGGTCCCGCCGAGCGCACGAGGCTTGGGGCTGCAGCCTGTCGCCCGAAGCACAGGGAGCCCTCCGGAGGGCTCCCGTGCTTGGGGCGACTGTCTGCAAGCCTTGCGCGCCCGGCAGGAGGTCCCGCCGAGCGCGCAAGGCTTGGGGCTGCAGCCTGTCGACCGAAGCACGGGAGCCCTCCGGAGGGCTCCCGTGCTTCGGGCGAGTGTCTGCAAGCCTTGCGCGCCCGGCAGGAGGTCCCGCCGAGCGCGCGAGGCTTCGGGCGGCAGCCGCGGGGGGGGGAGGAATAATTTTTTTTATTCATTTCCCCCCCCAAAAAACGAGGTGCGTCCTATGGGCCGGTGCGTCCTATAGAACGAAAAATACGGTAGGTTTTTTTATTCATTGCGTCTATATCGCAAATTTCCTCCCCACTGTATCTTCTCAACAACCCTAGGCCGAAAAGGAAGAACAGGTCACCCAGTGAGTTTCATGACTGAGTGGGGACTTGCACCCCAGGTGCTAATCTGACACTCTTAACCCAGGGGTCAGCAAACTTTTTCAGTAGGGGGCCAGTTCACTGTCCCTCAGACCTTGTGGGGGGCCGGACTATATTTTTTGGGGGCAAATGAACGAATTCCTGTGCCCCACAAATAACCCAGAGATGCATTTTAAATAAAAGCGTACATTCTACTCATGTAAAAACACCAGGCAGGCCCCACAAATAACCCAGAGATGCATTTTAAATAAAAGCGTACATTCTACTCATGTAAAAACACCAGGCAGGCCCCACAAATAACCCAGAGATGCATTTTAAATAAAAGGACACAATCTACTCATGTAGAAACACGCTGATCCCCGGACCGTCCGCGGGCTGGGTTGATAAGGCGATTGAGCCGGATCCGTCCCCTGGGCCTTAGTTTGCCTACCCATGGGATAAAAAGGGTAAAAAGACCCCTGACCATTAGGTCCAGTCATGACCGACTCTGGGGTTGCGGTGCTCATCTCGCTTTACTGGCCGAGGGAGCTGGCGTACAGCTTCCAGGTCATGTGGCCAGCAGGACTAAGCCGCTTCTGGCGAACCAGAGCAGCACACGGAAATGCCGTTTACCTTCCCGCCAGAGCAATACCTATTTATCTACTTGCACTTTGACGTGCTTTTGAACTGCTAGGTGGGCAGGAGCTGGACCGAGCAACGGGAGCTCACCCCGTCGCGGGGATTCGAACCGCCGACCTTCTGATCAGCAAGTCCTAGGCTCTGTGGTTTAACCCACATCGCCACCTGCGTCCCTATCCCTGGGACAGGTCTTCCTTTTTGCCACTGCCCTCCTTCTGTGTCTTAAAAATGCTCCCTTTCCTCCGAGCTGAAGTTTCCCCCTTGCCTTTTTCAGTCCTGTTGGCCAAGGAGGAGGGGAAAGCTCACCCTAAGACTTCCTGATTCTTCCTTTTGTTCTGGCAGGTGATCGAGGGGGAGCCTTATTACCACCTGAAGCACAGAGGCATCGTACAGAGGTCACTGACTCGACACTGGGGCTGGCACATCCGTCTGAAGAGAGAGCCTCTGGTAAGCCGAGCGAATTGTGGAAGGGGGCTGCAGGAAGAGAGAGACTCAGCTCCTTTTACCTTGGTTCTATCCACTTTGTTTTTGTTTAGTCGTTTAGTCGTGTCCGCCTCTTTGTGACCCCCTGGACCAGAGCACGCCAGGCACTCCTGTCTTTCAGTTTCTCCCGCAGTTTGGTCAAACTCATGTTCGTAGCTTCGAGAACACTGTCCCACCATCTCGTCCTCTGTCGTCCCCTTCTCCTTGTGCCCTCCATCTTTCCCAACACCAGGGTCTTTTCCAGGGAGTCTTCTCTTCTCCTGAGGTGGCCAAAGTCTTGGAGCCTCAGCTTCAGGATCTGTCCTTCCAGTGAGCACTCAGGGCTGATTTCCTTCCGAATGGAGAGGTTTGATCTTCTTGCAGTCCATGGGGCTCTCAAGAGTCTCCTCCAGCACCAGAATTCAAAAGCATCCATTGTTCGGCAATCAGCCTTCTTTATGGTCCAGCTCTCACTTCCATACATCACTACTGGGAAAACCATAGCTTGAACTAGATGGACCTTTGTTGGCAAGGTGATGTCTCTGCTTTTTAAGATGCTGTCTAGGTTTGTCATTGCTTTTCTCCGAAGAAGCAGGCGTCTTTTAATGCATAGCCAGCAGTAAATTTCATATCAACTCTACACTGCATGCAATCTTGACAGGCAGCCCATAAGATCATACTGGCATCACTGGGGTGGCGAGCGAGGAGGGAAACACTTTTTAAAACGCCTGTCATTTTGCCTGTAGGTCCCTTGGTTTGAACAGCAGACAGCGAAGAGGCGAGTGAAGAGAGCCGTCACAGTCGTCCCCACTGATCCGTGGTTTTACAAGCAGTGGTACATAGTGAGTGTCATCAGATACGGTCTGGGGCACTGGCAAAGATTCAGAGGAGGGTACGCAAGGAGCTCAGAGGCACTCAGGCAGGGGTAGGCAACCTAAGGCCCGTGGGCCGGATGCGACCCAATCGCCTTCTCAATCTGGCCCATGGACGGTCCAGGAATCAGTGTGTTTTTACATGAGTAGAATGTGTGCTTTGATTTTAAATGCATCTCTGGGTTATTTGTGGGGCCTGCCTGGTGTTTTTAGATGAGTAGAATGTGTCCTTTGATTTTAAATGCATCTCTGGGTTATTTGTGGGGCATAGGAATTCGTTCATTCCCACCCCCAAAATATAGTCCGGCCCACCACATGGTCTGAGGGATGGCGGACCGGCCCACGGCTGAAAAAGGTTGCTGACCCCTGGGCTCAGGGGTTGGCCCGAGAGGTTGCTGGGAGAAATGGCGCAAATGTTTTTATTATTGTTTCGATTTCGATTTTATATATTGTGATCTTTTCTGGGAACCGCCCCAAGACCTCCGGGTATAGGGCAGAATATAAAATCAATAAATAAAATAAGAAATAAATAAGTAAAGGACTTGATTTAAATCATTTTATTTTTACAGACAGACTCTTTCTTTGCAACCAGATGAAAGTTTCATTTTTTGGAATAATAAATTTTCAGAGTGGTTTTTGCTGTTATATCAGAAATGACTGATTTGGTTATACTGTTAGAAACACATAGACAGATAATTATGAAATTATCGTGAGGTTTAATAAGTTAACTGTTTGGACAACTTTTCTGCTGTACTTTATTGGAAGGAGAAAAGCAACCATTTCCTTAATAACAATTTGAACAATTTATTTAACGAAAACAATAACGTTATAGCCTATGTATCCATGTTGTTTAACCACATCAGTTAACAAACATGGATACATAGGCTATAACGTTATTGTTTCCGTTAAATAAATTGTTCAAATTGTTATTAAGGAAATTATGTTTTTCAATTGTTTAAATTGAAAAAAGAAACTTAGACTGAGACGGAAAAACTTAAAACAAATCCTTATTTCCTGATGAACTTTGGACTACAATGTAACTTAATGTAATGTAACTTATATAATGTAACCTATAGCCTTTGGACTATAATGTAACTTAAATAGAAAACTATCATTGGAAAGATTCCCCCCCCCCCCAAAGCATTTTATTTTAAAGATCTGATTTTAATTCAAAAAATCTGATTTAAATAAAGAAAATTCGATTTTTTAAAAAGTCAGATTTTTTAAAAATCATTGATTTTTATCCACCTTGCTCCTTTGAAAAGATGGGTTGAGAGAGCAAAACAGAACAGCAAAGCCGACCACATTTTCCTGCCGTCTTTTGTACTCTTCTGTTTCAGAACAGCGATGTGTTTCCGGACCTCAACGTCCTCTCAGCCTGGAGCCAGGGCTATACGGGCTCTGGGGTGGTGGTGAGCATCTTGGATGACGGTATTGAGAAGGACCACCCTGACCTCGTAGCAAACTATGTAGGTAGAATCGGGGTCCCTTGTCTAGGGAGGGGGAGAAACACAGTTCAGCTCACAGTGATCCATGCGACGGTCACCTCCAGGCTTGACTACTGTAATTCGCTCTACGCGGGGCTGCCCTTGAAGCTGTCCCAGAAACTCCAGCGGGTGCAGAATTCTGCAGCGAGGCTCCTCACGGGGTCTCTGCCATGGGAGCATATTCACCCAGTGCTTTTCAAGCTGCACTGGCTCCCGGTGGAGTACAGGGTCAGATTTAAGGTGCTGGTTTTGACCTTTAAAGCCCTGTGTGACCTAGGACCCTTGTACCTACGGGACCGCCTCTCTCGGTATGCCCCACGGAGATCCTCAAGGTCCATAAATAGCAACACCCTAGTGGTCCCGGGCCCTAAGGAAGTTAGATTAGCTTCAACCAGAGCCAGGGCCTTTTCAACACTGGCCCCGGCCTGGTGGAGCGCTCTGTCTCATGAGACCAGGGCCCTGCAGGATCTGATTTCTTTCCGCAGAGCCTGTAAGTCAGAGTTGTTCCGCCTGGCCTTTGGCTTGGAGCCAATTTGATTCCCTCCCCCTCTTTCTTTTTTCTTTTTCCTTTCTCCTCCTGTGATGAGGCTGCATTTTAATATTTTAATGTTTCAATATTTTGATTGTTGTATTTTAATCTTGCTTTTAAGTTGTATTCATTCAACTTGTTTTTATAATTGCTTGTTAGCTGCCATGAGCCCGGCCTTGGCTGGGGAGGGCGGGGTATAAATAAAAATTATTATTATTATTATTATTATTATTATTATTATTTAATTCACGTTTTCTGAAACGATAAACAAACTGAAACAGTCTTTCTTCTTCATGTGCCTCCTTCACGAGAGGGTGGCAACACAAGAACAGGGCCTTTTCTGCGGTGGCTCCCCGTTTGCCTCCCAGTACACTGTACGTTTCCAAGCACAATTCAAAGTGTTGGTGCTGACCTTTAAAGCCCTAAACGGCCTTGGTCCAGTATATCTGAAGGAGCGTCTCCACCCCCATCGTTCTACCCGGACACTGAGGTCCAGCGGTTCCCTCGCTGCGAGAAGCGAAGTTACAGGGAACCAGGCAGTGGGCCTTCTCGGTGGTGGCACCCACCCTGTGGAACGCCCTGCCACCAGATGTCAAAGAGGAAAACAACAACCAGACTTTTAGAAGACATCTGAAGGCAGCCCCGTTTAGGGAAGCTTTTAATGTTTAATAGACTATTGTATTTTAATATTCTGTCGGAAGCCGCCCAGAGTGGCTGGGAAAACCCAGCCAGATGGGCGGGGTATAAATTATTATTATTATTATTATTATTATTATTATGCTCTCCCCAGGGAGACTCACCTGACGCCTTCATTATACACCTTTATACACCGTATGCGCCAAGCGAAAGCATTGTTTTGCAACCAGGTTTGGGGCTGATTAACACCCTTTTAAATGTGTTTGTGGGTTTGGGTTACTGGTCTGTGGGGGTTTTTTGTTCTTGTTTTTATTGTGCGCTTTCTGTTTTTATATTGCATTTTTACGTTGTGAACCTCCCCGAGAACTGCGGACGAAGGGTAGGATACGAATTTAACAAAATCCTTTGACATTTACACTTGCTGCTGTAGTAACATTCATAAATACCGTATTCTTTGCTCTATAAGACTCACTTTTTCCCTCCTAAAAAGTAAGGGGAAATTTGTGTGCGTCTTATGGAGCGAATGCAGGCTGCGCAGCTATCCCAGAAGCCAGAACAGCAAGAGGGATTGCTGCTTTCGCTGCGCAGCGATCCCTCTTGCTGTTCTGGCTTCTGAGATTCAGAATATTTTTTTTCTTGTTTTCCTCCTCCAAAAACTAGGTGCGTCTTATGGTCTGATGCGTCTTATAGAGCGAAAAATACGGTGAATTTATACCCCTATCTATCCCTATAATTCCCAAAAGAAAAGCTTCTGACTTTTTTTGAACATCCTTTTCCATTCATTGCATATCATTTCCTAGTAAGCTTTAACCTTACTACAACACCATATCTGATAAACAGAACCTTCTTCCTCTTTACATTTCCAACATTTGTTCGATTTAGATTCATACATTTTTGCCAATTTACTCGGTGTTAGATACCAACGATATATCATTTTCATATAATTTTCTCTTAAACCATAGCATGCTGTAAATTTTATATCCATATTCGACTCTCACTGGACTGCTATTAACTGGTTTTGTTTCTTGTTTCTTGGGAACTGGAGCTTCATTGATCTTGGCTTTTTCTTTTAGGACCCCGAGGCCAGTTACGACTTCAATGACGACGACCCTGACCCGCAGCCGCGATATAATGCTTGGGACGAGAATCGGTGAGTTTATCCTTCTGCCAGAGTCTTGTGGCGTGGAGTCAGATCCATAGCTGTCAACCGTCCCTTATTTGGCGGGAAAGTCCCTTATCCCAGCGCTGTGTCCCGCTGCTGCTCCTTATTGATGATGTCCCTTAAATTTCCCGGGTTTCAAAGGAAGCAGCTCCACTCCCTCCCTCCCTGCCGGCCAGGGAGGAGGGAGGCTCCAACCGTGTTGCTTGGCTGCGTTGCTCACCCAATAAGAAGTCTAAGAACGACTGGGGGTGGAGCTTGCATGCCTTGTGCCAATCAAATCGGCCGTGTTGCTGGGGACTCGCCTTTGCTCAGCGCTTCCCAGCGGAGAGGTGATGGTGGTTTTCCTTGCTGCATCCCCTTTGCCGGGTTGCTGCGCTGTGGGAACCACCGCTTGAGGCTTCGTTTGGCTGCTGGCTGGGCTTTCTGCCTTTGGCTCGGAGGGGCTCAGAAGTCGAACATACCTGCGCTGGGAAAATCCCTTACTTTGGCTGCTGATCCCTTTTTTTCGAGGCTGCTGGTCCCTTATTTTCAAAACTGTAAGTTGACAGCTATGGTCAGATCTGTTTTGGCAAGCGCGATCCATCTTGGACTGGCCGCAACCAGACTGAGGAACACGGAGGAATTATTTTACAAACATTCTTCCAATCCTAAATTCAGTACAGTGGTACCTTGGTTCTCAAACTTCATCCGTTCCGGAAGTCCGTTCCAAAACCAAAGCGTTTCAAAACCAAGGCGCTCTTTCCCATAGAAAGTCATGCAAAATGGATTAATCCGTTGCAGATTTTTAAAAACAACCTCCAAAATATCAGTTTAACATGAATTTTACTAACGAGGCCATTGATCCATAAAATGAAAGCAGTAATTAATGTACTGTAAAATAAATAAGGCAGTATTGTAGATGATAAAAATTAAAATTATTTTTTTTCCTTACCTGCACACATGATAGTAATTGTTTGGATGGGGTTTTTTATCCATGTCCGCAGTCACACAATCAATCCATCAGTAGCTGAACTGGGTTCCACACAGTCGCAAAAACAAATGAACCAAAAAAAGCCTCAAAAACAAAAAATGCAAAATAAATATCGAAAACAAAAGCGCCAAACTTCTGGAAGTCTGTTTGACTTCTGAAATGTTCGAAAACCAAGGTGCAGCTTCTGATTGGTGCAGGCGCCCCGGAAACAATAGCCGACAGCTGCATTGGACGTTTGGCTTCCCAAAAATGTTCGAACTTACTTCCGGGTTTGCGGGGTTTGGGAACCAAGGCATTTAAGAGCCAAGGTACCACTGTACTGTACATTTCCTCATCAATTTGCAATTTATTTACCGTATTTTTCACTCTATAAGACACACCCGACCACAAGACGCACCTAGTTTTTGGAGGAGGAAAACAAGAAAAAGATATATTCTGAATCTCAGAAGCCAGAACAGCAAGAGGGATCGCTGCGCAGTGAAAGCAAAAATTCCTCTTGCTGTTCTGGCTTCTGGGATAGCTGCGCAGCCTGCATTCGCTCCATAAGACGCACACACATTTCCCCTTACTTTTTAGGAGGGAAAAAGTGAGTCTTATAGAGCAAGAATTACGGTATTTTTTAAAAAAAAGTCACCATGAATATTCACCTGTGTTTTAGTGTGACTTTCCCTTAATGTCCATGTTTGCACGCTGTTTCGCCTCCTGCCTGTGAGTTTTCCATGGCTATTTCCCATAATATTATGCGCAATATTTCCAGGCACAGCTCCTAATAGGTGCATATCTCTGATCCATCCTTTGGCTGGAGAAACGCACTGTAGAACTCAAAGAAGCGCGAATTTCAAAAGGCAGCAGCGTTTCGGTTCGCGAGTTGCTTTGTTTTTTGGTAGGGCTGCCTTTAAACGCGGAGCAGAACTGGACTGCTCCCTTGTCCTTAACTCCTGTTTGCGTCTTTTAATCGCAGGCACGGGACTCGCTGCGCTGGGGAGGTGGCCGCCACTGCCGACAACGACGTTTGCGGAGCCGGCATCGCTTACCGGGCAAAGATCGGGGGCGAGTGAGCCCTTGTTTTTGGGATGACTTGGGGAAAAGGAGGGGGTTTGGGGTGAATTGCAAGAGGATGTCTGCGGAGGAAACAGCCCAGGAAGATGTTACAAGGAAGGGGCCAAAAGATTCCAGATTATATGACTGGGTTTTTTTTGGCTGCATGCACCCCATACCTTTAAAGTACACCCAAAGCCCACACACCTCCAAGAATCCTCTCTGAGCTACAAGTCTCACCAGCATCCTTAAACTACAGGTTTAGAGGTCACCGGGCGATAAGGAAGTCAGACTATCCTCCACCAGGGCCAGGGCCTTTTCAGTGATGGCTCCGACCTGGTGGAATGCTCTGTCCCACGAGACCAGGGCGCTTCAGGATTTAACCTCCTTCGGTCAGGCCTGTAAGACAGAGCTATTCTGCCTGGCCTTTAATTTGAATTCAGCCTGACCTTTTATTTCCCTTCTCTTCCCTCCCCCTCCCCTTTTATGAAGAGCACCCGCTCTGAGACCCCACAGCTAATTGTCCCCTGGCCTCCTCGCTGGCCCAAGAAGGACCAATTCAGCCTGCTAGCCCTGGGGATTATATAATTGATTTTTGAATTTTATGGTTATTCGTGTTTTTATACTGTATTTTATGCTGCTTTTATAATTAAGTGTTTTAAATTAGTTGTTAGCCGCCCTGAATTGATAATTGATTTATAGATATCAGCAACTTGGTATTAATGTACCTCCTTGTATACACAGCCGTGATTTTTGGGGGGGGAAATATTTCTGTTTAATTTGTCTGTTGTGGCTTCAGGTTTAAGATATATTTTGTAAGATATTAAGCTGTATGGAAAATAACTAAACATATAGGTATAAATAAAATTATGGAGACTGCGGCCTGGGAAAACCGACAGAGCATCTCACCCTTTTTTTTCCTTCCTCTCAGGGGTGAGGATGCTTGATGGCACCGTGACGGATATTGTCGAAGCTCAGTCCTTGAGTTTCCACCCTCAGCACATTGATATCTACAGTGCTAGCTGGGGCCCGGAAGATGATGGGAAAACAGTGGACGGTCCCGGCATTCTGGCCACGGAAGCCTTCCGCAAGGGCATAATTAATGTAAGATTTCGCACCCGCCAAAACGGTCCCTGGCAAATTGTTTCCAGCGTTCGGAATGCTGCAGGCTGCTGGACTGATGTATAGCCTCTTGGGCTTGCTGATCAGAAGGTCGGCAGTTCGAATCCCCGCAATGACGGGGTGAGCTCCCGTTGCTCGGTCCCAGCTCCTGCCAACGTAGCAATTCAAAAGCACGCCAGCGCAAGTAGATAAATAGGTGCTGCTCCGGCAGGAAGCTAAACGGCGTTTCCATGCGCTCTGGTTTCAGCCACGGTGTCCCGTTGTGCCAGAAGTGGTTTAGTCTTGCTGGCCACATGACCCAGAAAGCTGTCTGTGGACAAATACCAGCTCTCTCGGCCTGAAAGCGAGATGAGCACCACAACCCCATAGTTGCTTTTGACTGGACTTAACCGTCCGGGGTCCTTTATCTTTTAAAGGTAAAGGGACCCTTGACCATTAGGTCCAGTCGTGACCCACTCTGGAGTTGCGGCGCTCATCTCGCTTTATTAGCCTAGGGAGCCGGCGTACAGCTTCCTGGTCATGTGGCCAGCATGACTAAGCCGCTTCTGGCGAACCAGAGCAGCGCACAGAAACGCCGTTTACCTTCCCGCCGGAGCGGTACCTATTTATCTACTTGCACTTTGACGTGCTTTCGAACTGCTAGGTTGGCAGGAGCAGGGACCGAGCAACGGGAGCTCACTCCGTCACGGGGATTCGAACCGCTGACCTTCTGATCAGCAAGTCCTAGGCTCTGTGGTTTAACCCACCCACAAATGCATCTTTCTTGATGGTAACATTTCCTTACCTCCCACCAGTGCTCGATGGACAGAGGATTCAGCTTGTGCCCCTACCGCCCCCCTAGAATCCTGAAACACCCACTAGTGGGCAATAGGGACCAGGGTGACAACCCTTGATCTATGCATATCTACATACAGGAAATGGAACCATCAGAATGATGCATCTTTATGGAATTATATCCCCCCAACAGATTTTCCCCTTCTGTTTTCAGGGCCGCCAGGGGCTGGGCTCCCTCTTCGTCTGGGCCTCGGGGAACGGCGGCCTCCGCAGCGACAACTGCAATTGCGACGGCTACACCAACAGCATCTACACCTTGTCGGTGGGCAGCACGACCGAGAGGGGCAGGGTGCCCTGGTACAACGAGGCCTGCGCTTCGACCCTCACCACCACTTACAGCAGCGGGGCGAAAGGCGAAAAACAGATTGTGAGATGCCTTTTTGCTCGCGGTTCTCTTGACAAAGACGGGGGGCAGTTGGAGGGCAGGCAGGGCATTCAGCCAATCTCACACACGCGCCGTTTAGTAAAAAGGCTGTTTTTAGAATACATACAACTTCTTCTTTGTCTTCCATAAACACGGTTTTAACAGTGAGTCCGTAAGCGACTGTGGAGGCCAATTCTGGATCCACACGTCCTTCCGCAGTGGGGACATAGGTTTCTGGGTGGGAGTTGATCCTGGTGAGGGTTTGCCAAGCGTGTCGTCCTCTTAGCACGTTCCTCCCTTGCATCCTGAGTTTGAGCGTCTTCGAAGCCCACAACACCTTAGGTAAAGGCTGTTCTCCAATTGGATGAACTCGTGAGCAGGATGTGAGCTATGAGCAGCAGAGAGAGTTAGAGACTGCTGTATTAGAGTTAGGATAGGAAAGGAGGAAGATAAGGTCTACTGCACAGAGTGTAAAAGAAAAACATCACAGGAGGGAAGTCAATAATATAAAAGAAACACGTATTGGAACTTTCTGTGCAGTTTGTGGAAATTTAATTTTATATACACACACACAGTATATTCAACAACAACGACAACAACAAAACAACAACAATAATAAAGACTTGAGAAATGGCCCAGCCCCTTAGCCAAAGACCACTGTTAGAGGATTTATATATATGAGACCTTTGTTGTTGTTGTTGAGTCATTTAGTCGTGTCCACCTCTTCATGACCCCCTGGACCAGAGCACGCCAGGCACTCCTGTCTTCCACTGCCTCCCACAGTTTGGTCAAACTCATGCTGGTAGCTTCGAGAACACTGTCCAACCATCTCGTCCTATGTCGTCCCCTTCTCCTTGTGCCCTCCATCTTTCCCAACATCAGGGTCTTTTCCAGGGAGTCTTCTCTTCTAATGAGGTGGCCAAAGTCTTGGAGCCTCAGCTTCAGGATCTGTCCTTCCAGTGAGCACTCAGTGCTGATTTCCTTCCGAATGGAGAGGTTTGATCTTCTTGCAGCCCATGGGACTCTCAAGAGTCTCCTCCAGCACCATAATTCAAAAGCATCCATTTTTTGGCGATCAGCCTTCTTTATGGTCCAGCTCTCACTTCCATACATCACTAACGGGAAAACCATAGCTTTAACTATACGGACCTTTGTAGGCGAGGTGATGTCTCTGCTTTTTAAGATGCTGTCTATGAGACCTTAGACCTCCTATAACACCACCCGAAAGCTTCATGCAAGCGTCACAGAAAAAGGTGGTTTGCAACAGAAATGTGAGAGAGTGTGGCTTTTGTCTCCTGTTTTGTCGAGATACCTGATAATGTTTGCCGATTGCCTTAACCTGGCCAGTCTGGGCCGTTATATTGAGGTGGCAAATACCTTAGTTCTCAAACCCAGTTCTCTGGCCTCCCCTATTCACACACAAAACATGCCCTTTTGATTGGATTTGAAGCCTTTGGGAATGAAAAGAACGATTGGGAGAGGTTTTCCCCAAGATATTTCCTTCTGCAGAGGAAATATGGGGGGGGGGGTCATTAAGAATGATAGAATTGCAGGATAGCTCCCCTGTAGTATTTCGGACGTGTGGTCTATGTACCTTGCCCATGAACATTCGTTTTATTGACGGCACCTTATAATAATGGGAGAATACAGGAGGCTGGCTGAGGAATCTGTGCAACCTTATTTTATTTTTGGTGACTCTCTTTCCCCTCGCAGGTGACCACAGACCTGCACCACACCTGCACCAGCGGCCACACGGGAACGTCTGCTTCCGCCCCTCTCGCAGCCGGCATGATTTCGCTCGCTTTGGAAGCCAAGTAAGAAGGGAAGAGTTTCGGCTAACCTCTTTGCGGTCCAAGGGCCTTCAAGTCTTCCGGAGGGCCTGGGGCACAAATCTGACTTCTCAGCTCGGGAAGTAATAGTGCCACTGTATTCTGCTCTGGTCAGACCTCACCTGGAGTACTGTGTCCAGTTCTGGGCACCACAGTTCAAGAAGGACACTGACAAACTGGAACGTGTCCAGAGGAGGGCAACCAGAATGGTCAAAGGCCTGGAAACGATGCCTCATGAGGACCGGCTAAGGGAGCTGGGCATGTTTAGCCTGGAGAAGAGGAGGTTAAGGGGTGATATGATAGCCATGTTCAAATATATAAAAGGATGTCACATAGAGGAGGGAGAAAGGTTGTTTTCTGCTGCTCCAGAGAAGCGGACACGGAGCAATGGATCCAAACTACAAGAAAGAAGATTCCACCTAAACATTAGGAAGAACTTCCTGACAGTAAGAGCTGTTCGACAGTGGAATTTGCTGCCAAGGAGTGTGGTGGAGTCTCCTTCTTTGGAGGTCTTTAAGCAGAGGCTTGACAACCATATGTCAGGAGTGCTCTGATGGTGTTTCCTGCTTGGCAGGGGGTTGGACTCGATGGCCCTTGTGGTCTCTTCCAACTCTATGATTCTATGATTCTATGATTTGATCTCTTTCAAATCGGAACCAGTGAAGGCGGTGAAGGTCCTGTGTGAGTGTCTGGAGACGGTTGGAGGATGGATGGCGGCTAATGGATTGAGGTTGAATCCTGACAAGACAGAAGGACTGTTTTGGGGGGACAGGAGGCAGGCGGGTGTGGAGGACTCCCTGGTCCTGAATGGGGTGACTATGCCCCTGAAGGACCAGGTGCGCAGCCTGGGGGTCATTCTGGACTCACAGCTGTCCATGGAGGCGCAGGTCAAATCTGTGTCCAGGGCGGCTGTTTACCAGCTCCATCTGGTACACAGGATGAGACTCTATCTGCCTGCGGACTGTCTCGCCAGAGTGGTGCATGCTCTGGTTATCTCTCACTTGGACTACTGCAATGCGCTCTACATGGGGCTACCTTTGAAGGTGACCTGGAAACTACAACTAATCCAGAATGCGGCAGCTAGACTGGTGACTGGGAGCGGCCGCCAAGACCACATAACACCGGTCTTGAAAGACCTACACTGGCTCCCAGTATGTTTCCAAGCACAATTCAAAGTGTTGGTGCTGACCTTGAAATCCAGTATACCTGAAGGAGTGTCTCTACCTCCATTGTTCTGCCCGGACGCTGAGGTCCAGCTCCGAGGGCCTTCTGGTGGTTCCCTCCCTGCGAGAAGCCAAGTTACAGGGAACCAGGCAGAGGGCCTTCTCGGTGGTGGCGCCCGCCCTGTGGAACGCCCTCCCACCAGATGTCAAAGAGAAAAGTAACTACCAGACTTTTAGAAGACATCTGAAGGCAGCCCTGTTTAGGGAAGCTTTTAATGTTTAATAGGTTATTGTATTTTAGTGTTTTGTTGGAAGCTACCCAGAGTGGCTGGGGAAAACCAGCCAGATGGGCGGGGTATAAATAAATTATTATTATTATTATTATTGATTAGAGCCGGGTGCTGTTAACCTGGCAAAGTCAGGGGCTTGATCGCCATACAAGCTACCTGCATATTCCTGCATTGCAACTCTTATGATTCTCACTCCCTTCTCCATCTTTGTAGCCCAGCCCTGACATGGCGTGACATGCAACACATCGTCGTGAGGGCTTCCAGTCCAGCCCACCTCCAGGCAGACGACTGGGCTGTGAATGGCGTAGGGCGCAAAGGTGAGGCTGGGGAGAGCTGGGATCAAGGCAACATCTGGAAGGCTGCCACATCTGGAGTGCTGCAGGTTCCCTCCCCTCTGTCTTTGTTGTTGTTTAGTCGTTTAGTCGCCTCTTTGTGACCCCCTGGACCAGAGCACGCCAGGCACTCCTGTCTTCTGCTGCCTCCCGCAGTTTGGTCAAACTCATGCTGGTCTCTTCGAGAACACTGTCCCACCATCTCGTCCTCTGTCGTCCCCTTCTCCTTGTGCCCTCCATCTTTCGCAACATCAGGGTCTTTTCCAGGGAGTCTTCTCTTCTCCTGAGGTAGCCAAAGTCTTGGAACCTCAGCTTCAGGATCTGTCCTTCCAGTGAGCACTCAGGGCTGATTTCCTTCTGAATGGAGAGGTTTGATCTTCTTGCAGTCCATGGGACTCTCAAGAGTCTCCTCCAGCACCATAATTCAAAAGCATCCATTCTTCGGCGATCAGCCTTCTTTATGGTCCGGCAGCATTTCCCAAACTTAGGTCTCCAGCTGTTGGGGGACCACAATTCCCATCCTCCCTAGCTATCAGGACCAGTGGTTAGGGACGATGGGATTTGTAGTCCAAGTTTGGGGAAACGCTGCTCTAATTCCTCCGAGGGAGCAGGATCTCACCATTGTTTCTCTTGTTTCTCTCCCCCTTTCAGTGAGTCACTATTACGGATACGGGCTCTTAGACGCCGGACGCCTGGTGGATCTGGCCAGGAGGTGGAATACGACGGGGCCCCAGAGGAAATGCTCCATCAGAATCGTCTACAAGCCATTGTAAGGGACAGACTCTCAACAGGCAGAGGGCCTTCTCGGTGGTGGCGCCTGCCCTGTGGAATGCCCTCCCATTAGAGGAAATAAACAGCTATCTGACTTTTAGAAGTCATCTGAAGGCAGCCCTGCTTAGGGAGGTTTTTAATGTTTGATGTTCTTTTGTGTTTTTAATATTTTGTTGGGAACCGCCCAGAGTGGCTGGGGAGACCCAGCCAGATGGGCGGGGTATAAATAATAAATTATTATTATTATTATTATTATTATTATTATTACAGTCATACATCGGGTTACAAACGCTTCAGGTTGTGCGTTTTCGGGTTGCGCACCACGCTGAACCCAGAAGTACTGGAATGGGTTACTTCCGGGTTTCAGTGCTCACACATGCACAGAAGCGCTAAATCCCGCTTTGCGCATGCGTGCCGAACTGTGACCCGCGTGTGCGCAGACACGGAGCTGCAGGTTGGAATGCTGCGGGTTGCGAACATGCCTCCTGCACGGATCACGTTTGCAACCTGAGCATCCACTATATTATTATTATTATTATTATTATTATTATTATTATTATATACCCTCCAAGCAGCTTGGCAACTAATGTGCTAGCTAAAAAAGGCACTTTCTGGGTCATGTGGCCAGCATGACTAAGCCGCTTCTGGCGAACCAGAGCAGCGCACGGAAATGCCGTTTCCCTTCCCGCCAGAGTGGTACCTACTTATCTACTTGCACTTTGACGTGCTTTCGAACTGCTAGGTTGGCAGGAGCAGGGACCGAGCAACGGGAGCTCACCCCGTCATCACAGGGATTCGAACCGCCGACCTTCTGATCGGCAAGCCCTAGGCTCTGTGGTTTAGACCACAGCGCCACCCGCGTCCCTTCAATATCTTTTAGACGTTGACAAATTAGACGGTTTGCTTTGGTAAGGCTGAAATCCAATGGTAGCTCTTCTTGAAAGGGGCCGAACATGTTCTAAGCCAGGCACCCCCAAACTCGGCCCTCCAGATGTTTTGGGACTACAACTCCCATCATCCCTAGCTAACAGGACCAGTGGTCAGGGATGATGGGAATTGTAGTCCCAAAACATCTGGAGGGCCGAGTTTGGGGGTGCCTGTTCTAACCCCGCTGCAGATAACTCCACCTCTTCTTCTTCTCCCGCCCCTTTGGCTTTCTCGCAGGCTGATTGGTTCAAGGCTGTCCATCGCTAAAAACGTCACCTCCTCCTCCTGCCAAAGGAAGGACCAGAGCATCCATTCCCTGGAGCACGTCCAGGTCCAGCTCTCCCTCCGCTACAGCCGCCGAGGAGATTTAGCCATCTCTCTGACCAGCCCCATGGGGACCAAATCCACTCTGGTGGCTGTCAGGTAAGGCCGGGCGATATATTGATACATCGTCCCAACCCGAAGTCCATATTGTGATGTCGGCTTCACTGTTTCTGACCGGCCCTAATTTCGCTAATCATGATGGGCTGTACAGTGGTACCTCGGGTTAAGTACTTAATTCGTTCCGGAGGTCCGTTCTTAACCTGAAACTGTTCTTAACCGGAAGCACCACTTTAGCTGATGGGGCCTCCCGCTGCCGCTGGAGCACGATTTCTGTTCTCAACCTGAAGCAAAGTTCTTAACCTGAAGCACTATTTCTGGGTTAGCGGAGTGTGTAACCTGAAGCGTATGTAACCTGAAGCGTATGTAACCCGAGGTACCACTGTATTTTGCCCCAAAACCGGTTTCAAGCCTGTGTTATGATATTAATCATTATAAATTTCCCCCAAATAAAAGACAGTTAGTCAAGCATTTCCCAGTACAGTGGTACCTTGGTTTAAGAACAGCTTAGTTTATGAACAACTTGGATTAATAATAATAATAATAATAATAATACCTTTATTGTCATTGTACAACCTGTGTAATGGCGTTTCCGTGCGCTGCTCTGGTTCGCCAGAAGTGGCTTAGTCCTGCTGGCCACATGACCCAGAAGCTGTACGCCGGCTCCCTTGGCCAATAAAGCGAGATGAGCGCCGCAACCCCAGAGTCAGTCACGACTGGACCTAACGGTCAGGGGTCCCTTTATCTTTAAGCCTGCTAATTCAGCATATTTCAGCTGCCGCTCCTCTTTCGTAAGTACTGCATCCTCCCATTTTTTGACCCGGCAATATATTGCAAATCATGACACGTGTGTGTGTGTGCTTTGCAAAAATCACCATGTGAGTGGAAACCGTGAAGCCGGCTCATGCCTCTACAATGGCCCCAGTCTTATTTCAGACATCCTGATATATCAGCAATGTTTAGCTGGTGATAGATCATGATGTTGAAAACCGGATTATCGCCACGTGCTTCTACAGGCTGAACAGCCCCAAGTCCTTCAACCATTCCTCATAAGGCATGGTTTCCAGAGCCTCGATCCTATGGATACAACGGTGGTTGGTTTAATCACGGCTGGAGAGGGTGAGGCGGCCTATAGGAAGGAAGTTGAGTAGTTGGCGGAGTGGTGCAGGAAAAACAACTTACTCCTTAAAGAAAACAAAAGAGATCTTTGTGGACTTTAGGAAATGTAAATTGAATATTCAGCCACTTATTATTGGAGGGAAGTGCGTGGAACAGGTCTCGCTGTTTCGATTTCTGGGAATGGAGTTGAGAGACGACCTAACCTGGGGAGAAAACAGCAAAGATCTGGTGAAGAGAGCACAGCAGAGGTTATATTTTCTGAGAATCCTCCGGAAAAACAATCTCTCAAAGGACCTGTTGATGGCATTTTACCATTGCACTGTGGAGAGTGTATTAACCTATGGTCTGTGTGTGTGGTTTGGGAGCTGCACGGCCAGGGAAAAAACAATGCTGTCCAGGGTTGTAAAGACTGCGGAGAGAATAATTGGGTGCACTCTTCCCACCTTGGATCAAATCTATGCTTCCAGGTGCCATCAGGAAGCTGCAGAGATAGCTTCTGCCTTCTGGAAGAAGGTCCAGGGTTATAAAGACTAGGACTAGCCGCCTGAGAAACAGTTTCTACGCAAATGCAATTCTGGTTCTAAACACAGCATAAGGGGTCTCTATAGTATAGTGTATTTTAAAATGGGGTTTCAGAGTTTTTAGGGGTTTTTGAATGTTTTATGTCGTTTTTCAATTTCATTGCTCTGCATGGGACAATGACAATAAAGATATCGTATATCGTATATGGGTCACTTTCTAGCTTGTCGACATCCTTCTTAAAGTGGGGTGCCCAGAACCACACACAAGAATGCAGGCGGGGCCAGATCAAAGCAGAATATTATCACCCTTGTTTTGGATACTATGCAATTCTATGGATGCAGCCCAGAAGAGTGTTAGCTTTTTTTGCTGCCGCATCACACCGTCGGCTCATGTTAAGCTCGTGCACGATTTCTCTCTCTTGCCCGCCAGGCCTCACGACACCAGCCGCGAGGGGTACAGGGACTGGTCATTCATGTCCACACACTATTGGGACGAAAATCCGCGGGGCGTCTGGTCCCTTCTGCTGGAGAACAAAGGCGACGCGTACAACACGGGGTCCCTCGACAGCTTTGTGTTAAAACTGTACGGCACAGAGGAAGATATGAGGGCGAGACCGGCCGCAGCCTCGATGGTGGGCAGCTGCGCTATGCGAAGCGCTGATGGAGAATGCCTGGGTAAGTTGCGTCCATCCCTCCTTACCCCAGCTGGCGGGCCGTGGAGCCTGCGGAACTCCTTGCCACTGGATTCCAGTAACAAAAGAAATAGATTGTTGGAAAATGGGGGGTGGGGCTCTTTTGGTTTGGCGGGAGGGACCATTAAACTCCCCCACCCCAGGCCGACTTTGGTAGGTGATTGACAGGTGGAGGAGTCCGAACCGTCTGGTCACGGCGGACCCGTGCACGTTGATGTTTTTCTTGCTGGGAAATGCAGCGCTCAGCAGGTGCAGGCAGCAATTAGACTTTGGAAAGCTGGCGCCGCCAGATCAAGTACCGTATTTTTCGCTCTACAAGATCCACCAGACCATAAGACGCACCTAGTTTTTGGAGGAGGAAAACAAGAAAATATATATTCTGAATCCCAGAAGCCAGAACATCAAGAGGGATCTGGCTTCTGGGATAGCCGCACGAAGCCTCTTCAGGGCAGCGGGAGGAAGGCTCCCCCAAGAGCCGCACTCCCTTTAAAGAGCACGCGGAGCGTGTCTGCGGCTCTTAGGGGGTTTTCCCCGAGGAGGGAGAAGGGCAGCTCTTTAAAGGGAGCGCTGAGCAGAGCCTCCCGCCTGCATTCGCTCCATAAGACACACACACATTTCCCCTTACTTTTTAGGAGGGGGAAAGTGCGTCTTACAGAGCGAAAAATACGGTACATCAAATTTGCCGCGAGAGTCCTAGGTTTGGAACAAATGCGCGATGAATAACACAGTAAAATCCAAGCCGCGAAACCCCCGCTGCTTTTCACGCCGTTGTCTCTCGAGACAGGCGGATGCCAACAATTCTGAATACGGCCGTGCTTCGGAATAATAATAATAATAATAATAATAATAATAATTTATTATTTATACCCTGCCCACTCTGGGCGGCTTCCAACAAAACACTAAAATACAATAACCTATTAAACATTAAAAGCTTCCCTAAACAGAGCTGCCTTCAGGTATCTTCTAAAAGTTTGGTAGTTACTTTTCTCTTTGACATCTGGTGGGAGGGCGTTCCTCAGGGCAGGCGCCACCACCGGGAAGGCCCTCTGCCTGGTTCCCTGTAACTTGGCTTCTCGCAGCGAGGGAACCACCAGAAGGCCCTCGGAGCTGGACCTCAGTGTCTGGGCAGAACGATGGGGGTGGAGACACTCCTTCAGTCTGGCTGCCGCATTCTGGATTAATTGCAGTTTCCGGGTCACCTTCAAACGTAGCCCCACGTAGAGCGCATTGCAGTAGTCCGACTTCCAAAACATTTGTAAACCAAGGCGCAGCTTCCGATTGGCTGCAGGAAGCTCCTGCAGCCAATCGGAAGCCGCGTCAGAACATTCGGGTTCCAAAGAACGTTCGCAAACCAGAACGCTCACTTCCAGGTTTGTGGCGTTCAGGAGCCGAGACGTTAGACTCGCAAGGCGTCCAGCTTTCGAGGTACGACTGCAATGCTGTTTTTACAGGGTAGGGGGGCTGTTCCTGGGACTGAGTTCATGGAACCCTGCGGCCGTCCCAACAAAATTTGGGAACCGTTGTTCTCCGCCTCCCCTCCGGCGTCTCTCCTGTGTCGCTCACCCTCTCTTTCTCTTCTCAGAATGCCACGGCCCCTTCTACGTCCTCCAGCGCCGATGCGTCTCCTACTGCCCCCCCAGATATTATGCCCTCTCCCGGCCCTCGCTGGCTCCCGACGGGACGCCCCGCAACGCCCGGTCCTGCGCCGCTTGCCACCCGTCCTGCTACACCTGTCTCGGAGGCACGGAAAACAACTGCACTGCTTGCCCGCCTTTCAGTAGCTTCCAAGAAGCCGACCACCGCTGTCTCCAGCACCCGTACTACACGTCCCGGGGAGGGGAGGTCACCCGGGGGCACGGGCACCTTCCGCTCCTGCTTGCGGTGGCCCTGATGTTTGTGGGGCCCGTCGTCTTCTCCCTCCTCTATGGGGCTTACCGCCTGGCCTCCCGCAGGGGCCAGGGGCGGAAGGGGGCAGGGGCCCGGGCCGAATCCGGATCGGAACCACTGTGCCTGAACCAGACGGAGGAATGTTTAAAGGAGCCGCTGCGGAAGCCTTTCCCGTGAAAACGAAAGCTGGAGGACTCGAACCCGGCTCTGCATTGATGCCTTGTTTTGTTTTTTTACTCTCCCTCTCACCCCAAAAAACACCAAACCCTGTTTTTTCTTGAATGCAATACAATCTCAGCCTGTGTATTGTCTGTTTGTGATTGAGGGGTGCGGTTTGCGTCTTTAAGTTTCGCGGGTTGTTTATTATTGCTTTTATCTCGGGCGTTCCTGCTGGAGCACACCTGGTAGCGCTTACCAAAGGGAACTGCACTCTGCACATGCTCGGCGACATTTCTTTTACTGCTATCCCTGCCCGCTGCAGGCCAAGGCTTCTGGTATTCCTCGAGTCCTTGCTTTGATGGTCCATTTCTGAAAATGGAAAATGCCTCTGGGTTCACCCTTGACTTGGGAGCTTCCCTTGGGCTTCCAGTTTTTGATATGGGGGGGGGGGAGGGAACAGCAACACTTTGCATATGCTCAAAAGCACTATGAACAATCACATCGCTGGAAGGGGACTTCATACGTCATCGATTTCCAACCCGTTACCAATATAGGACATTTGAGTGCGGAAAATTAAATACCGTATTTTTCGCTCTATAAGATTCACCAAACCACAAGACGCACCTAGTTTTTGGAGGAGGAAAACAAGGAAAAAAATATTCTGAATCTCAGAAGCCAGAACAGCAAGACGGATCGCTGCGCAGTGAAAGCAGCAATCCCTCTTGCTGTTCTGGCTTCTAGGATAGCTGCGCAGCCTGCATTCGCTCCATAAGATGCACACACATTTCCCCTTACTTTTTAGGAGGGAAAAAGTGAGTCTTATACAGCAAAAAATATGGTACTTCTCTCTGCACGTTCCCCAGAGGCTCGATTTAAATCCATTCTTATTTATGGAAGACATTTTCCCCTTATGACCTTCAGATGTTCTGTAGGGTAGCAGAAGTGTAGAGTTAAAAGTGCCCCCCGAAGTTCATCTGATCCAACCCCTTGGCAACGCAGGAACCTTTTTGCAAAGAGAAATTTCACAGAATAGTAGAGTTGGAAGGGACCCTGAAGAAAATCTAGTCCAACCCCTTTGCAATGCAGGAATACGCAGCTGCCCCACCCGGGAATCGAACCTGTGACCTTGGCGTTATCACCACCACGCTCTCACCAACTGAGCTTTCCACGCTCAGTTGGCAGACACCCCTGTGCCTTGTGTATAGGGTGGTACCTCTGGTTGCGAACGGGATCCATTCCGGAGGCCCGTTTGCAACATGAAAAGAGCGCAACCTGCAGCGGCGCGTCTGCACATGCGCGGGGTGCGATTCGCCACTTCTGCGCATGCGTGTGGTGTCATTTTGTGCTTCTGCGCATGCACGAGCGGCGAAACCCGGAAGTAACCCTTTCTGGTCGCCGCGGGACGTAACCTGAAAGAACGTATCATGAAGCGGACGCAACATGAGGTATGACTGTACCAGGAAGCCTCGAAAAATCCCCTGCATGCGGAAATTCAGTATTTCGGGGGGGAAAGCTCCAGCCTAGCTTCCTTCCGAAATGCTAACATTTGCCTTTTTAAGGGAGGAGCATTTGACCCTGCCTGCAAATTTAGTCCTTTCTTGCAAAGCCACTGGGATTTTGCAAACAAACCCCGTGTTTCGAAGCAGATGGCTGGTCTCTTTTAAGTCCTCCTGGAGTTGACCCAGAAATTTACAGGGGTGTTGCAGAGTTGCTGTTTTTTTGTGGGGATGGGGAGCTTGAGAAGGGGGCGGGGGGCGGAGACAGTTTTGTAGGCGCCTCGTCCCTCATCTCTTGGGCATAGTCAGTTCGAGCGTCGGAGCGGATGTGTTGCGGACGTCGGGCAAGGCGGCAAACAGGAACCCCAAGCCCAGGTGGTAGAGGCAGAAGAGGTTGTAGATACTCATGGCGACTGTTGGGAAGAAGGAGAGGCCGAACCCGAACCCACGGTATGTGCTGCTGAAGTGCAGGCAGGCCCAGTAGCAGCACCTGTGAAGCGAAGCAGAGCAAAGAAGACCTTCTTGATCAGCGTTTCCCAAATTTGGTTCTCCAGTTGTTTGGGGACTACAGTTCCCATCATCCATGGCAGCCGGTCTTGCTAGCTAGGGATGATGGACATTGTAGTCCCCAAAGAGCTGGAGACCCAAGTTTGGGAAACTTTGCTCCAAAGGGACAGAAAGAGAATGAACTTGAACATAACTAGAAGTCATTAAGGTTCCTAACCCCAAACAAACGTTCACGTTCAATTCACCTAGAACCTTTCAGGAGAAGTTCGGAGATTTCTGAACCAGATCGGCGAACTTCGATAAACTGAACCGGTTTGTTCCTATTCAGGGCTCCCCCCCAGCTAGAACTCTATTCTAAGAGAACAACAGAGGCGTTCATGGTGAGTTCCAGCACCTCTTTTTCTAGAAAAATAGCACTGAATTAGTGGCATTCGTTAGGGACGCAGGTGGCACTGTGGGTTAAACCACAGAGCCTAGGACTTGCCGATTAGAAGGTTGGCGGTTCGAATCCCTGCGACGGGGTGAGCTCCCATTCCTCAGTCCCTGCTCCTGCCCACCTAGCAGTTCGAAAGCACAAAGTGCAAGTAGATAAATAGGTACCGCTCCGGCGGGAAGGTAAACGGCGTTTCCATGCGCTGCTCTGGTTTGCCAGAAGCGGGTTTGTCCTGCTGGCTACATGACCCGGAAGCTGTATGCCAGCTCCCTTGGCCACTAAAGCGAGATGAGCGCTGCAACCCCAGAGTCGGCCATGACTGGACCTAACGGTCAGGGGTCCCTTTACCTTTACCTTTAGTGGCATTCGTTAAATGCAGCATGTTGCCATTAGCAAAATCAAACAAAGCTGCTTACAGTGGAACCTTGGAAGCCGAACGCCTCTGAACTCGAACATTTCAACTCCAGAACGATCGAAAATCGGAAGTGATTGTTCCGGTTTTCAAATGATTTTCGGAAGCCGAACATCCAGCACGGCTTCCAGTTGTTAATAATAATAATAATAATAATAATAATAATAATAATAATAATTTGTTTATACCCCGCCCATCTGGCTGGGTCCCCCCAGCCACTCTGGGCGGCTTCCAACAAAACACTAAAATACAATAACCTATTAAACATTAAAAGCTTCCCTAAATAGGGCTGCCTTCAGATGTCTTCTAAAGTTTGGTAGTTATTTTTCTCTTTGACATCTGGTGGGAGGGCGTTCCACAGGGTGGGCGCCACCACCGAGAAGTGTTCTGTTGGAAGCCGCCCAGAGTGGCTGGGGAAACCCAGCCAGATGGGCGGGGTATAAATAACAAATTACTATTATTATTATTATTCCTGTGTTGCTCTTAAAGGTAGGACTGCTTCCAGAACAATGAGGTCTGGGAACTTGGGTTTTGTTTTTAGAGGACAGGCTACAATCTCTTTGAGAGGTACGCTCCTGTCGGGCAAAACCCCTCGACGAAAAGTGTAGAGCAGGATTTTCGGAGGTTGCCTAGCCTGGAGATTTGAGGGTTTGGCCTGAGAAAGGTCCCAAGGGCCAGGCAGAGATGGCTTGGGGGCCGCAGTCCCCGACCCTGCACCTCACCTTCCAACAGCAAAGAGCCCCACGAGGATCGGGATGAGACCCAAGTGCTCCTGGGGGAGGAAAGTCGCCGTCACCACCACGTTGAGGGCAAAGACGGAGAGCTGGTCCACGGAGCCCACGACAAAAAGCTGGTGGAGGAGGACGGGTCGAGAGCGAGTGCCCAGCGGGCCGACGTTGTCCAGGCACAAGGCAGAAAAAGCCCTCAGAACAATGCCTGCAGCCAGGAGAGAAAGGAGGGCAGTTTTTTTCGGAGACCGTTTCCAGTTCAGCAGCATCGGAGTGAAATGGGAATACAGTGGTACCTCGGGTTAAGTACTTAATTCGTTCTGGAGGTCCGTTCTTAACCTAAAACTGTTCTTAACCTGAAGCACCATTTTAGCTAATGGGGCCTCCTGCTGCCGCCGCACGATTTCTGTTCTCATCCTGAAGCAAAGTTCTTAACCTGAAGCACTATTTCTGGGTTAGCGGAGTCTGTAACCTGAAGCGTATGTAACCTGAAGCGTCTGTAACCCGAGGTACCACTGTACAGTGGTGCCCCGCAAGACGAATGCCTCGCAAGACGGAAAACCCGCTAGACGAAAGGGTTTTCCGTTTTGGAGGTGCTTCGCAAAACGAATTTCCTATGGGCTTGCTTCGCAAGACGAGAATGTCTTGCGAGTTCCTGCGGGGTTTTTTTCCTCCCCCCCCTTTTCCCCAAGCCGCTTATCAGCTGATCCGCTAAGCCGCTAATAGCGCTAATCTGCTAAGACGCTAATGGACTTGCTTTGCAAGACGAAAAAACCGCAAGACGAATAGACTCGCGGAACGGATTCTTTTCGTCTTGCGAGGCACCACTGTATATCAGACTATAATGATACACTGGGTGAGAGACTTTGGGTACAATATACAACTTACAGCTTGGGAGAAGTTATGAAAATGGGATTTAAAGTTCACGGCGTGTTATACAGTGGTACCTCGGGTTACATACACTTTGACGTGTTTTCGAACTGCTAGGTTGGTAGGAGCAGGGAGTGAGCAATGGGAGCTCACCCCGTCGCAGGGATTCGAACCGCCGACCTTCTGAATGGCAAGTCCTAGGCTGTGTGGTTTAACCCATAGCGCCACCCGCGTCCCAAATACAGGTGGTAAAGGTAAAGGGACCCCTGATCACTAGGTCCAGTCACGGACAACTCTGGGTTTGAGGTGCTCATCTCGCGTTACTGGCTGAGGGAGCCGGCGTTTGTCCGCAGTTTTTCCAGGTCATGTGGCCAGTAGGACTAAGCCGCTTCTGGCGAAACCAGAGCAGTGCACGGAAACACCTCGAGATCTTGGGAAGCTGAAGATGGCATATAGATGTAAGAAATGAAAAAGTTTTGTCTTTTTATATTGTGATTTTATGTTGCATCCATCTTGAGACCTACAGATATAGGCGGTATATCAATTTACTATACTATACTATTATTATTATTATTATTACTACTACTGCTACTACTACAGTGGTGCCTCGCAAGACGAAATCAATTCGTTCCGCGAGTTTTGTCGTCTTGCGTTTTTTTTCGTCTTGCGAAGCACGGTGTCGGGAAAGTTTTGGAAAAGTTTCAAAAATCACCAAAGTCTTTAAAAACCTCAAAAAAGGCTACCACACCGCGTTCTATGAGTTGCTCCTCGAAGTCAAGTCGCAACTGTATTAATGGTGTTAAGAAAAAGGAAACAAACTTGCAAGACGTTTCCGTCTTGCGAAGCAAGCCCATAGGGAAAATCGTCTTGCGAAGCAGCTCAAAAAACCAAAAACCCTTTCGTCTAGCGAGTTTTTTGTCTTGCGAGGCATTCGTCTTGCGAGGTACCACTGTACTAATTTAATAGAAGATTTGGTGACAGTGCTGAGAATTTCCAGGACCCCTCTATTCCCCCTATAGAGCTATAATGCCCAAATTTGCCTGGGGAAACAGAGGGTCCGATTGTTAAACCACTCTGAGAATTACCGGTACATCTCCATAGCAGAGGGGACAGCTCCCAGCAGCCTTGACAAACCAGCCTTGCCCATTCATTTCAGTGGGTCTACTCTGAGTAGGGCCAGAGCTGCCTGCAGCCTGGGACTTTCAGCCTCCAAGATAAATAGCCCACGTTGCTTTTTGCAACGTTCGGAGGAATCGCGTCTTGAAAGCTGCCCACTTTGCACATTGTTCTGTCCGCTCCTCCAAACGTCCCATTAAGACAGGAATGCTCAGCTTGGGGAAAAAAATCTCTGCGTTTGGACCCCCGCAAATAACACCCCGTCCTCTGTTTGCAGAAATAACAGCAGGTGGCTGGAACTGGTTTTCTCTTTCTGCCTTAATGGAAACAAAGATGGGAAAGGTGATGGGGCAGACAAGAATCTCAGCCGCCCCAAAAGCATTGAAGAAGAGTTTGGATTTGATATCCTGCTTTATCACTACCCTAAGGAGTCTCAAAGCGGCTAACATTCTCCTTTCCCTTCCTCCCCCACAACAAACACTCTGTGAGGTGAGTGGGGCTGAGAGGCTTCAGAGAAGTGTGACTGGCCCAAGGTCACCCAGCAGCTGCATGTGGAGGAGCGGAGATGCGAACCCGGTTCACCAGATTATGAGACTGCCGCTCTTAACCACTACACCACACTGGCTCCACACTGGGACCCATTGGGTTAGAGAATTACTGGTGTACATTTCTGGGCACAATTCAAAGTGTTGGTGCTGACCTTGAAAGCCCTAAACGGCCCTGTATCCCTGAAGGAGCGTCTCCACCCCCAACGTCCAGCTCTGAGGGCCTTCTGGCGGTTCCCTCCCTGCGAGAAGCGAGGTTACAGGGAACCAGGCAGAGGGCCTTCTCGGTGGTGGTGCCCACCCTGTGGAACGCCCTCCCATTAGATGGCAAGGAAATAAACAGCTATCTGACTTTTAGAAGACACCTGAAGGCAGCCCTGTTTAGGGAAGCTTTTAATGTTTGACGTTTTATCGTGTTTTTAATATTCTGTTGGGAGCCGCCCAGAGTGGCTGGGGAGACCCAGCCAGATGGGTGGGGTATAAATAATAAATTACAGTGGTACCTCGGTTTACATACACTTCAGGTTACAGACTCCGCTAACCCAGAAATAGTACCTCGGGTTAAGAACTTTGCTTCAGGATGAGGACAGAAACCGCGTGGTGGCAGTGGGAGGCTCCAGTAGCTAAAGTGGTGCTTCAGGTTAAGAACGGACCTCTGGAACGAATTAAGTACTTAACCCGAGGTACCACTGTATTATTGTTATCAAAAGGCAAGTGAGAACGGGGGTGGGGGGTGACGGAAGGAGAGAGAAATGGGGGTGATCAAAAGCAGGGGGTCCGAAAGAGGGAGCTAAAGCTGGCGCAGCAATAAAACCGCCCGCACACCTGCAAAGCTAAGCAGGGTCAAATTCGATGTAGGGTGTGTGTGTGTGTGTGTGTGTGTGTGTGAGCCGTGTGTTGAGATTCTTGCATTGCAGGGGGTTGGACTAGATGACTCCTGGAGGTCCCTTCCAACTCTGCCGTGCTGTGATCCTGCAAAAAGAGAAGGGAGGGGAATGTAACGCGAGAGAAAGGGTGGCAAAAGGAGAGGAGGAGATGAAAGGGAGAGGCGGAAAGAAAGGTTGCGCTACCCAGCTCTGGCAAATGAACCCAGAGGGAGTTTGGCCCTTGAGAGAGAACGTGTTTTGGAGCCTGAGATGGTAGCTTATGTCTCTAGGGCACACCTGTGGGCTTGGAACAGGTCTCCGCAAAAAGTACCACCTTGTCCTCATTATGGTGTCAAGGAGATAAACAGCTATCTGACTTTTAGAAGATATCTGAAGGCAGCCTTGTTTTCCCTCCAACATTTCCCCGATGAAAATAGGGACGTCCCTGGGATCAAATCAGAAACCGTGGCGGCTTCTGTAAATTTGGGACTGTCCCTGCAAAATAGGGAAACTAGGAAATAATAATAATAATAATAATAATAATAATAATAATAATAATAATTTATTATTTATACCCCACCCATCTGGCTGGGTCTCCCCAGCCACTCTGGGCGGCTCCCAACAGAATATTAAAAACATGATAAAACGTCAAACATTAAAAGCTTCCCTGAACAGGGCTGCCTTCAGATGTCTTCTAAAAGTCTGGTAGTTGTTGTTCTCTTTGACATCTGGTGGGAGGGCGTTCTACAGGCAGGGCGCCACCACCGAGAAGGCCCTCTGCCTGGTTCCCTGTAACTTGGCTTCTCTCAATGAGGGAACCGCCAGAAGGCCCTCGGTGTTGGACCTCAGTGTCCGGGCAGAACGATGGGGGTGGAGACGCTCCTTCAGGTATACTGGACCGAGGCCGGAGAGTCTGCACCTTCTGTTTGCTGCTCCCCAAACCCCAAACACACATCTTTTACCGAGGAGAATAGGCAGCCCAGCGACCGGCAGGCAACGAAGAGCCAAAGCGACTCGGCTGGCAAGATCCGGGCAGTCAGGGGCCGGCAGCGGAAGGAAGTAGTAGCCTCCATAGAGGAACCACGGAGCCAGGAGGAGGGCGACGAAGGCCGAGGCCACGGCTTTCATGCACTCGCCGGAGCAGGCCTGGCGACCCCCGCTGCCCCCCAGGCGGGCGGTCAGCTCCCCCGAGGAGCCGTGGGGCAAAACCGGGCAGGCGCCGTCTCCCGTGTCCAGCCAGGGCTGGCGTTCGCTGGGAAGCTGAAGCATGACGGTCCCGGTTTGGTCGCCTTCTGACCTTTGCTCGGGATCAGGAAGGGGGCAGCGTGGCATGACATGGACAGAGTCCAAAAAGGACGTCTCCTTGGGCAAGCGAGGGGCCGCAGTGTCGGGCACAGGCATGGGGGGCTGCCCCACGTCGCTCTCTTCTGGGGCCTGTGGAGGAGGGAGCCTGTGTTGACCCAGAGGATCTGGGAAGGCTTGGCCAGGGAGAGGTCTGGGAGAGGTCACTCCTTCTTCCTCTTCTTCCTCCTCTCCTTCTTCTCCTTCCTCCTCTGTTTCAGTAGATTGCAGCTCCTCAAGAGACGATTCAGGGCTGTCCGAGACAGGCGCCATTGAAATCTGCGTGTCGAGGTCCAGGAACGGCGAGAAGGAAAGGTGGCTTGGGTCAATGTCTCGGAGCTGGCCGATGATGTTGGCGAGGGAGTCTCGGACGCTGTCAAACTCCTTCAGCTGACAGGGGCTGGCAGGACTCCTTGTGGTCGCCATGGTAGGGAGAGCGGGCGAGCAACGGGTGAGGGTGTCTGGAAAGAAGATGGCAGAGGCATGACCTAGCGCCCTTGGGTACCGTATTTTTCGCTCTATAAGACGCACCAGACCACAAGACGCACCTAGTTTTTGGAGGAGGAAAACAAGAAAAAAAATATTCTGAATCTCAGAAGCCAGAACAGCAAGAGGGATCGCTGGGCAGCGAAAGCAGCAATCCCTCTTGCTGTTCTGGCTTCTGGGACAGCTGCGCAGCCTGCATTCGTTCCATAAGGCGCACACACATTTCCCCTTACTTTTTAGGAGGGAAAAAGTGAGTCTTATACAGCAAAAAATACGGTAATTGCCTGGCCCCTTCCCCAATGCTACTGCTTCCTGACATTTCAACCCCCTGCCCCCAGAATCTATTTATTTATTTTTACTTATTGAATTCATATGAGGGACGCGGGTGGCGCTGTGGGTTAAACCACAGAGCCTAGGACTTGTTGATCAGAAGGTTGGTGGTTTGAATCCCCGCGACGGGGTGAGCTCACATTGCTCGGTCCCTGCTCCTGCCAACCTAGCAGTTTGAAAGCACGTCAAAGTGCAAGTAGATAAATAGGTACCGCTCCGGCGGGAAGGTAAACGGCGTTTCCGTGCGCTGCTCTGGTTTGCCAGAAGCGTCTTAGTCCTGCTGGCCACATGACCTGGAAGCTGTACGCCGGCTCCCTCGGCCAATAAAGCGAGATGAGCGCCGCAAACCCAGAGTCGGCCACGACTGGACCTAACGCTCAGGGGTCCCTTTACCTTTACCTATTGAATTCATATACAGTCATACCTCATGTTACATCCGCTTCATGTTACGTTCTTTCAGGTTACGTCCCGAGGCAACCCGGAAGTACTGGAAAGGGTTACTTCCGGGTTTCGCCGCTCGCACATGCGCAGAAGCACAAAATGACGTCACGCGCATGCGCAGAAGCGGCGAATCACAACCCGTGCATGCGCAGACGCGCTGCTGAGGGTTGCGCTCTTTTCATGTTGCGAACGGGCCTCCGGAACGGATCCCGTTTGCAACCAGAGGTACCACTGTACCGCCCTATATATACCCAGAGGCCTCAGGGCGGTTCGCGGAAAAGATCACAATATATAAAATCAAAATAAGAACAATAACCCAATAACACCCCCCCCCAAAAAAAAGTGAGCCACATTTTAAAAGGGTATAGGATGTCAACCAAAGGCCTGGTGAAAAAGGAATGTGTGCTGCCCCCGCAAAAAAAATTATCCACCCCCCCCATCATCCTATCTCCATCATACTGGCCCCTCAAATCTCGGTCTCTTAGCTCCTAAGAAAACAAATTTAATTCCTTCTCCAACTTTCGCCCCCCCCACTCCAGAACAATGTTACCCCCACCCCGGTTTTTACTTCCACAAACAGCCCTCCCCAAATTCGCCCTACCAAACACCACCCTCTTTACTGAGCTTCACCTCCCCCCGTGCAAACCCCCCAAAAATATCCTTCCCCGCAGCTCCCTCCGTCTCCATCCTGAATTCCTTTCCAGCACCGCTTCTCCTGGCACCCCAGATCTCACCCCCCCCCCCAGATTACCCCTTATTATTTGAGATCTCTTCCCTCACCATGCTGCCCCCCCAAATAAATCGCTACCTCCTATTTTACGGGCGCCCCCCCACCCCAATTTTCTTTACCCGTCTGCGCGCGCTTCTCCGGGTTCCGCTGGAAAAAAATTGTATTAAAAAAACCTGCTACAAACTTTCACTGATTCGTACTCTCTCCCGCCTCCCCCCCCCCGCACATCTGTTCCTAGAAGCTCCGCCCCCGCCCCCTCCCACCAGCCAATCGCTGCTCGCAAACACCAAGGGGCGGCGGGGGGGGGGCCCTTTATCAACGCATTCCAAAGCCCCTTCCCCCTCTGGCTGGGAGCCCGGAGGGGGCTAACTTAATTCATGGGGTGTTAACACAAAGAGAGGGTCCTGGGGCGCGGATGGGCTCTGAGCGCAAGAGCCTGGGAGGCTTGCAAAGGTTAACTTGCAATGGGGGGGGTCTTCCCTTTCTGCGAATCTAGAAGTCTCCTTTAAGGATGTCTCTGCTGCGAGGAGGGGGGTGTAATTATAGGAGCCAACTCCTAGGGCAAGCATCCCTTCAACCCCCCCAATAAAATATTTGGGGGGGGGGGCAAAGTTGATGGCCTGTTGTCTTTGTCCATGGAGTTTTCTTGGCAGGGATACTGGAGTGGCTTGCCGGTTCCTGCTCCAGGTGGATCACGTTTGGGCAAAACTCTCCACTATGACCAGTCCCTCTATGGCTCATGGTTCATAGCTTCTCTGAGTTATTCAAGCCCCTTCGCCACAAAGGATAATATGGTCTGAAGCTCAATATAATAAAAAAAACTAAGATCATGGCCACTGGTCCCATCACCTCCTGGCAAATAGAAGGGGAAGAAATGGAGGCAATGAGAGATTTTACTTTCTTGGGCTCCATGATCACTGCAGATGGTGACAGCAGCCACGAAATTAAGAGATGCCTGCTTCTTGGGAGAAAAGCAATGACAAACCTAGACAGCATCTTAAAAAGCAGAGACATCACCTTGCCCACAAAGGTCCGTATAGTTAAAGCTCTGGTTTTCCCAGCAGTGATGTATGGAAGTGAGAGCTGGACCATCAAGAAGGCTGATCGCTGAAGAATGGATGCTTTTGAATTCTGGTGCTGGAGGAGACTCTTGAGAGTCCCATGGACTGCAAGAAGATCAAACCTCTCCATTCGGAAGGAAATCAGCCCTGAGTGCTCATCCTGAAGCTGAGGCTCCAAGACTTTGGCCACCTCATGAGAAGAGAAGACTCCCTGGAAAAGACCCTGATGTTGGGAAAGATGGAGGGCGCAAGGAGAAGGGGGCGACAGAGGACGAGATGGCGGGACAGTGTTCTCGGAGCTACGAACATGAGTTTGACCAAACTGCGGGAGGCAGTGGAAGACAGGAGGGCCTGGCGTGCTCTGGTCCAGGGGGTCACGAAGAGTCGGACACGACTAAACGACTAAACAACAACAAAGTTGATGGGAACTGCCATTCAAATGTGATCAATTACATGGGGCGAGGCTTACCTGCTCCCCCCCCTACTTTATTCAAGTGGGCACACTTGGCTCTAATTATTCTTAATGGGACTTAAATTTGGCTGTGGGGTAGCGGGGTGGGGGGGGGGGAGAGACGAGGCGTCTTCATTTTGGTGGCTCCCAACATCCTCCTTGGCTTGGGAGGAAGGGGCTCCTTTTGGAAGGAGTGGGGGGCTCCCGTCAATTTGCTGGGGGCTGCAACTCTAGGATGCATTGGTTGGCTGGCGGCAGGGCGGTGTAGTGGTTAGAGCAGGGCCAGCCCAAGTCTTTTTGGCATCGTTTTGGCCACAAAATGACACCTCTCCACCCACCGCCAAGGAAGAAGGGGTGAGTGATTTGGAACAAGGTGGGGAAATCAGATCAAACAATCTTACCTTTGTGGGGAATGTGGAGAAATTTTATTGGACGACAGAGAAAAAGTGGAACTGCTCAACAACTAATTTGCCTTGGGCTTCACCCAAAAGGTGAAAGCGATGCCCAACTTGGTGCTAACAGAATAAATGATGCAAGGAAGCAGCTGCAGCCCAAGACAGGGTAAGAGGTAGGAAGGGAACAATACTTTAAATTTCCGAGCACAATTCAAAGTGTTGGTGCTGGCCTTTAAAGCCCTAAACGGCCTTGGTCCAGTATATCTGAAGGAGCGTGTCCACCCCCATCGTTCTACCCGGACACTGAGATCCAGCGCCGAGGGCCTTCTGGCGGTTCCCTCACTGCAAGAAGCAAGGTTACAGGGAACCAGGCAGAGGGCCTTCTCAGTGGTGGCACCCACCCTGTGGAACGCCCTCCCACCAGATGTCAAAGAGAAAAGTAACTACCAGACTTTTAGAAGACATCTGAAGGCAGCCCTGTTCAGGGAAGCTTTTAATGTTTGATGTATTATAGTATTTTAATTTTGGGGAGGAAGCCGCCCAGAGTGGCTGGGGAAACCCAGCCAGATGGGCAGGGTATAAATAATAAATTATTATTATTATTATTATTATTATTATTATTATTATTAATCTCCAGGGCCTTATGAGCTGCATCCAAGCGTACTAAAGGAGAAAGCAGGTGCAATTTGCCATCACAACTTGCAAGTCTGTTTAACATCTATTGCTGATTGCACACGTCTATTCCACCAAATGATTTGAATAACGGAACACAGGCATCTGTATCCCATAACAGGACACGGGTGGCGCTGCGGTCTAAACCCCTGAGCCTCTTGGGCTTCCCGATCGGAAGGTCGGCGGTTCGAATCCCCACGACGGGGTGAGCTCCTGTTGCTCTGTCCCAGCTCCTGCCAACCTAGCAGTTTGAAAGCACGCCGGTGCAAGTAGATAAATAGGTACCGCTGCGGCAGGAAGGTAGACGGTGTTTCCATGCGTTCTGGTTTCCATCACGGTGTGCTGTTGCACCAGAAGCGGTTTAGTCCTGCTGGCCACATGACCCGGAAAGCTGTCTGCGGACAAACGCCAGCTCCCTTGGCCTGAAAGCGAGATGAGCGCCGCAACCCCATAGTCGCCTTTGACTGGACTTAACCGTCCAGGGGTCCTTTACCTTTTAACCTTTTATGATTTGAAGCAGCAGAGTTGGTGCAAATTCTGGACCAGTTGTGAGTTGAATAAAGGCCAATAAAGGGAGAGGGTCTGTTTCACTGGATGGAAGAAAGTTTCTAGCTTTAATCATCTACATGCGCTCTACGTGGGGCTACCTTTGAAGGTGACCCGGAAACTGCAATTAATCCAGAATGGTGCAGCTAGACTGGTGACTGGGAGTGGCGGCCGGGACCACATAACACCGGTCCTGAGAGATCTGCATTGGCTCCCAGTACGTTTCTGAGCACAATTCAAAGTGTTGGTGCTGACCGTGAAAGCCCTAAACGGCCTCTGAACTGTATACCTGAAGGAGCGTCTCCACCTCCATCGTTCTGCCCGGACACCTGGGTCCATCTCCTGAGGGCCTTCTGGCGGTTCCCTCCCTGCAAGAAGTGAGGTTACAGGGGACCAGACAGAGGGCCTTCTCGGTGGTGGCTCCCGCCCTGTGGAGCGCCCTCCCTTTAGATGTGAAGGAAATAAGCAGCTATCTTCTCTTTAAAAGACATCTGAAGGCAGCCCTGTTTAGGGAAGTTTTTAATATTTAACGCTGTATTGTTTTTAACATTTGATTGGAAGCCGCCCAGAGTGGCTGGGAAACTCAGCCAGATGGGCGGGGTATAAATAATAAATTATTATTATTAATCATGCCTAGAATGTTTTTAAATATGTGAATAGTGCTTAGAGGTTAAATAATAGGTTTTTTTTTAATGAATGACCAGCTGGAATGGTAACTACCCATTGGAAGGCTCAGATTGAACTGTACCTTTCGCATCTCAACTGCAAATTATCATTCTGCGTCTGGGGCTGTGGCATCTCTCCCAATCTATAAAAGCAGAATACGAGAACATAGAGAGAGCTCTAGCCATCTTGTCCAGGATTCTGTTCTCACAGCACTCAACCACATGCCACAATGGGAACCCCAAAAAGCATTGCTGCCTCTGACGCTTAAATCAATGCACTTTTAATAAGATCGACATCACAGTCCTGTTGGTGGAAGGGGGGAAAAGTCCTTTAATCTTGCCTTGATGGAAAATCGACGGCTCCCCCCAGTGGTAATTTTGAGGAAAGACACATATTAGTCTGTTCAGGAGCAGCTAGACAGGTCATGATGGCATCTGTATCCCATTCTAGAACCAACCTCCCAGACCAGGTCCCCGGTTACAGTAACTTTTGCATTGTTTGGTTACACGTGCATTCGCCAAGAGTTAACAGGTAGCTCCTCCCTGACATGGAGCGGTGTCCGACAGCCAACATGCAGCAGTAGTTAGTAACTTAGCAGCATATTGGATTGCTGGCATGCAGGAGCGGGTGGAATTTGACGGCTCGCAATGATATGCTTGCACCTTTTTTTTTGCGTGAATGTCCCTAGATTCGTTACTGGAAGCTGTCCTGGTTTTTCCCCAACCCCCACCAATATATGTTGGTCTCAGAAGTGGAATAGGATCCCAATAGCAGCTCTCCTTCGGGGCCCAATCCACCACGGCATTCTCCTATAAAAGGCCCATTGAAATGAACGGAAGGGGTTGATTCTGGCCTGACACTCCAGCAGAGCTTTGCTTTTGGAAATGTCAATTATTGACCAAAGGTAAAGAGCACCTTGGTGCTATGAATCTATGAAGCGGGGAGGACAGCTGAAAACAATGTCAATGTATTTAACATCTGGCAAACCCTGCGTTTCAGATAGTACATAGGTAGACGAGTCTCAGAAACCTGGGGCTCCATTTTCCCAGTCCTTTTGTGGCTATGGTGGCACGTTGACCAGAAGTCATGTATTTAGCGTTAACTCTGGAAGTGACTACAGTGGTACCTTGGTTCTCAAACGCCTTGGTACTCAAACAACTTGGAACCCAAACACTGCAAACCCGGAAGTGTTCCAGTTTGCGAACTTTTTTCAGAAGCCGAACGTGCTCCGTTTTGAGTGTTACGCTTTTGTTTTGAACGTTACACTCCCAATTTGAGTTGCACGCTTCCGTTTTAAGTGTTTAAGTGTTACACTGAGGTCTGTCTGTTTTTGCTATGTATTTTTTGTTTTTACGGCTCTTTTTGTTTTTGTGACTGTGTGGAACCCAGTTCAGCTACTGACTGATTGTGTGACTGTAGTACATTGTTTATTGCTTTCATTTTATGGATCAATGGTCTCGTTACATAGTAAAATTCATGTTCAATTGCTGTTTGAGGGGTTGTTTTTAAAAGTCTGGAACGGATTAAACCATTTTGCATTACTTTCTATGGGAAAGTGTGCCTTGGTTTTGGAACACTTTGGTTTTAGAACGGACTTCCTAAAAGGATTAAGTTTGAGAACCGAGGTACCACTGTACTTCATTCTGACCACATTAAGCCTCCTGACGTATATGTTGCTCTAGGAGGCTTACAGTTTGGTCAGCATCGAGGATATATTTCCAGAGTTGACACTAAATACATTACTTCTGGTCAACGAAACACCATAGCCATGAAAATTTGTGTCTCAGGTTTTTTTAGACTCATCTACCCATGTACTAGTTACGCGGGTGGCGCTGTGGATTAAACCACAGAGCCTAGGACTTGCCGATCAGAAGGTCGGCGGTTCGAATCCCCGCAATGACGGGGTGAGCTCCCGTTGCTTGGTCCCTGCTCCTGCCAACATAGCAGTTCGAAAGCACGTCAAAGTGCAAGTGGATAAATAGGTACCGCTCCGGCGGGAAGGTAAACAGCGTTTCCGTGCGCTGCTCTGGTTCACCAGAAGCGGCTAAGTCCTGCTGGCCACATGACCCGGAAGCTGTACGCCGGCTCCCTCTGCCACTAAAGCGAGATGAGCGCTGCAACCCCAGAGTCGGCCACGACTGGACCTAATGGTTGGGGTCCCTTTACCTTTACCCATGTACTATCTGAAACCAAAGGGATGAATTGGTTGCCAGAAGTGAAAAAATAAATATTTCAGTTTTCCTACCCCATGAATGAATATGTTGGGGACAGACAAGGTCTGTTTGTTTTCATCTCAGTCTATCTGTAGGGCTTCCTATTTTGGCTGTCCTCTTTTGGAAACTGTACGCTGGGGAACCCGGTGCTTTTCAGATATGGTAGTGACCTCCAACATCAGCCAGCACTGGTCAGAGACAATGGGGCCGAATAGGATCTCAACAGCATCTCAACCTTCCTCATCCCTAAACTCAGATGGACCTCTTCTTTTGGCCAGATTTAGCCACACCTTTTCTCATGATCTTACCTTCCGTGGAAATTGTGCAGCAATGACCCCCAACCCCTTGTGGCAGGCTGTGTCGTCAGGCCAGACTCACACACCTCATCCTTCGGCGGCTCTCCAAACCAGATTTTTAAAAGATCCCATTGGGATTCAATCGGGCTACGTTTAAGAACTGCGAGAGTGCCTCTGAGCGCACGCGGGGTGCGTTTCTCATAGGGCACAAGCCGAAACTGCGGTGGCGATGGTGGAAGGAGGGGGCAGAGGGGGTGGGGGGAAGAAGTTTCTTCTCCTGGTACATCCCACGGAGGACCTTACGGTCTTCAAACAAAAACATCTTGGAGATCCTGGGCCACAGAGAGGTTAGGCTGGCCTCAACCAGAGCCAGGGCTTTTTTGGCTGTGGCTCCGATCTGGTGGAACGCTCTGCCACAAGAGATTAGGGCCCTGCAGGACTTGACATCTTTCCGCAGGACCTGCAAGACAGAGCTGTTCCACCAAGCCTTTGGCCAGGGCACAGCCTGACTCCCTCCTTTGGCAATCTTCCCAGAACTCTAGCCCAATGGTTGCCATCAATTTGATTTGGAGTAATTTTTTAATGAAATGATTTTAGAATGTTGCATTATTTTATTGTTGTTAGCCGCCCTGAGCCCGGCTTTGGCTGGGGAGAGCGGGATATAAATAAAAATTTATTATTATTATTATTATTATTATTCGTGTTTCCGACGGGGATGCGCAAAGAGCGAGCGGATTAAAATGGAGAGAGTCAAATGCTTTTTCTGCTTTTTGTTTTGCTTTTCTTATCTGCAATGAGTTTATTGGTTCCAGCAATTTAGTGCACCCTCTCCCTGTCTAGGTCACTGGAATGGGGACCCCACCTCTCCCCTGTGCTCCCCCCCGCAACCCGTGCTCAGGAAGAGGTCCAATCCTGACTCTTTTTCCTCGGGATTAGCCAGTGGTCCGCTCAACACAGGCGTAATATGTTCACACAAGAAGCAGCAGCGGCGGCAGCAGCAGCAACAACAACAACACCATCCCCCATCGTCTTTTTTCTTCTCCCCAAAGAGACCGCAGTGTCCTTCTCGCTCCCTTCTCCTGGAGCGCGGCTTCAAAACACAGGCCTTCGACAGCATCCTCTGTCCAACGGCAGCGACGACCAGCCTATTCCTTCTTGGCTAACCCCACAACCCACCGCAAAAAAAACCCCAGGCAGACCGAGGACTCGGTACCCGCGTCGCCGTAGGACGCATCGCCGCGTGCCCTCGAGATGGAGGCTCGGCCCGGCATCTGCGAAGACGTCATTGCCTCTCCATCCCACCCCTTCTGATTCAGGAGTTGGGGTCCCTTGTTTTTTAACCCGCCCGCTTTTCCAGCTGGCTGGCGGAAGGGAAAACAACCGATTGGGTGGGATTCGAACGGGTCCCTCGCCCACCCAGCAGCCTTGCCAAGCTGTACTCAGGACCGGCTGAATAGAACAGGGGAAGGCTGCTTTTATATTCCATCCAACCTCACCCCTCCCCGCCAGACCTCGCGGCGACCGACGCCGCCCACAGGATAATATTGCGAAAAGAAGCACAGTCCTTTTGTTGGTTTTGTTTTGTTGTTCCTGCAGGGAGCAGAGGATTCAGCTAGGAGGCTATGTTCGCGCCCTCGCGGGCCTACAAGGAGGAAAAACAAGCTGGTATGGACACAGGGGCGGGGTTGGTTAAGGGGCTGGGCAGTCAATGGCGCCTCGCTCGAGTTATCTGGTTTTGGCGTCCCCGTTGGCAGCGGGGCTCCGGCCGTTCAGTTGCAGCGGGGGCTCCTTGCTGATGCAGCTGCCACTGGGCTCTGAGTGGATGGCGCCATTCCTCTTGGCTTCTTTCACCTGCGCTGCCTCGTCGTCGCCCTTCTCGCTTTCGTCCGAGTCGCTCCGGAGATCCTTCTCCATCTGCCGGGAGAGAAACAGCTTTGGTCAACGGCAGTGGTTGCCCCTTCTCCTCTCCCCTACTTGTGTGGTTTGATTTGGAGCGCTGACAAAGGGTATTCCTTGACTGGGGCTGGATGAACCATTGAACAAAATCAGCCCGTGCTTTAGGCAGCAAAGGCACCAAAGAAATCTCCCATTGTCAGGATCGTCTCCACCGCCATCGTTCTACCGGGACGCTGAGGTCCAGCTTTGAGGCCCTTCTGGCGGTTCCCTCGCTGCAAGAAGCCAGGTTACAGGGAACCAGGCAGAGGGCCTTCTCGGTGGTGGCACCTGCCCTTGGAACACCCTCCCACCAGATGTCAAAGAGACAGGCTCTGGTTATCTCTCGCTTGGGCTACTGCAATGCACTCTATGTGGGGCTACCTTTGAAGGTGACCCAGAAACTACAACTAATCCAGAATGCGGCAGCTAGACTGGGGACTGGGAGCGGCTGCCGAGACCACATAACACCAGTCTGCTAGACCTACACTGGCTCCCAGTACGTTTCCAAGCACAATTCAAAGTGTTGGTGCTGACCTTGAAAGTCCTAAATGGCCTCGGCCCAGTATACCTGAAGGAGTATCTCCACCCCCATCGTTCTGCCCGGACACTGAGGTCCAGCTCTGAGGGCCTTCTGGCGGTTCCCTCACTGCGAGAAGCAAAGCTACAGGGAACCAGGCAGAGGGCCTTCTCAGTGGTGGCACCTGCCCTGTGGAACGCCCTCCCACCAGATGTCAAGGACAAAAACAACTACCAGACTTTTAGAAGACATCTAAAAGTCTTCTGGGCGGCTTCCAACAGAATATTAAAATACAACAACCTATTAAACATTAAAAGCGCCCCTAAACAGGGCTGCCTTCAGATGTCTTCTAAAAGTCCATTAAAACCCGCCCACCGACCCTCACCCGATTTCGGTCCCTACCGTGCCACTTTTGACAAACTTGTAGACCATGTGGATGATTAAGAAAGACCAGAAAACGTGGAGAAGTTGGAGAATCATCAGAAGGGCGTTCATGAAGTAATAGCCGAAGAATGGCTGGTAGAGTTCCATTGAGTAGTAATACGTGTTGTAGATGACCCTGCGAGGAAGGGGATAATAACAAAAATAGCATTCAGCGGCCCTTCCTTTAGTCTGACATCAGTTAAAAAACAACAATACAGTTTAAAAGAAATTTCCACCACAAGCGAGTCGTAAAAATGTGCATATTGATTGTCTAAGTCAGGGGTCAGCAAACGTTTTCAGCCGTGGGCCAGTCCACTGTCCCTCAGACCTTGTGAGGGGCCAGACTATATTTTGAAGAAAAAATAATGAACGAATTCCTATGCCCCACAAATAACCCAGAGATGCATTTTAAATAAAAGGACACATTCTACTCTTGTAAAAACACGCTGATACCCGGACTGTCTGTGGGCCGGATTGAGAAGGCGATTGGGCCGGATCCGGGCCCCGGGCCTTAGTTTGCCTACCCCTGGTCTAAGTCCAAGGCATGCCTTCTAAATGTCCCTATTTTTTGGGGACATTTCCTAGATTTACAGAAGCTGTCCCGGTTTCTGATTTGATCCCAGAATGGAAGTAAGTGTTCGGGTTTGCGAACATTTTTCGGAAGCTGAACGTGCTCTGTTTTGAGTGTTACATTTTTGATTTGAGTGTTACGCTGAGGTCTGTCTGTTTTTGCTGTGTATTTGGCATTTTTGTGGCTCTTTTTGTTTTTGTGACTGTGTGGAACCCAGTCCAGCTACTGATGGATGGATTGTGCGACTGCAGTACAGTGTTAATTGCTTTCATTTTGTGGATCAATGGTCTCGTTCGGTAGTAAAATTCATGTTTGATTGCTGTTTTAGGGGTTGTTTTTAAAAGTCTGGAATGGATTAATCCGTTTTGCATTACTTTCTATGGGAAAGCGTGCCTTGGTTTTGGAACGCTTTGGTTTTGGAACGGACGTCCGGAATGGATTAAGTTTGAGAACCAAGGTACCACTGTATAACATAAATAGATTGCTTCAGGTCCTACCCTTCAGAGAAAACGAAATTGCTCCATCTCCCATAGAACAGCCCTTCAGACCCTATCACATATAATATCTCAATCGCATCTTCCTTGAGCTAAAAGTACGCAACTTCCTCAACCATTCCTCATAAGGCTTAGTTTCTAGAGGCCTGGTTGTGCTCTGCACATGTTTCAGCTTGTCAATAGAGATTATTCGAATGATTCGTTGATTTCTATACTGCTTAGTAAAGGTAAAGGGACCCCTGCCCATTAGGTCCAGTTGTGGCCGACTCTGCGGTTCTGGCGCTCATCTCGCTTTATTGGCAGAGGGAGCCGGCGTACAGCTTCCGGGTCGTGTGGCCAGCATGACTAAGCCGCTTCTGGTGAACCAGAGCAGCGCACGGAAACGCCGTTTACCTTCCCGCCGGAGCGGTACCTATTTATCTACTTGCACTTTGATGTGCTTTCGAACTGCTAGGTTGGCAGGAGCAGGGACCGAGCAACGGGAGCTCACCCCGTCATTGCGGGGATTCGAACCGCCGACCTTCTGATCAGCAAGCCCAAGGCTCAGTGGTTTAACCCACAGCGCCACCCGCGGCCCTTTCTGTACTGCTTAATATATATCAAAAATCTCTCTAAGCGGCGTGCAAAAAAACAACAACGAAGCAACAACAGACAGGTCCCACCCACCGGAGCAGGGGGAAAACCGAGATTTCTCCATTTTCTAGCCCTTGAGATATATGAAGGTGTCTTACTTACTTGTAGGGGAAAATAACCAGGCGGGTGAAAAGGAAAACAGCAGAGAAAGTGAGGAAAAGGATGTCACATACACGACGCCATTTCAGATAGTTGAATATCTTCGTGGGCTGGAGAAGGGGGGTGGGGGGAGACGGGGAGAGGAAAACGACAGAGGGACACAAATGAGGTTTCCTTTGCAACTACTATTCAGCTTGTGACCGGACTGCAAAGTTTCTCTGAGTTTTCAGTACAAACTCCAAAGATCACAGTGAACTGCAGTGGTGGCTTGTGTCCTTTGGGAAGGGGGGAAACCAGGGAGCCCCACAGGTAAAGGTAAAAAAAAAGGTAAAGGACCCCTGGATGGTTAAGTCCAGTGAAAGGCGATTATGGGGTTGCGGCGCTCATCTCTCTTTCAGGCTGAGGGAGCTGGTGTTTGTCCACAGACAGCTTTCCGGGTCATGTGGCCAGCAGGACTAAACCGCTTCTGGTGCAACGGGACACTGTGACGGAAACCAGAACGCATGGAAATGCTGTTTACCTTCCCGCCAGAGTGGTACCTATTTATCTACTTGCGCTGGTGTGCTTTTGGACTGCTAGGTTGGCAGGAGCTGGGACAGAGCAACGGGAGCTCGCTCCATCACGGGGATTCGAACCACCGACCTTCGGATCGGCAAGCCCAAGAGGCTCCGTGGTTTAGACCACAGCGCCACCTGCGTCCCAACAGTAGGTGACACCAGAGCCACTGATTCTCATATTGCGCCCTCCTGCTCTTCCCTGCTGAGTTCTGCAAAGGGCAACTGTGAGTCTATGGAAGAGGAAGAATCTGCCCCCTCAAGTTGGCATAACCAGACAGGGTGCTTGGACTGGTTGTGATTGATGGGGCGGTCTGCCACTCACCTTGTTATAAAATGTCAGGGTGCCCTCAGATACCTGTCACACATTCCCCAGAAAGCCAGATTGTGTCAAGGTATGGCAAAAAGATATTTCTAAATATATCTGGCAAGGGGAAAAAACCCGAGAATAAAATATTGATAGATGCAAAAGAAAGAGGTTTTTCCCCCTTGCCAGATATGAGATTATATTATGAGGCATCCCGTCTTTGTTGGTTGAAGGAATGGATGACATTAGAGAATTCACATATATTAGACCTAGAAGGTCATGATAATATTTTTGGCTGGCACGCTCATCTATGGTGTGAAAGGGTGGAAGTCCATAGGGATTGAAATCAATTTCCATTGGGAGTGGGGCCGATACAGGGAGCTGGAGTTCAGCATCCACATCTAGGTATTGGGCAAATTCACATGAGAGGATGCATCCAGGGCTGGCTTAGCCATAGGTGCTAGGGGTGCGGGTCACCCAGGCGGCAGGCTCTCAGGGGCGCCAGGCCGAGAGTCCAGAGCTGAGATTTGGAGTCAGGGGATTGAAGAGCCAGACCAGCCGACAGCCGAGTGAAGCAGAGCTCGTCGGAGCGCCACAGGCTTTTATGCTGCGGGCACTGAGGCAGCCAGCCGACTCTGCCCTTCTGGGATTGGCAGAGTCAAGAGGCCTGCCCAGCGCACGCAGGCTGCTCACACGAGGCGCATAACTTCCCTGCAAAGCCTCTGCAGGCATTACTCTCTTCCCACAGTGGCATAGCTGTCAACCATCCCTTATTTGGCGGGAAAGTCCCTTATCCCAGCGCCGTGTCCCGCTGCTGTCCCTTATTGATGATGTCCCTTAAATTTCCCAGGTTTCAAAGGAAGCAGCTCCTCTCCCTCCCTCCCTGCCGGCCAGGGAGGAGGGAGGCTCCAACTGTGTTGCTTGGCTGCGTTGCTCACCCAATAAGGAGTCTAAGAACGACTGGGGGGTGGAGCTTGCATGCCTTGTGCCAATCAAATCGGCCGCGTTGCCTGGGGACTCGCCTTTGCTCAGCGCTTCCCAGCGGAGAGATGACGGTGGTTTTCCTTGCTGCATCCCCTTTGCCGGGTTGCTGCGCTGTGGGAACCACCGCTTGAGGCTTCGTTTGGCTGCTGGCTGGGCTTTCTGCCTTTGGCTCGGAGGGGCTCAGAAGTCGAACATACCTGTGCTTGGAAAATCCCTTATTTTGGCTGCTGATCCCTTATTTTCAAGGCTGCTGGTCCCTTATTTTCAAATCTGTAAGTTGACAGCTATGGGCTAGGTCAGCCCCTCTGGGTTTTCCCCCTTCTGGGGCACGGGTGTCGCTTACCTCCAGGAAGCAATCGGACGCATCGTGGATGACCATGACAAGGGTACCAATACGGATGTAGTTGGCACAGTAGGAGAAGCTGATGAGGAAAATCGTGGCTGCATGGTGGACAATTTGCTCGCTGAAGTCCTGTAGTGGCGGGGGAAGAGGAAACAGCAATGGACCGTGTTAAGTTGTGGGTGAACATATCAGACGACACAGCGATTCTTCAAACAGCTCTTGTTTATTCAGAGGCCAGAACAGAACTGAACTGAAGGGTTCAGTCAGCCTGCTTATATAGAGCTCCAGTACAACGTAACTGTAACAATTTTCTAAAACTATCCAATCATTGAACGTCACTTTTGATCCCTTATTTGCATAACTATCTACAGTATCCCCCTGCTGGCCCAGGGTGAGAACTTCAGTGCATAACAGAACGGCTGAGGTACCACTGTACTTAACCCGAGGTACCACTGTACTTAATTCGTTCTGGAGGTCCGTTCTTAACCTGAAACTGTTCTTAACCTGAAGCACCACTTTAGCTAATGGGGCCTCCTGCTGCCGCCGCGCAATTTCTGTTCTCATGCTGAAGCAAAGTTCTTAACCCGAAGTACTATTTCTGGGTTAGCGGAGTCTGTAACCTGAAGCGTATGTAACCTGAAGCGTATGTAACCCGAGGTACCACTGTATAGTGGTACCTCAAACGGAATCCGTTCCGGAACTCCGTTCGACTTCCAAAACGTTCGGAAACCAAGGCGCGGATTCTGACTGGCTGCAGGATGCTTCTACTTACCTTTCGCTTGATGTCAAAAGGCAGCGTGAAAACCAGCGAGCAATAGAACGAGAGTTCCAACATGTAGTAGCTGAAGATGGAGGGGAGAAGAGGCTGCGGGGCCAGAAACAAGAGGCGTAGGAAGGAGAGAGAGAAGGAACGTTATTCTGATAAATCTGAAAACGCATCTCAAGGCTAGATTACCGTCGTGGGCTTTGCGTGGGGCTGCCCTTGGGCCTGGTCCGGAATCTCAGTCCGTTAGCATTTCTTAGTAATAATAATAATAATAATAATAATAATTTTTATTTATACCCCCCTCTCCCCAGCCAAGGCCGGGCTCAGGGCAGCTCACAAGCAATAATAAAAACAAGTTGAATGAATACAACTTAAAAACAAGATTAAATTACAATATTAAAATAGTAGCGCGGAAATGAATGAAACAAGACGCTGTATTGTTTTTAATATTCGTTTGGAAGCTGCCCAGTGTGGCTGGGGAAACCCAGCCAGATGGGCGGGGTATAAATTTATTTTTATTTTTATTATTACCTGTGTCAGCCATAGCAATAAAGCAGGCATGTCCAAAGACTGTTTTGGGGGCCTAATTCGGCCTTCAACCCTAAAAAAAACTCAACAACTTCAATCCTGAAACTTCAACAACTTTGGTTGACCCTCATGCATGTTTACGTCATCAAATCTGCCCCTCTTTGAAAAAAGTTTGGGCACCCCTGCAAAGCAACACGACGATAAACAAAGAATAGAAATAAAAAGTCAATTATATAAAACGCATTTTAGGGTTTTGAATCAATAGTCAAATAGTGGATCTTATTCTGATTGCCCCAGCTAAAAACCTTGCCACCTTTGCTGTCGCCTGCTCATCTTGATCTGCCAAGAGAAAGGACACTGTGGCAGTGGTTGGGCGACCCGGAATGGACGATAAAAGAGGGGTGATAATCTCATTCCTCAAGTCTTTATAAAGAATGCAAGCATGCGCCACCAATTTGGTACTGCCATCACCACAGGGACATAAACGTTTTCCGTCTGGAATCTGTTGGAATCGTCTCTCAAAGTCCAGCCGAGGGCAAGACATTCAATCTTGTGAGAGTAAAATCCCGTCTATGTTTTAGAATTGCTAGGTTATGCAGAGAGGGTGCCGGAGAGTCGAAATGGGAAGGTGGAAAATAGTCGTACGACGGGCAAAATTTCCTTATCGTGGCCCAGTTGTTCTGACGCTCGATTATCATTTAGGCGCTGACAAATTGGACCATTTGCTTTACCAAAGTGAGTATGGTAGCTGTTGTGGGGATAAACCACAAGAGTGAAGTGTCTGAGAGACAACTTTAGCCCAGGCGCTCGTGCGACAATCTTGCAGCAGATTCTTAGTGCAGAAAGTATTGATCTGATGTGTAGAGATCTTTCCTATTCTGATTAATTCAATAAGGTTCTCGGAAGCTTCTCGGCTGCTTACCTGTTGTGGATACCTGACCCAACACTCGCGGTGGTCCCAGAACCAGGGTTTCTGCAAGGAGACAAAAATCTGTAAGAATAATTGCACATTTCTCTATTGTCCCATATGCCCCATAGGAAAAGGGGTGGCAGCCTGCCTTTTGGATAAGGAGCTACAAAACTGAAAAGTTTCCCTTCAGATGTGAAGGAAATAAGTAGCTATCTTATCTTTAAAAGACATCTGAAGGCAGCCCTGTTTAGAGAAGTTTTTAATATTTAATGCTGTATTGTTTTTAACACTCAATTGGGAGCCGCCCAGAGTGGCTGGGGAGACTCAGCCAGATGGGCGGGGTATAAATAATAAACTATTATTATAAAGTGTTGTTGTTGCAACTCACGTCGTGAAGGACTGCCAAACCGGTGCAAAAGGACGTGTAGTAAAACGTGCACCTCCAGCTGGAAGAGAATAAGAAAAATCAGGGCAGATCTGTGAATTCATGACTTGGGAGAAGGACTAAGTCAGACGAACAGCAAACAAGAGTCCAATGGATACAACTTGTTTGTTTGTTTTAAGAAATAATAAATTTTATTAGTATTTTCCACACACGGAAAATATCAAAAAATAACAATACACGAAACACAAAAGCCAGCATACCAAAAAACCAAACAAATCCATATCTTACAAGTTAATAATATAAACGCCTAAAAAGAAAAACAAACATTGACTTCCACCAATCCCACAGCACCTCCTTTATTGTATCATCCTGTTTTCCTGTTTTCCTTATCATCTCTATCCTAGCATCTAGGTATAAATCCCTCTTTCTTATCCTTTCACTTCACAAGGTTATTCCAGACTCAGCCAGATTTCTGTCCTCGAACCTTGGCTTTTAAGGTATTCATTTAGGCACTCCCATTCCTTTTTCACTTCACTTTTTGGTTTTCGTCTTCTTATATCTGTCAATTTGGCTAATTCTAAATATTCTGAAAGCTTACATAACCATTCTCCCCTAGTGGGTAACTGATTCCCTTCACTGGATACTGTGATAGGAATTTTATGGTCTTAGATATATGGTAATGTTCATAAGTGTACCAACCAAGCACGTACATAGATCAGCACAGGAAGACCGACCTGGAACCATTTTAATTCCCAAACTGATCAAATGCTTTCTCTGCAAGGTCAAAGTGGAAAAGCCTCCCCATTGTCTTTTCCTTCACAAATCCTGTCTTAAGGGTATGTCTGTTTGAATAGGGTGTGAGCCTGTGACATGACCCAGGAACTAAATATTTATCACTACAAAAGAATGGCCAGGCTCCCCAGGCAATCCAATCAAGTAACCTGCCAGACAGGAGATAAACAACAACAGGAGTAAACAATATTCAAATTTCTGTTTTAGACCGCCTTTTCTGTGATGTAGGTGTGATGTATCTGAGGGGTGGTCTTAGGTTACACCCCTTCTGTGATGTATGTATGATGTTTCTGGGGGTGGTCTTGATCTACAGGGTGGCAATTTCAAAAGTCTTTATAAGGCCTTGCACACCATTTTTTCTGGGTCCTTCCTCCTCCTTCTCGTGCGGGTGAGGGGACCACCCTGTTGCAACAGCTTTAATAAAGATCAGGCTTACTAGCTGCTTTGCTTCTCAATATTCTCTGGTTGGCCTCTGTTATTCTCTCCTACCAATACGGAACCTATGTAAGGACTCTATATGGGCTCTTGGATACCCCATAAGGGAAAAGGGCAATTTTTGTTTACAACAATACAACTTGAGTTCTCCCAATATTCCGCAAAGCGGTTTAGTCTATCAGGGCACATTTTTTATATGCTAACTTGGCTAATATGTGGGATTTTGTTGTTGTCGTTGTTATGCACACTGCTTCCTAGTAGAATTACTTTTGTGCAGGTTACGTGACTGGAGATCTGAAGCTGCAAAAATTCTGGGAAGTGTGAATTTTGGAAAGACGACAGTGTTTCAAGTCCATAAATTGTGCATATTAAAAAAGGTTTGGCTTAGAACGCACACTGAATTGAGTTTCACCCACATTCCTAATTCAGATACACATTTTGTCTTATTCAGTGCCGGATTTACGTATAAACAAGCTATAGCTTAGGGCCCCACTCTCTTGGGGGCCTCCCAAAAAATTTAAAGGAAAAAAACCAACCTGGATGTAGATTTCCAAAATATAAGATGAAAAACAAATAAAATAAAACCTACATACAGCAACAGTGGCAAATGGCTTGAGATACCTATTAGGTCCATCAATTACCATATAGCATATAATCGACACAAAAAACAGCGGCAATTTGTCGTTGACATATAAAGGGCCCTATTACCTTCAGTAGCTCAGGGCCTCATCAAACATAAATTCTGCCCTGGTTTCATTGTACAAATTTCTAAGTGCGTATCATGTTTAGAGACGTTTTTAATGTTTGATGTTTGATGGTATTTTTAATATTCTGTTGGGAGCTGCCCAGAGTGGCTGGGGAAACCCATTCAGATGGGTGGGGTATAAATAATAATAATAATAATAATAATAATAATAATAAATGAGGGCCTCGGTCCAGTATACCTGAAGGAGGGTCTCCACCTCCATCGTTCTGCCCGGACACTGAGGTCCAGCTCCAAGGGCCTTCTGGCGGTTCCCTCGCTACGAGAAGCCAAGTTACAAGGAACCAGGCAGAGGGCCTTCTTGGTAGTGGCACCCACCCTGTGGAACGCCCTCCCACCAGATGTCAAAGAGAAAAATAACTACCAAACTTTTAGAAGACATCTGAAGGCAGCTCTGTTTAGGGAAGCTTTTAATGTTTAATAGGTTATTGCCATTTAGTGTTTTGTTGGAAGCCGCCCAGAGTGGCTGGGGAAACCCAGCCAGATGGGTGGGGTATAAATAATAAATTATGATGATGATGATGATGATGATGGCAGTCCAACTTTTTATACCAAGTGGGTTGCAAGAAGTGCTTTGACATAGAACCCAGAGACCGTACACTGAATTAAATGTCCATATCTCACATTAAAGAGCTTGCAGTATATTTATTATTATTTAATAGGCACGATTAATATATTTAAATGTAATCAAATAGGTACAATTAAACACACAATTAATAGATTTAATGAATTTAATTATTAAACAAATTTTATACGCCATCAGATGCATGCGATTTCGTCAACAGCACATGACACCAAAAGATGTTTAAGGCTTTAGGATGTTGCTAGATAACGCAGCCGCGTCTGCATTTTGGTGCTCTATTCAGATGTGGAAATATGGAGGATAATAAGTTCTGCTTTTGTGTACTATGCTCGAACCTCTATTGGCATACGGAGAAGATTGCAGCAGAGCTGAATGCAATAAAACCGCTCAGCAAAATTTGCATCTAATACTTTTGTGAATGTTGCGTAATGTTCACAAACCCTCGTGTTGCAAAAACCTGGCTGCTGTCTCCATCTAATCTCCATCCTGAGTAAACACCAGGAAGGATTAACTTTTATCTGAGCGCCGTTCCCTGTAACAACCAACCAATTAGAGAATTTAGATCGAACCGTCTGATACCAGGGGCTGAGCAAAACAACACACAGGGCTGAGTCTAGATTATATGATAAAGGTAAAGGTAAAGGTCCCTTTGACAATTAAGTCCAGTCGTGTATGACTCTGGGGTTGCGGCGCTCATCTCGCTTTACTGGCCGAGGGAGCCGGCGTTCAGCTTCCGGGTCATGTGGCCAGCATGACTAAGCCGCTTCTGGCGAAACCAGAGCACGGCACGGAAACGCTGTTTACCTTCCGATTGGCAAGCCCTAGGCTCTGTGGTTTAACCCACAGCGCCACCCGCGTCCCACACAGCCATCTTCAAACGATCTCAAGAGCTGTCAAGTGGAACAATTTGTTTTCTCCTGCTCCGGCGGGCAGGACTCGAACCCATGGCTTCAAGTTGCAAGAGAGGAGATTCCGACTCAACATCAGGAAGAGCTTTCTGGCAGCAAGAGCAGTTTGACAGCGGGAACGTTCTCCCTCGGGAGGTGGTGCACTCTCCTTCCTCAGAGGTTTTTAAGCAGAGGTTGGATGTCCATCTGTCATGGACTCTTGAAATGTGATCCGTGCATTGCAGGGGGTTGGACTAGATGGCCCTTGGGGTCCATTCCGCTCTATAGTTGTATGATTCGAAAATGGTCAACCAAAATGGTCAAAGGCCTGGAAACGATGCCTTATGAGGAACGGCTAAGGGAGCTGGGCATGTTTAGCATGTTTAGCCTGGAGAAGAGGAGGTTAAGGGGTGATATGATAGCCATGTTCAAATATATAAAAGGATGTCACATAGAGGAGGGAGAAAGGTTGTTTTCTGCTGCTCCAGAGAAGCGGACACGGAGCAATGGATCCAAACTACAAGAAAGAAGATTCCACCTAAACATTAGGAAGAACTTCCTGACAGTAAGAGCTGTTCGACAGTGGAATTTGCTGCCAAGGAGTGTGGTGGAGTCTCCTTCTTTGGAGGTCTTTAAGCAGAGGCTTGACAACCATATGTCAGGAGTGCTCTGATGGTGTTTCCTGCTTGGCAGGGGGTTGGACTCGATGGCCCTTGTGGTCTATTCCAACTCTATGATTCTATGAAAAGCGAATACTGATCATATTCACCGGACTGATATCTGTCCTACACCTGAGATGAGTAAGGAAACATTTTTGTGCTTATGCTTATGCTCCTGCTTCCATTTCTGTTTAAGTCCTCCGGCACTCCTGAAGGCACTAACATCCTGATCAGCTCTAAAAAGGTCTTAAAAGCTAAAGGTAAAGGGACCCCTGACCATTAGGTCCAGTTGTGACTGACTCTGGGGTTGAGGCTCATCTCACTTTATTGGCCGAGGGAGCCGGCGTCCAACTTACGGGTCATGTGGCCACCAGGACTAAGCCGCTTCTGGCAAACCGGAGCAGCGCATGGCAATGCCGTTTACCTTCCCGCCGGAGCGGTACCTATTTATCTACTTGCACTTTGACGCTGACCTTCTGATCAGCAAGCCCAAGAGGCTCAGTGGTTTAGATCACAGCACCACCCGCATCCCTATTATGTCTATGGGAAATCAAAACTCCAAGGGTAAAATTATCCGCTTTAGAAGTAAACCCACATTAAAGGGAGGGGAGTGGAATTTTTCCTAATCTTGCATTCTATCATTTGGCAGTCCACTTGAAAGCGATTGCCTAAGCGACAAATGATCATGTCCCTTAAGGAAAGGGTATTGGTAATAGATTGTTCTAGGACAGCGTTAGCAATTTTACTTTGGGTACGGATGAGATAAACCATAATTAAAATGTTCCGGCATCTTGGGTCACACAAAGGCGGCAGCAGCACAAACTGTTCAGGAGAACATTTAGTCAAAATATGTATCTGAAGAAGTGTGCATGCACACAAAAGCTTATACCGAGAACAAACTTAAGGGTACAGGTAAAGGGACCCCTGACCATTAGGTCCAGTCGTGGACGACTCTGGGGTTGCGACACTCATCTCGCTTTACTGGCTGAGGGAGCCGGCGTACAGCTTCCGGGTCATGTGGCCAGCATGACTAAGCTGCTTCTGGCAAACCAGAGCAGCGCATGGAAACGCTGTTTACCTTCCCGCCGGAGCGGTACCTATTTATCTACTTGCACTTTGACGTGCTTTCGAACTGCTAGGTTGGCAGGAGCAGGGACCGAGCAATGGGAGCTCATCCCATTGCGGGGATTCAAACCGCCGACCTCCTAGGGTCTGTGGTTTAACCCACAGCGCCACCCGCGTCCCTTAAGAATAAACTTAGTTGGTCTCTAAGGTGCTACTGGACAATTTTTTAAATTTTTTAAATATATTTTGACTGCGTCAGACTGACACAGCTACCTACCTGTGTCAAAATATGTAGCTCTACTTCATTTTGCTAAAGGCAACAACACTCTATTTATTGGGTGCTGCTAATAGGATTCTATTAGGATTCTATTCTTCTATAGGATTGTTGTTGTTGTTGTTTAGTCGTTTAGTCGTGTCAGACTCTTCGTGACCCCCTGGACCAGAGCACGCCAGGCACTCCTGTCTTCCACTGCCTCCCGCAGTTTGATCAAACTCATGCTGGTAGCTTCCAGAACACTGTCCCACCATCTCGTCCTCTGTCATCCCCTTCTTCTTGTGCCCTCCATCTTTCCCAGCATCAGGGTCTTTTCCAGGGAGTCTTCTCTTCTCATGAGGTGGCCAAAGTCTTGGAGCCTCAGCTTCAGGATCTGTCCTTCCAGTGAGCACTCAGGGCTGATTTCCTTCAGAATGGAGAGGTTTGATCTTCTTGCAGTCCATGGGACTCTCAAGAGTCTCCTCCAGCACCAGAATTCAAAAGCATCCATTCTTCGGCAATCAGCCTTCTTTATGGTCCAGCTCTCTCTATAGGATTAGAAGACATCTAAAGGCAGCCCTGTTTAGGGAAGCTTTTAATGTTTAATAAGGTAAAGGTACCCCTGCCCGTACGGGCCAGTCGTGTCCGACTCTAGGGTTATGTGCCCATCTCACTTAAGAGGCCGGGGGCCAGCGCTGTCCGGAGACACTTCCGGGTCACGTGGCCAGCGTGACGAAGCTGCTCTGGCGAGCCAGCGCAGCGCACAGAAACGCCATTTACCTTCCCGCTATAAAGCGGTACCTATTTATCTACTTGCACTTAAGAGTGCTTTCGAACTGCTAGGTGGGCAGGAGCTGGGACCGAAGGACGGGAGCTCACTCCGCCGTGGGGATTCGAACCGCCAACCATGCGATCGGCAAGTCCTAGGTTATGTTTAATAGGTTATTGTATTTTAGTGTTTTGTTGGAAGCCGCCCAGAGTGGCTGGGGGACCCAGCCAGATGGGCGGGGTATAAATAATATATTATTATTATTATTATTATTATTATTATTATTATTATTATTATTATATAATAATAGGATCAGGCCAAAAGAAGCAAATAATAATAATAATAATAATAATAATAATAATAAAGCACTTGGACATTGCTAGGAAAATAGGTATGGCACTTATTCCAGTTCTAACAGCTGTTGCTTTAAGGAAATTATGGTTCAGAACTGACAAATCTGACTAATGCAGACAAAGAGTAATAGAATTGTGAATGCCAAGGGTCCAGGGTTTCCCAAATTTGGGTCTGCAGCCGTTTCTGGACTACAATTCCCATCATCCCTGACCACTGGTCCTGCTAACTGAGAATGATGGGAGTTGTAGTCCCCCAAACAGCTGGAGTTTGGGAAACCCTGTTTTAGAGTCTCCAGGCCTTTTAAGCTTAAACATTGCAATTTCTGGGTGAAATATCTTAAACCAGCCCAGAAATGGAAGCAAGAAGAAATCCCGACGGAGGAAGAATGGCAAATAAAATTAATAGGCTATGCAGAATTGGATAAAATGACAGGAAGGATTCGAAACCTGCGGGACCAGAGATTTACAGAAGACTGGAAGAAGTATACGAATTATTTGAAGAGCAATTGTCATCCACAAATTACGATAGTAGGACTACAAGACGTTTTGTAAGGAGAAAAATATGAAACATGACAAAGTAGAAAAAGGATAGAGATATTAGTTATGAGATTTAAATGTAATAGGGAAAGTATGTACAGTGGTACCTCGGGTTAAGTACTTAATTCGTTCCGGAGGTCCGTTCTCAACCTGAGACTGTTCTTAACCTGAAGCACCACTTTAGCTAATGGGGCCTCCTGCTGCTGCCGCGCTGCCAGAGCACGATTTCTGCTCTCATCCTGAAGCAAAGTTCTTAACTTGAAGCACTATCTCAGGGTTAGCGGAGTCTGTAACCTGAAGCGTATGTAACTTGAGGTACCACTGTAATAGGGAAAGTATGTATATTAAGAAATGTATATTAAGAGATTAGATTGGAAAATTTTCAGACAGGATTGATGGAAGTCAAAAAATTGTATAAGGTGCAGAAGTATGTTTAATTAATGTTGAAAATGATATGTTAAAAAACTAATAAAATTATATATATATAAAAGAAATATCTTAAACTGCGTGAGTGTTTTGATATTTTTTACCTGGCTTCGCAGAACTTCTTGGTCAAGCTGGGCCGGTCCTGGTTACGGCGATATCGGAACCATCGCTCCACCTGCCTGGGCTGTAAGTCGCACTGTTTGGCCAGACCGACGAGTTCGCCCTGAAAGAGAGGCCAGGGAACAGGTAGATTGCAGTAGATCACGGAAAACCCACCCCCCCAGTCTAAAAAACTAACTAACTCAACAACTTTTGCTTGCTAAAAAAAGCTCAACAGCTCTGGCAGATCACCGCCTGTTTTGTTATAGTGGGAGCAGATCTCTTGAAAGTTGGATGTCAGGTGATTGGCAGGTAGGCGTGTCTTGTGGACTGTCGGTCAGGTGGGCGACAGGTGTGTTATCCCACCCACCTATCAAGGTTGGCCCCTGGAGGGCGACAGGGATACAGACAGCGATCTGGCCCACTGGGCCAAAAAGGTTCAACACCCCTGCTTTAAGTTTTATTACAGATGGTTTATTACAGATGGCTAACATGGCTAATATAGAGGGACGCAGGTGGCGCTGTGGGTTAAACCACAGAGCTTAGGACTTGCCAATCAGAAGGTCGGCGGTTTGAATCCCTGCGACGGGGTGAGCTCCCGTTGCTCGGTCCCTGCTCCTGCCAACCTAGCAGTTCAAAAGCACGTCAAAGCGCAAGTAGATAAATAGGTACCGCTCCGGCGCGAAGGTAAACGGCGTTTCCGTGCGCTGTTCGCCAGAAGCGGCTTAGTCATGCTGGCCACATGACCCGGAAGCTGTACGCTGGCTCCCTTGGCTAATAAAGCGAGATGAGCGCCGCAACTCCAGAGTCGGTCACGACTGGACCTAATGGTCAGGGGTCCCTTTACCTTTTTAACATGGCTAATTGCAAACCAGGCAAGTTGTAGAAGAAGTGATCTGGATACAATTGCATGCATTTATGTTTTTGGGGGACAAGGGGCAGGTGTGGGGGCTCCCTGGTCCTGAATGGGGTCACTGTGCCCCTGAAGGACCAGATGTGCAGCCTGGGAGTCATTTTGGACTCACAGCTGTCCATGGAGGCACAGGTCCATTCTGCATCCAGGGCAGCTCCATCTGGTACGCAGGATAAGACCCTCCCTGCCCACAGATTGTCTGGCCAGAGTGGTGCATGCTGTGGTTATATCTCCCGCTTGGACTACTGCAATGCACTTTCCGTGGGGCTACCTTTGAAGGTGAACCAGAAACTACAACTCATCCAGAATGCGGCAGCTGGACTGGTGACTGGGAGTGGCCGTTGAGACCACATAACACTGGTCCTGAAAGACCTCCATTGGCTCCCAGTATGTTTCGGAGCACAATTCAAAGTGTTGGTGCTGACCTTGAAAGCCCTAAACGGCCCAGTATACCTGAAGGAGCATCTCCACCCATATCGTTCCACCCCGGACACTGAGGTCCAACTCTGAGGGCCTTCTGGCGGTTCCCTCACTGCAAGAAGTGAGGTTACAGGGAACCAGGCAGAGGGCCTTGTCGGTAGTGGTGCCCGCCCTGTGGAACACCCTCCCATCAGATTTCAAGGAAATAAACAGCTATCGGACTTTTAGAAGACATCTGAAGGCAGCCCTGTTTAGGGAAGTTTTTAAATGTTTTATTGTGTTTTTAATATTCTGTTGGGAGCCGCCCAGAGTGGCTGGGGAAACCCAGCCAGATGGGCGGGGTATAAATAATAAAATATTATTATTATTATTATTGTTGTTTCTCTTTTTTGGAGGGGAGGTGCTGGTGTTGTACATTCACATTCCACTTTGTTTAGTGGCTGTTTAGTGGCAAATCGGGCAGGAGAAAAACAGCCCTCCTTCTAGGAACCAGTAGAATCTGGTTGCAAAGACTTCTGCAGCCACTTACCTCTTTGGGGCTTTTCCCTTGCGTGGTGTAAAAAGCTTCCAGGACGGGGTTCGGAGGAGCTTTCCTTCGCACTTTCTCCCTCAGTCCCATTTTTCTGCTCAGCGGCACAGCGACGATCCTACAGAGGAGAATCAGTCAGGTTAGCAGGCGTTGTTCTCTGCCTGGGTTTGGTCACAAGATGACAGGAAAAGGAACAGAAGGCAACTTGGGGTCAAACACTGCTTGTTAGCCACTTGGGACGCGGGTGGCGCTGTGGGTTAAACCACAGAGCCTAGGATTTGCCGATCAGAAGGTTGGCGGTTCGAATCCCCGCGACGGGGTGAGCTCCCGTTGCTCGGTCCCTGCTCTTGCCAACCTAGCAGTTCGAAAGCACGTCAAAGTGCAAGCAGATAAATGGGTACTGCTCCAGCGGGAAGGTAAACGGCGTTTCCGTGCGCTGTTCGCCAGAAGCGGCTTAGTCCTGCTGGCCACATGACCCGGAAGCTGTACACCGGCTCCCTCGGCCAATAAAGCGAGATGAGCGTCGCAACCCCAGAGTCGGCCACAACTGGACCTAATGGTGAGGGGTCCCTTTACTTTACTGGAGTCACTACAGGTAGAACGAAGCTTCCTTGCTGTCGTCACAAGTAAAGGTAAAGGACCCCTGGACGGTTCAGTCCAGTCAAAGGCGACTAGGGGGTTGTGGCGCTCGTCTCGCTTTCAGGCCGAGGGAGCCAGCGTTTGTCCGCAGATAGTTTTCCGGGTCGTATGACCAGCAGGACTAAACCGCTTCTGGTGCAACAGAACACCGTGATGGAAACCAGAGTGCACGGAAACGGCGTTTACCTTCCCGCCGGAGTGGTTTTATCTACTTGCGCTGGCATGCTTTCGAACTGCTAGGTTGGCAGGAGCTGGGACAGAGCAACGTGAGCTCACCCCGTCGCGGGGACTCAAACCGCCAACCTTCGGATCCCTGCTCCTGGCAACCTAGCAGTTCGAAAGCACCTCAAAGCGCAAGTAGATAAATAGGTACCGCTCCGGCGGGAAGGTAAACGGCGTTTCCGTGCACTGCTCTGGTTCGCCAGAAGCGGCTTAGTCCTGCTGGCCACATGACCCGGAAGCTGTATGCCGGCTCCCTCAGCCAATAAAGCGAGATGAGCGCCGCAACCCCAGAGTCGGTCATGACTGGACCTAATGGTCAGGGGTCCCTTTACCTTTTACCAGCTCTGTGATTCTGTCCCCTTTCACACGCCCAAAGCAGTTTCCAGAAAACTCTCTATATCCCTCTCTCCCGAAACCCTTTTTGCCTATAAAGCAGCCGCTTTGTAATGGAGCAATTATCTCTCAGAGCGATGCTCTCCGGCCTTTTTAGAGACAGCTCATCAATAAATACTCATCTGGCTCTTCCTTTAAACCCCGTCGCCCCAGCGACTGGCTGTGCTTGCAGAGAAGCAATTTAGCAATGCCTAAAGGCAGGCTGTTGCAGCTTAGAAGATGAGGACGTGAGGTGGGGGCTGGATCCAGTCCAGCACCTGCAAGTTGCAAAAGAGAAAAGGCACTCTGCAGATGCTCAGAGGCAATGTAGGTTGAAAGGCGTGGGTTGCAGAGAACTGGGTTCCAATCCCCAACCACCTATAGGAACGTAAGTCCAGCATCCTATTCCCGTGACCACCTTGTGTCCCAAATGCAACATTACAACTGGGGGCAAGTCTTCCCTTTGTAGAAGCTCGGTCCTGGCAAAGAACTCTCAATTATTGGCTCCATCTAAATCTAAATCCACCCGGTCTACTGCCCTTAGTGACACAAGACCCCCATAAAAGTGCGTGGTCTAAAATTGTGCACCAAAAATTCCTCTCCTTTTTTTTAAAAAAAAAATTTTTTATTAAGTTTCTTACAGATATAACACATATCACAACAAAAGAAAAACAGAGAAAAAACAAAAGAAAAAGAAAAAAGACAAATCACAAATATAAACAAAAAAGAAAATAAAAACAAGGTACCTAAACACCTAAACAACACAAACTAATTAATTATTTAGACTTCTAACCTCATAAACATATTTTGGGCTTCCTGTGAACCCTCCCATCTGAATTTCCTTGTAATTAAAATGTAGCAGTTTTCTGGTATCATTTTTTTAAAACACAGTATTCCAATTAAAATAAAATTTCTTAACTTTCCTTTAGGTTCTAAATCTTATTTATTTAATTAACTCTTAATTTAATCCTAGGCCTAATCTGGTACTTTCAAGGAATTTCTAATTTTTGATATCACAGTATTTATTCAAATAGTCCTTAAATTTCTTCCACTCTTCTTGGTATTCCTCTTCTTTTTGGTCGCGGATTCTTCCAGTAAGGTCAGCGAGCTCCATATATTCCATCGTTTTCATCTGCCATTCTTCCACAGTTGGTAATTCTTGTGTTTTCCATTTCTTGGCTATAAGAATTCGAGCAGCCAAAAATTCCCCTTCTGCGGACTCCACCTACATCAGCTTCTCACTATGGGGTTTATTAAAGCAAAAAAGCTAATTGGACAGCGTCTGAAGGACTTAGAGCAAAAGAACAATCTGGCCATTATAAAGAAACTCTGTCCTTGGTATGCCTTTCCCCCCCCTTCTCAGTTTGATTCCCTGGCACCATATTTGTATAAATTGGGGAGGAAACTAGGATGAGCTGCCTCTCTGCCTGAGCTTGAATGTGGCACTACTGTTGGGCTCCCTGATTTCTCTCCCACCCATCGCAAAGGACAGCAACCACCAGTTGCTGTTGTGTTGTTGTTTAGTCGTTTAGTCATGTCCACCTCTTCGTGACCCCCTGGACCAGAGCACGCCAGGCCCTCCTGTCTTCCACTGCCTACCGCAGTTTGGTCAAACTCACGTTGGCTGCTTTGAGAACACTGTCCCACCATCTCGTCCTCCATCGTCCCCTTCTCCTTGCGCCCTCCATCTTTCCCAACATCAGGGTCTTTTTCGGGGAGTCTTCTCTTCTCATGAGGTGGCCAAAGTCTTGGAGCCTCAGCTTCAGGATCTGTCCTCCCAGTGAGCACTCAGGGCTGATTTCCTTCAGAATGGAGAGGTCTGATCTTCTTGCAGTCCATGGGACTCTCAAGAGTCTCCTCCAGCACCAGAATTCAAAAGCATCAATTCCTCATGAAGAGTCGGACACGACTAAACGACTAAACAACAACAACAATACCACTTCCCAGAAAGCCTTTACCTCTTTACAAGTCCACCACATGCGGTAGAAGATACCTTCCCTTTCTTTACATTTCTGGCGATTCCATGATTCTACGCTACAGGGAAAGGGGGCTTTACTGAGAAATCAGAACTGCTGTGGCACAAATAGGCACCTTTTCAGAAGCTGCCATTCTGTTGCGAGTTGCATTTGGTTTCCAGACGGAGTCACCTAAATGCTGGGAATCATTTTATGGGCTTTCGCTGGAGGCGGTTTTCATAGGGCTTTGGGCTGATCTTTTTATTGCCTGTCGGGTTTTACGGAAAGAACGCGTCGCACCGAGGACTCGCAAAGGGTGTTCTGGGGGCGGAGGGCGGATTTGCTCCGGGAAAGAAAGCTGCCAGGAGCTCATGCGCCGAGAAATGAAATTCTGCAAAGATGGATGCCCGAGACAAATATCCTCTTGCCCCGTCCGTGATGTCCTTTTCTGATCTTCCCTGTTTAAAAAGGTGGTGTAATACAGTGGTACCTCGGGTTAAGAACTTCATTCGTTCTGGGGGTCCGTTCTTAACCTGAAACTGTTCTTAAACTGAAGCACCACTTTAGCTAATGGGGCCTCCTGCTGCCGCCGCCGCACGATTTGTGTTCTCATCCTGAAGCAAAGTTCTTAACCCGAGGTAATATTTCTGGGTTAGCGGAGTCTGTAACCTGAAGTGTCTGTAACCCGAGGTACTACTGTACATGGCTAGGCAAACTAAGGCCCAGGGGCTGGATCCGGCCCAATCGCCTTCTAAATCCAGCCTGCGGACAGTCCGGGAATCAGCGTGTTTTTACATGAGTAGAATGTGTCTTTTTATTTCAAATGCATCTCTGGGTTATTTGTGGGGCCTGCCTGGTGTTTTTACATGAGTAGAATGTGTGCTTTTATTTAAAATGCATCTCTGGGTTATTTGTGGGGCATAGGAATTCGTTCATTTCCCCCCCAAAGTATAGTCCGCCCCCACAAGGTCTGAGGGACAGCGGACCGGCCCCCAGCTGAAAAAGTTTGCTGACCCCTGGTGTAATAGATCTCTGGCAGACATGTCCAGGCGGTCGACCGTGATCAACAGCCAGATCCCGGGGTGATTGCTGTTGATCGTGGGACCTATATTTGGGTGCGTTGCATGTTGTCAATCATTTCTTTCCTGGCAGCCGGCGGCAGACGTGCGTGCGATTGACAACGCTGGAGTTTAGGATGAGCGGAGTTTTGCAAACCCCAATAAAAAGATCAACATCTCTTTCCATCCACCACCCCACGCACGCTCCTTCTCTGTCCCTGGGTAGATCACTGCCTTTTTTTATATACTGGGAGTATATTGCAGTATCTTGAGAGCTGGACGTGCCTTCATCTATGGTATTAAATGTTTAGTAATATTAGGATTTAATTAGGACTCGTATGTTCTAACTGGGAGAGAAGACTGCCTTGATGTGACCTCGATAGGGATTTGTGGTGTTTAATTAGTATCTATGCGTAAGGACTGTGGGGGGTTCGGCTGGGTGTTTACCAGTATGCAGATGATACCCAGCTCTACCTCTCTTTCAAATCAGAAGCAGTGAAGGCGGTGAAGGTCCTGTGTGAGTGTCTGGAGGTGGTTGGAGGATGGATGGCAGCTAACAGATTGAGGTTGAATCCTGACAAGACAAAAGTGCTGTTTCTGGGGGACAGGAGGCGGGCGGGTGTGGAGGACTCCCTGGTCCTGAATGGGGTCACTGTGCCTCTGAAGGACCAGGTGCGCAGCCTGGGGGTCATTTTGGACTCACAGATGTCCATGGAGGCGCAGGTCCATTCTGCGTCCAGGGCGCCTGTCTACCAGCTCCATCTGGTACGCAGGATGAGACCCTCCCTATCTGCAGACTGTCTCGCCAGAGTGGTGCATGCTCTAGTTATCTCCCGCTTGGACTACTGCCATGCGCTCTACGTGGGGCTACCTTTGAAGGTGACTTGGAAATGACAACTAATCCAGAATATTTGGGTAGGAGAGCCAACATAATGCCAACATATTTCACATCCGGCAACCTATGTGCTCCTTTGTTTCAGATAATACATAGGTTGTTGTTGTTTAGCTGTTCAGTCGTGTCCGACTCTTCGTGACCCCATGAACCAGAGCACGACAGGCACTCCTGTCTTCCACTGCCTCCCGCAGCTTGGTCAAACTCATTATTTTGACCAATACATAGGTAAACGAGTCTAAAAAGCCCGGGACACTAATTTTCACGGCCCTCTAGCGGCTACGGTGGCTCGTTTACCAGAAGTCATGTACAGTCATACCTTGGAAGCTGAACGGAATCCGTTCCGGGAGTCCATTCAACTTCCAAAACCAAACTGCAGTTTCTAATTGGCTGCAGGAAGCTCCTGCAGCCAATCGGAAGCCACGGAAGCCCCGCCAGACGTTCGGCTTCTGAAAGAACGTTCACAAACACTCACTTCCGGGTCTGGGAACCAAAACGTTCAACTGCTAAGGAGTTCATCAACCAAGGTATACCTGATTCTGACCGAACTAAACCTTCTAGTATGGGTTTTTAGCGTTTGATGTTTTATTTTGCTTTTATATGTGTTGGAAGCCGCTGAGAGTGGCCCAGACAGATGGGTGGGGTATAAATAATAAAATTATTACTATTATTATTATTATTATTAGTAGTAGTAGTAGTAGTAGTAGCAGCATACAATTGTACCTTGGGTTAAGAACTTAATTCGTTTTGGAGGTCCGTTCTTAACCTGAAACTGTTCTTAACCTGAAGCACCACTTTAGCTAATGGGGCCTCCCACTGCCGCTGCGCGATTTCTGTTCTCATCCTGAAGCAAAGTTCTTAACCCGAGGTAATGTTTCTGGGTTAGTGGAGTCTGTAACCTGAAGCATCTGTAACCCGAGGTACCACTGTATATTTTGCTTTAGGAGGCTTAGTTTGGGTGAGACAGCTCTGCAACTGAGGCTTAAACATGCCATGGAAAGTCATCACCTTGGCTGCGAAGTGTGGGTGACTGGGTAGCTTCACTGGGGTGCAGAACAAAGTGTACCCCAATCCTCCAGGCTTCCAGGCGATCGCTTGGAGATAAACAGTTTGGGAACGCTTGGCTATCCGTGCCTTGCGGAAGTCACAGACAGCAAGTTGTGGCACGACTCCTCATAGACCAGGAATGTTTAGGAATGCTGGCGGTTAACCAAACTTCAGCTTCAAAGGTTCTTCAGTCCCTGGAAACATCATTTTTGAATCCGGATACCCACAAAAGCCAGAATTTCACCATTTGCAAACTTCGTGAGATAAAACCTGGGAAGAACAGGGTTTGTCATGGGGACTCCTGCAGGGGTGTTTGGGGGCTCTGTCAGAGGCCTTGATAGTCAGACTATCCTCCACCAGGGCCAGGGCCTTCTCAGTGATGGCTCCGACCTGGTGGAATGCTCTGTCCCATGAGACCAGGGCCCTGCAGGATTTAACCTCCTTCCGCAGGGCCTGTAAGCCAGAGCTATTCTGCCTGGCCTTTAATTTGAATCCAGCCTGATCTTTTATTTCCCTTCTCTTCCCTCCCCTTTTATGAAGATCACCCACTCTGAGACCCCACAGCTAATTCTCCCCTGGCTCAAGTAGGGCCAATTCAGCCAGCTAGCCCTGGGGATTATCTAATTGATTTTTAATTTTTGAATTTTATGGTTCTTCATGTTTTTATACTGTATTTTATGCTGCTTTTATAATTAAGTGTTTTAAAGTGTTTTAAATTTGTTGTTAGCAGTCCTTAGCCTGGTTTTTGAACCGGGAAGGGCAGGGTATAAATAAAAATTATTATTATTATTATTATTATTATTATTACAGTTCCCACTTTTTTGTGGGGTGGTGAAATGCAGTTTAACAGTATGGGTTGTATGGAGCCCATGCTTATTTCCCCTAAACTGATTTTTGATTTTTGAATTTTATTGTTTTTTTTATACTGTATTTTCTGCTGCTTTTATAATTAAGTGTTTTAAATTTGTTGTTAGCTGCCCTGAGCCCGGTTTTTGAACTGGGAAGGGAGAGGTATAAATAAAATTATTATTATTATTATTATTATTATTGATGCTGGCCATCAGAAGTAAAACGATAAATGTTCTGAAAGAGTCGCTGCCAGTCAGTGTAGACCAGGCATGTCCTAAAGGTTGATCGTGGGGGTGTCTGTATCGCAGCTCGATCCCCTCCCCCCAAATGCTAAACAACTTTGGTCTCTCCCTCCAAAAAAAGCTCGGCAACTCTTGGCAACGACAATGGGTAGATCGCAGCCAGTTTTTTTAATACTGGGAGTAGATCGCGGTCGCTTGGGAGTTGGACCTGCCTGGTGTAGACGATACGGTGAAACCACAGGGGGCAAGGCTAGAAGGCGTTTTCGGGAGTGGCACCCACCCTGAAGATGTCAAAGAGTTCCACAACTATATAATTTTTCATAGACATATGAAGGCAGCCGTGTTCCGGGAAGCTTATAATGTTTGATTTGGAAGAAGCAAAGATCGCCCATGTTGAAGGATTCTTCAACGTCAACTTCGTTGGACTGGTCACGTTGTGCGGATGCCTGGTTATCGTCTTCCAAAGCAACTACAGTGGTACCTCGGGTTAAGTACTTAATTCGTTCTGGAGGTCCGTTCTTAACCTGAAACTGTTCTTAACCTGAAGCACCACTTTAGCTAATGGGGCCTCCTGCTGCTGCCGTGCCACCGGAGCACAATTTCTGTTCTCATTCTGAAGCAAAGTTCTTAACCCGAGGCACTATTTCTGGGTTAGCGGAGTCTGTAACCTGAAGTGTATGTAACCTGAAGTGTATGTAACCTGAAGTGTATGTAACCCTCCAGTTGGAGAACAGTCCCAGCTCCTGCCAACCTAGCAGTTCGAAAGCACGTCAAAGTGCAAGTAGATAAATAGGTACCGCTCCGGCGGGAAGGTAAATGGCGTTTCCGTGCGCTGCTCTGGTTCGCCAGAAGCAGCTTAGTCATGCTGGCCACATGACCCGGAAAAACTGTCTGCGGACAAACGCCGGCTCCCTTGGCCAGTAACGCGAGATGAGCGCCACAATCCCAGAGTCGTTTGTAACTGGACTTAACTGTCAGGGGTCCTTTACCTTTACCTTTTTTATCCTAATAAAATGATTCAGGGACCTTTTCCCCCAGTGACCTTCAGCAGGATGCCACAAACAAGGTGCAAAGGCATCAATTTTTTGCCACCAGTTTCCCCCCCTACCCCCAGACACTAGTTTTTAGAGGTAGGCCACCCCTGAACATAAGGAACGCAGGTGGCGCTGTGGGTTAAACCACAGAGCCTAGGGCTTGCCGATCAGAAGGTCGGCGGTTCGAATCCCCGCGACAGGGTGAGCTCCCATTGCTCGGTCCCTGCTCCTGCCAACCTAGCAGTTCGAAAGCACGTCAAAGCGCAAGTAGATAAATAGGTACCGCTCCGGCGGGAAGTTGAACGGTGTTTCCGTGCGCTGCTCTGGTTCGCCAGAAGCGGCTTAGTCATGCTGGCCACATGACCCAGAAGCTGTACGCCGGCTCCCTCAGCCAGTAAAGCGAGATGAGCGCCGCAACCCCAGAGTCGTCCACGACTGGACCCAATGGTCAGGGGTCTCTTTACCTTTACCCCTGAACATGGAGGCTCGTCAGAGCTTGCATCAATTTAACATACCTTTCGAAGAAGAAGCGGATCACCACAAGCAGGAGGGCCAAGGGCAGGCTCAGCAAGAGGTGGCGGGGCTGAGGGTAGCTGATCTCTTCTGTCTCCTTCATGTCCTCCCAGGTGATCCCTGGTGGGAGCCAGTATTCGTGGCGCCAAATCCATTCGGTCACTGGTAGCACCATCCTGCCCACAGGAGAAGAAAGAGAGAACGAGGTGAGAGGGAGACAACGGGGAAAATATGTGGCAAGGCAGCGTGGTGTAGTGGTTAGAGTGTCAGATCTGGGAGAGCAGGGTTCAACTCCCCATTTGGACACGGAGTTCACTCCTTATCTTTACAGAGGGAGGAGGAGCTTGATATAATAATAATTTATAATAATAATTTATTATTTATACCCCGCAAATCTAGCTGAGTTTCCCCAGCCACTCTGGGTGGCTACCAATCGAGTGTTAAAAACAATACAGCTATATCTCCACCCCTTTGGGAAACTTGAAAGTCAATACTTTCACATACAGTGGTACCTTGGTTCTCAAACTTAATCTGTTGCGGAAGTCCGTTCCAAAACCAAAAGCGTTCCAAAACCAAGGCGTGCTTTCCCATAGAAAGTAATGCAAAACGGATTAATCCGTTCCAGACTTTTAAAAACAAGCCCTGAAACAGCAACTGAACATGAATTTTACTATCTAGCGAGACCATTGATCCATAAAATGAAAGCAGTAATCAATGTACTGTACTATAAAATAAATATCACAGTATTGTAGATGATGAAAATTAAAGTTATTATTATTTTTTTATCTGCACTGATGATAGTCATTGTTTAGATGGGGGGCTTTTATCCATTTCCACAATCACTCACTCACTCAGTAGCTGAACTGGGTTCCACACAGCCACGAAAACAAATGAACCGAAAAAGCCTCAAAAACAAAAGCGCCCAACTTAATCCGTTCCAGAAGTCCGTTTGACTTCCGAAATGTTCGGAAACCAAGGCGCGGCTTCTGATTGGTGCAGGCGCCCTGGAAACAATAGCTGACATTGGACGTTCGGTTTCCGAAAAACGTTCGAAAACCGGAACACTTACTTCCAGGAACCAAGGCGTTTGAGAACCAAGGTACCACTGTATATCTGGTTTTGGGCTGCAAAACTGTTGCCACACCCTGTTTTGGAGCGAATCGGTTGGGGTTTGGGGTGATAGCTATGAGGCTTGAGTTCCAATCGCTAACTTGTACTGCAAAACAACCGCGACGGTTTGGCAGATGTTAGGAGAGGGTTCCAAATTTTGGGAAGATGGAGCAAGCTGGTTTCCTCCTGTTCCTGGAAGGTAGGACTCAAATCAAGGGCTTTGAGTTACGAGAAAGGAGAAGCCGACTAAACATCTGGGGGAAACTTTCTGGTGATTTAAGGATGGCGGTAAGAACCATTCATTAGTGGAACGGTCTCCCTCGGGAGAAGGTGAGGAACGATGAAAAGATCAGGAAATCCAGAACGGCAAAATTCAGGTTTGGTGTTCAGAGAAGTATCCCTCAGTCCAGCTTCAATGGATGATAAACTGGTTCTGTCTAAACGTGTATCTTTCTCTCTCTTTCCAACGTCTTGCGGAAAGGCTACTGTATTCCTTATCTTCACCCCCCGCACCAAACCACACTTGATAATTTGAAATAGCAAAAACAGCTTTGTTCGTTAATTAACCGCAGGCTGTTTGTATACAAGCCCAGCTCCTGTAACAGGACATTTGAAAATTTGAATGCCGTTCCTTTGAAAACAAAACTAAGGCAGAGACCTTTGCTGTAGGCCCCACCTGTTGGTATTAAATGCAATTATAATTGCAAGCCGGCTTCCAGACAACGGAGGACGTGTTTGCAATGCACGTCGCAATGAATGCAAAGGAACAAACAACAAACAACATTTCATACGGAGACTGCAACAGAGAATTGGGAGCGCTTGGCTCTGCAGCAACTCGCGAGGAACTCGGGAGAATGGTTGCTATTAAGGCTTGGGGAAAGAATCACGGAATCACAGAATTACCGTATTTTTTGCTCTATAAGACTCACTTTTTCCCTCCTAAAAAGTAAGGGGAAATGTGTGTGCGTCTTATGGAGCGAATGCAGGCTGCGCAGCTATTCCAGAAGCCAGAACAGCAAGAGGGATCGCTGCTTTCGCTGCACAGCGATCCCTCTTGCTGTTCTGGCTTCTGGGATTCAGAATATTTTTTTTCTTGTTTTCCTCCTCCAAAAACTAGGTGCGTCTTATGGTCTGGTGCGTCTTATGGAGCGAAAAATACGGTATAGAATTGAAAGGGACCCTGACGATCATTTAGTCCAACCCCCTGCAATGCCGGAATATGCAGTTGTCCCACACAGAAATCGTGCTGTTTCAGGTTATCATCCTCAAGGTGGTAAAAGTTTCTGTTTATCATCATTGGGGTGGTAAAAAGGATGATTGGCAGCTGCATTCACTTCCACTCCCGAAAGACTCCTGAATATCTCTTCACTCCCCACACCAAAAATAAAAAATCCAGCACATACAGTCGTACCTTGTTAGTACAGTGGTACCTCAGGTTAAGTACATAATTTGTTTCGGAGGTCCGTACTTAACCTGAAACTGTTCTTAACCTGAAGCACCACTTTAGCTAATGGGGCCTCCCGCTGTTGCCGCACCACCAGAGCACAATTTCTGTTCTCATCCTGAAGCAAAGTTCTTAACCCGAGGTAATATTTCTGAGTTAGCGGAGTCTGTAACCTGAAGCATATGTAACCCGAGGTACCACTGTAAAGGTAAAGGGACCCCTGACCCTTAAGTCCAGTTGCGGACGACTCTGGGGTGGTGACACTCATCTTGCTTTACTGGCTGAGGGAGCCAGCGTTTGTCTGCAGACAGTTTTTCTGGGTCATGTGGCCAGCATGACTAAGCCGCTTCTGGCGAACCAGAGCAGCGCACAGAAATGCTGTTTACCTTCCTGCCGGAGCGGTACCTATTTATCTACTTGCGCTTTGACGTGCTTTCAAACTGCTAGGTTGGCAGGAGCAGGGACCGAGCAACGGGAGCTCACCCCGTCGCGGGGATTCGAACCGCCGACCTTTTGATTGGCAAGCCCTAGGCCACAGCACCACCCGTGTCCCTGAATGCCTTGTTACCCGTACGTTTTGGCTCCCGAATGCTGAAAGTGTTCCAGTTTCTGAACATTGCTGGGAGGCAGAACTTCCTGCAGCCCATCGGAAGCCGAACTTTGATTTCGAACATTTTCAGAAGTCGAACGGACTTCTGGGAACGGATTACGTTCGCGAACCAAGCTACGGCTGTAGTTTGCTTTCCTGAGCTGCAAACGGCAGACAATTTGAAGAGATGGATCCGATATCATGATACAGACTTCAAACCAGTTTTGGACGATATCTTTTTCTGGGAAAAGAGGTGCCAGAACTCACCATGATCGCTTCCCTTTGAGAATGGCAACAGTGCCCACCTGAGAGGTGCCGGAACTGAGTTCTGGTGAGGTTTGGCTGAAAAAAAGTGCTGGATATATCAATATCCAGTCCTAATGGGTGGAGTGGATAATTCTGCTTTGTTTCATCAACAGTTACATTTGGATCCATCCCTTTCAGCACAGCAATGAGGAGACAGACATATGCTTCTACAAAGGCGGTTGGCCGTACATTCACAGGGAAACCAAAATGCTTGTTTACAAAGCTATTGCACCACCAAACTTACTGCATGCTTGTGAAACATGGACCAGTTATAAACGCCATCTCCAACTCCTCGAAATATTCCATCAACGGTGTCTCTGAAAATTTTTACACATCACTTGGGAAGACAGACGAACTAATGCCAGTGTACTGGATGAAGTGTTGATCACCAGTGTTGAAGCAATGATTCTTCAACATCAACTTTGTTGGACTGGTCATGTTGTGCGGATGCCTGATAATCGTCTTCCAAAGCAACTACTCTATTCTTAACTTAAAAATGGAAAGCGTGATGCTGTTGGTCAACAAAAGAGGCTTAAAGACTCTCTCAAGGCAAATCTTTAAAAAATGTAGCACAGTGGTAACTCTGGTTGCGAACGGGATCCGTTCCGGAGGCCCGTTCGCAACATGAGCAGAACACAACCCGCGTCTGCGCGTGTGTGGGTCACGATTCGCCGCTTCTGTGCATGCACATGACGTCATTTTGAGCGTCGGCGAAACCCGGAAGTAACCCATTCTGGTACTTCCGGGTTGCCGTGGGACGCAACCTGAAAACGCTCAACCTGAAGCAAATGTAACATGAGGTATGACTGTATAAACACCGACAACTGGGGAACACTGGCCTGCGAGCGCTCCAGTTGGAGAACAGCCTTTAGCAAAGGTGTCGTGGGCTTTGAAGACACTCGAACTCAGGACGAAAGGGAGAAATGCGCTAAGAGGAAGGCACGCTTGGCAAACCCTCACCGGGATCAACTCCCACCTGGAAACCTATGTCCCCACTGCGGAAGGACATGGGGATCCAGAATTGGCCTCCACAGTCACTTACGGACTCACTGTTAAAACCGTGTTTATGGGAGACAATCTTACTTGGCTACAATGGATCGCCAAAGAAGACGAAAGGAGAAGCATGTAAGGCAACGGTAGCCTGTTTGGCTTCCATTCAGAGGGAACACCCATCCCAGCGACAAAATGCAAAAATGCAGAACAGTCCGCGAGGCTCCTCTCATGCGGCGCTGTTCTTTGGGAATTACACCCACAGGAAAGCAAAGCTTTTCTCGTCACAACCTCCTGACATTTTCCCTGCGGTTGTGATTCAGCCAGCAAGGGTGAGTGGGTGGGTGGCAGGGCCACGAAAGCTCAGCGAAGGTTGATCTCCATGAATGGGGGAGGGATCAAGTTTCCAGCATGTCTCCCTTTGAGTTGGATTTCCGAGCCTTGAGTCATCGCATCTGGCCTCGCTCCAAATTTCCAGCGTTATTTTGGAACTCAACAGAGAGCATCGCTTGACGCAAGGCCATGGGCCTACAGGACTTGCTTCCCTTTCTCCCTGCTTGCCATCAAAACACCCTCCGACGTTTCTCCGATGAAAATAAGGACATCCGATTCCATCCCCTCCAACAGTTCTCCGATAAAAGCAGAGACATTCCTGCCAACACTTCTCCAATGAAAATAGGGACATCCTATTCTACATGCAAGGTTAAACCACAGAGCCTAGGGCTTGCCGATCAGAAGGTCGGCGGTTCGAATCCCCGCAATGACGGGGTGAGCTCCCGTTGCTCGGTCCCTGCTCCTGCCAACCTAGCAGTTTGAAAGCACACCGGTGCAAGTAGATAAATAGGTACCGCTCCAGCGGGAAGGTAAACGGCCTTTCCGTGCGCTGCTCTGGTTCGCCAGAAGTGGCTTAGTCATGCTGGCCACATGACCCGTAAGCTGAACACCGGCTCCCTCGGCCAATAAAGCGAGATGAGCGCCGCAACCCCAGAGTCAGTCATGACTGGACCTAATGGTCAGGGGTCCCTTTACCTTTACCTTTATTCCACATGCTCCCAATTCTCCGATGCAAATAAGGACGTCCTAAGGAAAAGCGGGACATTCTGAGATAAAATCAGAAACCGGGGCAGCAGCTAGACTGGGGACTGGGAGTGGCCGCCGAGAACATATAGCACCGGTCCTGAAAGACCTACATTGGCTCCCAGGACGCTTCCAAGCACAATTCAAAGTGTTGGTGCTGACCTTTGAAGTCCTAAATGGCCTCGGCCCAGTATATCTGAAGGAGCATCTCCACCCTCATTGTCCAGCCTGGACACTGAGGTCCAGCTCCAAGGGCCTTCTGGTGTTTCCCTCCCTGTGACAAGTGAGGTTGCAGGCAACCAGGCAGAGGGCCTTCTCGGTGGTGGCACCCGCCCTGTAGAACGCCCTCCCATCAGATGCCAAGGAAATAAACAACTACCTGACTTTTAGAAGACATCTGAAGGCAGCCCTGTTGAGGGAAGTTTTTAATGTTTGGCGTTTTATCGTGTTTTTAATATTCTGTTGGAAGCCGCCCACAGTGGCTGGGGAAATCCAGCCAGATGAGCAGGGTAAATAAATGTTATTATTATCTGTAAATCCGGGACTGTCCCTGGAAACTAAGGACACTTGGAAGGTCTGAAATCTTTGGCACTTTGCAGCACTTTGATAGCCCATCTCTCACTTTGGGGCTGTCCACGTTCCCGATTTTTCTGGCTCCAATATCATAGAACTGTAGAGTTGGAAGAGACCCCAAGAGTCATCTAGTCTAACCCGCTTCTATGCAGGAATCTCTTGTCTAGAGTGCGACTCGAACTCAAGACCCTGATATAAATGTTTGTGCGTTTGTGCTTGTGTACCCCTTGCCAATGGGACGCGGGTGGCACTGTGGGTTAAACCACAGAGCCTAGGGCTTGCCGATCAGAAGGTTGGCGGTTCGAATCCCTGTGACGGGGTGAGCTCCCGTTGCTCGGTCCCTGCTCCTGCCAACCTAGCAGTTTGAAAGCACACCGGTGCAAGTAGATAAATAGGTACCGCTCCAGCGGGAAGGTAAACAGCGTTTCCGTGCGCTGCTCTGGTTCGCCAGAAGCGGCTTAGTCCTGCTGGCCACATGACCCGGAAGCTGTACGCCGGCTCCCTCGGCCAATAAAGCGAGATGAGCGCCACAACCCCAGAGTTGGCCACGACTGGACCTAATAGTCAGAGGTCCCTTTACCTTTACTTTACCCCTTGCCAAGGCTCCATTCTGATGAGCCTTCATTGTGCCCATCCTTGAGAACGATTTTGGGTCACACCAGGACGTGCTGACTCAGAGAAGGCAACGCAACCTGGTTGGGGTTCGGCTACCCTGATCGCCCTATGAGATACAAATGTGTGATGCACAATGAGTTAGGCAACAGCCCATTAAATTGCCAAAGGTATGTGCCTGTTTGGCATACATTTAACTCCATTAATCACAGATAATAATCTTTGCTTTTCACCAGCACCCCATAATTTCATTTCTCAACCACCTGCTTGCTAAAGTTCCATTGCAGACATCTAATGAATCAGGCCGGAGGAGAGAAATTGGATGCAGTTCACATTGAAAGGGGAACCGACTACCGTATTTTTTGCTCTATAAGACTCACTTTTTCCCTCCTAAAAAGTAAGGGGAAATGTGTGTGCGTCTTATGGAGCGAATGCAGGCTGCGCAGCTATCCCAGAAGCCAGAACAGCAAGAGGGATTGCTGCTTTCACTGCGCAGCGATCCCTCTTGCTGTTCTGGCTTCTGAGATTCAGAATATTTTTTTTCTTGTTTTCCTCCTCCAAAAACTAGGTGCGTCTTGTGGTCCGGTGCCTCTTATAGAGCGAAAAATACGGTATTTGAATAAATATTGTAATATTAAAGATACGTAATCACTTGAAAGAATCAATTAGGCCTAGGATTAAAATTGGGATTAAATATATAAATAAGAAAATGTACGAAAAGAAAAGTTAGGAAATATGATGATGACGACTGTGATACGGTTTATGAAACAACGATACAGGAAACTGCTATATATAATTACTAAGAAATTCAGATGGAAGAGGTTTGAGGAAGTTAAATAATAATATGTTTATGAAGATGGATCTTAATTAATTAATTGTTAGTCAAGTGATGATTTGTTGTATTGTATGTTTTATATTCTTTTTTCTTTTTCTTTTTTTTCCTGTTTCATTCTTTTTCCTTTATTATTGTCAACTTTTTCTTCTTTGTTATCTTTATGTATGGACCACACACACACACACACACATTTCTATAATATATCTCTATAAATATCTATCAATCTATCTATAAATAAATAAAAAGGTTTTTCTTTTACAAACATGTTCGGCTGGGAAACCTGCCCCGAACCTTTGCCGTTTGCATGGAAACAGATCTGTGTGCTCGAAACTGTTTGCAGCAAAGATGTAGGCCCTGGCGCTCCCTTCCCTTCAGCTTTCCTTTGTCACCGAGAAAAGGAGAGCAAGTCGTGGGGCAGCCAGCCAGATTCTCTCTTTGCTCCCTCGCCACTATAAATTCTAGCCTCGTCCGCAGGGCCTGCGGGTGGCAAAGGCTGCCCACACTCGCTGTCTGGGAAGGAGAAGAGGATTGCAAAAGAGAGAACCAGAAAGTCAGAGAGTCAGGAGAGATATTCTGCCCCAAAATCCATCGCCTTCAACATCCTCTTCCCAGATGCGGTCATTTAGATCAGGGACCTCTACCATGCCCAAGGTGGTGCCAGGAGCAAAAAGTGCTTCTGTAGAAGGTTACCTTAGAATCATTGGTGGGCAAAATATCTTGGATATAATATTCAGTTAGAATCCTGGGAAAGGTTAGGTAAAGGTAAAGGGACCCCTGACCATTAGGTCCAGTCGTGGCCGACTCTGGGGTTGCGGCGCTCACCTCGCTTTATTGGCCGAGGGGGCCGGCATACAGCTTCCGGGTCATGTGGCCAGCAGGACTAAGCCGCTTCTGGTGAATCAGAGCAGCGCACCGAAATGCCGTTTACCTTCCCGCCGGAGTGGTACCTATTTATCTACTTGCGCTTTGAGGTGCTCTCGAACTGCTAGGTTGGCAGGAGCTAGGACCAAGCAACGGGAGCTCACCCCGTCGCGGGGATTCGAACCACCGACCTTCTGATCAGCAAGTCCTAGGCTCTGTGGTTTAACCCACAGAGCCACCCGCATCCCTTGGGAAAGGTTAGAATCCTATCCATTCTGAAAGGAAATCAGCCCTGAGGGCTCACTGGAAGGACAGATCCTGAAGCTGAGACTCCAAGAATTTGGCTACCTCAGGAGAAGAGAAGACTCCCTGGAAAAGACCCTGATGTTGGGAAAGATGGAGGGCACAAGGAGAAGGGGACGACAGAGGACGAGATGGTGGGACAGTGTTCTCGAAGCTACCAGCATGAGTTTGACCAAACTGCGGGAGGCAGTGGAAGACAGGAGTGCCTGGCGTGCTCTGGTCCAGGGGGTCACGAAGAGGCGGACACGACTAAATGACTCAACAACAATAGGTATCTAAAGCCATTGGCTCATGTTTCCATGCAACCAGTCCATGCAGAATGCAGGCACCCTATATATAGAAAGGAGCAAACCAGTGATATTTTAGGGAGCAGGCTAGCAGGCGGTGCCCATGACTTACATCATAGAAGCCTACACAACACAAAACACTGTTGCTGTAGGTCAGTTTTATTTTATTTGTTAATAATAATAATAATAATAATAATAATAATTTATTATTTATACCCCGCCCATCTGGCTGGGCTTCCCCAGCCACTCTGGGCGGCTTCCAGAAAAATATTAAAATACTGTAATACATCAAACATTAAAAGCTTCCCTAAACAGGGCTGCCTTAAGATGTCTTCTGAATGTTAGGTAGTTGTTTATCTCTTTGACATCTGCTGGGAGGGCGTTCCACAGGGCGGGCGCCACCACTGAGAAGGCCCTCTGCCTGGTTCCCTGTAGCTTTGCTTCTCGCAATGCGGGAACCGCCAGAAGGTCCCCGGCGCTGGACCTCAGCGTCCGGGCAGAACGATGGGGGTGGAGACGCTCCTTCAGGTATACTGGACCGAGGCCATTTAGGGCTTTAAAGGTCAGCACCAGCACTTTGAATTGTGCTCGGAAACGTACTTTTATCTTATATTCTGGAAATGTACATCCAGTGGGTTTTTTCCTTTAATTTTTTTGGGGGCCCCCAAGAGAGTGGGGCCCTAAGTGATAGCTTGTTTAGCTTAAATGTAAATCTGGCACTGGGCAGAGAGCACAGTTGTCAGGATTAGTTCCTCCTCGAATATCTCTGATTCACCAGCAAGGCCCTGAGGCCCTGATCTCTTCCCACCCCAAAAAACCCACACATGTGCAACGAGCTCCACGATAATCTGGCGGATTCACTTACTCATTGCAGGCAACAGCTAATCCTGCACTTATCTTGGTTTCAACAATACACACACATACGCTGTGTTGTTTATGGTGCCAAAGGGAAGCACCTAAATTTCTTAATCGATAAATCAACAACAACAATTCTCTATCAACAGCACTCCCCACTGAGTAGTTAAAATGTTTCTGCACATTCCACGCTTTCACAAAAGCTTAAGCGATTAGCTAGGAAAAGGGTGCAACTCACAGCTAACTACATGTAGACACCAGCCAGCTTTAGGCTTGTTTTTATACCGGCATGTGTCAAATATTTCCTATAATCTGCTTCTACTTCTCAGCAAAGGCTACTCACTACAAGACTGAGCTATGAATCATGGAAGTTCCTGGTGTGCGTCAGTGAAAACCTGGACAAAGTTGCTGTCATGTTTTTGTTGTTGTCAAAGTTGTTGAGGTGTTTTTTTGTTTTTTTTTGAGGAACATCTCTTCCCTCCACCCCCCAAAATATTTTTGGGCTTTTCTATGATTTTAAGGTCCGTATAGTAAAAGCTATGGTTTTCCCAGTAGTGATGTATGGAAGTGAAAGCTGGACTATAAAGAAGGCTGATCGCCGATGAATTGATGCTTTTGAATTCTGGTGCTGGAGGAGACTCTTGAGAGTCCCATGGACTGCAAGAAGATCAAACTTCTCCATTCGAAGGAAATCAGCCCTGAGTGCTCACTGGAAGGACAGATCGTGAAGCTGAGGCTCCAAGACTTTGGCCACCTCCTGAGAAGAGAAGACTCCCTGGAAAAGACCCTGATGTTGGGAAAGATGGAGGGCACAAGGAGAAGGGGACGACAGAGGACGAGATGGTGGGACAGTGTTCTTGAAGCTACCAGCATGAGTTTGACCAAACTGCGGGAGGCAGTGGAAGACAGGAGTGCCTAGCGTGCTCTGGTCCACGGGATCACCAGGAGGCGGAGACGACTAAACGACTAAACAACAACAACAAAAGCAAGTAAACACCGGTAATTAAAAACAAAAGAGCGAAAGCTACATGTGTACCTAACTCTATATTTTAGAAAGTTGTTTGCTTGCGGTGCATTTTGGGTAATGATATCAAGATTTGCACAACAGTGCCCGAGGGTGAGCAACAGGTTTCCACCAACGCTCGGGTGCCATTTTGTATCAAGATGGCGGGCTGAACAGTTCAAAAGCCTGCTTATTCTAATCACTGAACAACGCTGCCTACGAGACCGCTGGGACCACGTGCGCAGAGAGCGCTACATTTCTATCCGCAAGTAAACGGTTCAAAACTGAGACTCCCTGCAAGGTAACAACAACAACAACAACAACAATATTAATATTCTAGATAATGATGTACCAAAAGAGTTGGTTAAAACACACACACACACACACACACACACACCGTATGCCCAAATATGGAAAAAAGGAGAGGTTTAAAACAAAAGAAAAATGGCTTTTGAGAACAATGGAGTAAATGGAACTGGCAAGATTAACAGCAAACATTAGAGACCAAAATGCCCCCAAAAATAATAATTGAGGACTGGAGACCTGTCACTGAGTATTTAAAGAACTACTATAGGGATGCGAAAATGTGAGCAGGACTTGAAATATGAGCAACGGAGTTAGTTGTTAAGAAAAATTGCTCAAAATATACATGAGAAGGGTAAATATGGAAAGGAGGCGAGGTCGGGAAGTCAATGGATAAAGTCATTTATTTATGTTTACATTTGTGAAGTCTTTCTCTCTGTTTTGTGAAAACACCAATAAATAAGATTTGAAATAGTAGCAGTAAAGGTAAAGGGACCCCTGACCATTAGGTCCAGTCGTGGCCGACTCTGGGGTTCCAGTGCTCATCTCGCTTTACTGGCCGAGGGAGCCGGCGTACAGCTTCCGGGTCATGTGGCCAGCATGACTAAGCCGCTTCTGGCGAACCAGAGCAGCGCACGGAAACGCCGTTTCCCTTCCCGCCGGAGGCGTACCTACTTATCTACTTGCACTTTGACGTGCTTTCGAACTGCTAGGTGGGCAGGAGCAGGGACCGAGCAACGGGAGCTCACCCCGTCGTGGGGATTCGAACCGCCGACCTTCTGATCGGCAAGTCCTAGGCTCTGTGGTTTAACCCACAGCGCCAACCACGTCCCATATAGTAGTAGCTGTAATAATAATAATAATAAAATAATAAAAACATGAATGGGACGTCGAAGGCCGGGCCGCATTCCGTTTTGGGCAACTTTCTGGGGGCTGCACCAATCTGGCTGAGATATACATTCTCCTTCTCTCTCTCTCTCTCTCTCTCTCTCTCTCTCTCTCTCTCACACACACACACACACACACACACACACCTGCTGCTCAAATCTCTCCATCTTTCACCCAGGTAACCCAATAGCACCATTGCAATCAAACGACACCCTCCACGCAGGTGAAGCACTCGATGAGCTACCTTCGCGAGGGCCGCACGCCTGGCCCCATGGCCCTCAGGCAGGGAGGTCCTGCTCCGAAACGAAGCCAGCCAAGCCACCACCCCCGCAGAGACCACCCCCAAGCTCTGACCTTGCACAAAAGCCGCTTTTGAGGTCCAAAGCAGCTCCCTTTGATGACTCTGTTGCAGCTTCCAGCCTCTGCTCAGAGCAGGAGAGGCAACAAATGAGATTAAGAAGGGGAGGGCGATGTTTCCCTTTAAGGATCCCTTTTTATCAGATTAACTCGGCTGCCTCCACCCACGGTTTGCATTCTCTCTCCTTTTTTTTTGGTCCAAGGCCACAGATCTTCGCAGCTGCCAGTCCCTTACCTCAAAGGTTGCTCGAGGAGAGCAGAGCATTGTGTTCCGAAACTCGCACTCGCACCCTGCAGATGTTTCCTCCCCGGCAGCCCACGTGCAAACCGGGGCTGCTTCTGCAGGAAAGCAGCTCAAATCAACCCCTCGCTTTTGCCCATGTCGCCTAGTGTGCGCAGCACTGGCTGGCAGTAGCTATTTCGGGGGCAGAGAAAGGTTATTCCCGAAATCTGCCGAATTATTCGGCACCCTCTTGCATTTCTCTGGTGTCCTGTTCTGGTCCTTCTCAACCTCAGCCCTCCAGGTGTTTTTGGCCTACAACTCCCATGATCCCTAGCTAGCAGAACCAGTGGTCAGGGATGATGGGAATTGTAGTCTCAAAACATCTGGAGGGCCGAGGTTGAGGAAGCCTGTCCTATTCCATCATCATCATCATAATAACAACGTCATCTGAGAATTATCATCCCCTCCAACATTTCTCTGATGAAAATATTCCACACCCTCCAACATGCCTCCGATAAAAATAGGGATGCCCTATTCCATGACGGTGATGATTATTAATTTTATTTATACCCCACCCATATGACTGGGTTGCCCCAGACGCTCTGGGCGGCTTCTAACAGAGATAAAAACATAATAAAAAATGAAATATTAAAAAAACCACTTCCCTATACAGTCGTACCTTGGTTTTCAAACAGCTTACTTTTTGAATGTTTTGGCTCCTGAACGCCGCAAACCCGGAAGTGACTATTCCGGTTTGCGAACTATTTTAGGATGTCGAACGTCCGACGGTGATTCCGCAGCTTCCAATTGGCTGGAGGAGCTTCCTGAAGCCAATCGGAAGCCGCGCTGTGGTTTTCAAATGTTTTGGAAATCGAACGGACTTCCAGAACAGATTCCGTTCAACTTCCGAGGTACGACTGTACAGTGCTGCCTTCAGATGTCTTCTAAAGATTGCAGAGTTACTTATCCCCTGGCTCACATAATTCCGTACGCTCCGACATTTCTCTGATGAAGGTCGTGGTTTGAATCCCCACGACGGAGTGAGCTCCCGTTGCTCGGTCCCTGCTCCTGCCAACCTAGCAGTTTGAAAGCACATCAAAGTGCAAGTAGATCAATAGGTACCGCTCTGGTGGGAAGGTAAACAGCGTTTCCGTGCGCTGCTCTGGTTCGCCAGAAGCGGCTTAGTCATGCTGGCCACATACCTGGAAGCTGGACGCCAGCTCCCTCGGCCAATAAAGCAAGATGAGCGCCGCAACCCCAGAGTCGTCCACGACTGGACCTAATGGTCAGGGGTCCCTTTACCTTTACCTTTAAAGCACCGTTGTATGTATTGCAAGTTGCATTTAATATTAGTCATGTTCAGTGTTGACCCGTTGACACAGGTGGTGCTGTGGTCTAAACCACTGAGCCTCTTGGGCTTGCCGATCAGAAGGTCAGTGGTTCGAATCCCCATGACGGGGTGAACTCCTGTTGCTCGGTCCCTGCTCTGGGCCGCAACCCCAGAGTCGGCCATGACTGGACCTAACGGTCAAGGGTCCCTTTACCTTTTACTGTAAGAGCTGAGATCCCTTCCTCTCTGACATCCCTTCCTCCTGTGGCACCACCCCCTGCCTGCAATAAGGTTAGCACATTCCTTTTGGGACTCTGAAACATGTCACGGATTGTCCAGGAAGATTTGCATCTTCCTCTTCTTCTTCCAGGAGGCAGGGATACAGATCGTGATGCCCCTCTGATGACCTGCCAGCTTTCTGCAGAGTTCTCCTGGCATGCTGGGTGGAAGGAGAAGAAGCGTTTCATCCGAGTCCTCTTGGCAGGATGGTGAGAACTTCAGGAGATTCCTGCGGCTCTGTCTCCTGCATCAAAAGTCCTGGATCCTGTGGTTTTTTGTGGTCCCTCCAGGAAAAATAACCCACAGGCAGGAGGGCAAGAGCTTCTCTCCCACTGTGACTCGCAAGAACTTCAGAGGTGTCTCGGAGACGGCCAGTGGTCCCATTTTGCCCAGCATCCGGTTCCCACAATGGCACAGCCATTGGTCTCAGATGCCCGCAGACAAGACCTCCTGTTTTGCTATCATTCATCAGACAGTAAGACAATAGCTCTGCTAGATCAGGCGCAAGGAAGGTCTCGGTTGAGCATCCTGTCCCCCACCCTGGCCAAAATCTGCAGGTGATGTTTTTTTCTTGAGATGAGCACGACCCCCCAATAACCTGCAGATCTCAAGCTCTCAAATTCTCGAGCCTCTGTTGACAACATAGGCAGGATTCCAGTGGGGTTTGGCGCCATAAAACCGCTTTGCAAAATCTGCACACTTATTGTCGATTGAACATTAGCAAATCCTCGTTGCGTGTTTCAGACACCGGGCTGCTATCTCCATCCTGCGTAACCACAACGAAGGATAACCTATGTCCATCTGATTGCCACTCCCTGCTAACAACCAATAGATTAATGAATTTGTTGTTGTTTAGTCGTTTATTCGTGTCCGACTCTTCGTGACCCCATGGACCAGAGCACGCCAGGCACTCCTGTCTTCCACTGCCTCCCGCAGTTTGGTCAGACTCATGTTTGTAGCTTCGAGAACACTGTCCCACCATCTCGTCCTCCGTCGTCCTCTTCTCCTTGTGCCCTCCATCTTTCCCAGCATCAGGGTCTTTTCCAGGGAGTCTTCTCTTCTCCTGAGGTGGCCAGAGTCTTGGAGCCTCAGCTTCAGGATCTGTCCTTCCAGTGAGCACTCAGGGCTGATTTCCTTCAGAATGGAGAGGGTTGATCTTCTTGCAGTCCATGGGACTCTCAAGAGCCTCCTCCAGCACCATAATTCAAAAGCATCAATTCTTCGGCGATCAGCCTTCTTTATGGTCCAGCTCTCACTTCCATACGAATTTAGATGGAATCAAATTTAGATGGAATCTCCATCCTGTGTAACCACAATGGATAACCTATGTTCATCTGATCACGACTCCTTGCTAACAACCAACAGATTAATGAATTTAGATGGAATCAAAAGGGCCGCCGGCACTGAGACTAGATGATATGATAGCCATCTTCAAATATCTCAACGGCTGTCACACGGAAGAGAGAACATAAACAAGTTTGTCTTCTCCTGCTCTGAAGGGTAGGACTCGAACCCATGGCTTCAAGTTGCAAGGAAGGAGATTCCGACTAAACATCAGGAAGAACTTTCTGACAGCAAGAGCTGTTTGGCAGTGGAACGGTTTCCCTCGGAAGATGGTAGGCTCTCCTTCCTGGGAGGTTTTTAAGCAGAGGTTGGACGGCCATTTGTCATGGATGCTTTAGTTGAGATTCCTACATTGGAGGGGGCTGGACTAGATGACCACTGGGGTCCCTTCCAACTCTATGATTCTATGATACTTTACATTTGTCTGAGTCCCAGCAACAACCAAAGCATTAATGAACTGTCTGGTACCAGGGTCAGCGCAGGAGAACAGGAATGACTGAGTCTATCCGTCTCTCTCTGAGTGGTAATTTCAGGAATCTCCCCTGTAAAGGTAAAGGGACCCCTGACCGTTAAGTCCAGTCATGGCCGACGCTGGGGTTGCGGCGCTCATCTCGCTTTATTGGCCAAGGGAGCAGGCGTACAGTTTCCAGGTCCTGTGGCCAGCAGGACTAAGCCGCTTCTGGCGAACCAGAGCAACGCACGAAAACGCCGTTTACCTTCCCGCCGGAGCGGTACCTATTGATCTACTTGTGCTTTGACGTGCTTTCAAACTGCTAGGTTGGCAGGAGCAGGGACCGAGCAACGGGAGCTCACCCCGTCACGGCGATTTGAACCACGACCTTCTGATCGGCAAGCCCTAGGCTCCGTGGTTTAGACCACAACGCCACCCACATCCCTACTGTAGGTAAAGGGACCCCTGACCATTAGGTCCAGTCGTGACTGACTCTGGGGTTGCGGTGTTCATCTCGCTTTACTGACCGAGGGAGCTGGCGTACAGCTTCCGGGTCATAAGTCACTTCTGGTGAGCCAGAGCAGTGCATGGAAACGCCGTTTACCTTCCCGCCGGAGCGGTACCTATTTATCTACTTGCACCGGTGTGCTTTCGAACTGCTAGGTGGACAGGAGCAGGGACTGAGCAGCAGGGTGCAGAATGCAGCGGGTGGACTGCAGACAGGGGGGCAGACAGGCAACAGCACATGACACCCCTGGAAAATATCTGTATCGACTGCCCATGCGCTGCCAGGTCAAGTTCAAAGTTCTTGTGTTGTCACAGGGTTTTATCAGGTGTACAGAACACAGAAATATAATAACTGACCCTCGCCCACCGCTTCCCTCTGTTTTCCAGCAGCAACGCAAAAGGAAGATGTTTAAAACCTTGGTCCTACGCCAATAGTTTGCTATCTATGCCAAATAAGGGAGAGTGTACTGATGCCAAAGGACTAGAAACTTGTAGGGCGACTGCTGACCAAGGGGAAAATACCATCCTGGACACACCTGTGCTTTTTAAGAGCAGTTCTGTCTGCATATGAGTAGAGCCAGTGTGGTGTAGTGGTTAAGAGCAGTAGTCTCGTAATCTGGGGAACCGGGTTCGCGTCTCCGCTCCTCCACCTGCAGCTGCTGGGTGACCTTGGGCCAGTCACACTTCTCTGAAGTCTCTCAGCCCCACTCACCTCACAGAGTGTTCGTTGTGGGGGAGGAAGGGAAAGGAAAATGTTAGCCGCTTTGAGACTCCTTAAAAAAGGGAGTGAAAGGCGGGATATCAAATCCAAACTCTTCTTCTTCTTCTGCATAGCCTTTGACTGTGTCGACCACAGCAAACTATGGCAAGTTCTTAAAGAAATGGGAGTGCCTGATCACCTCATCTGTCTCCTGAGAAATCTCTATGTGGGACAAGAAGCGACAGTTAGAACTGGATATGGAACAACTGATGGGTTCAAAATTGGGAAAGGAGTACGGCAAGGCTGTATATTGTCTCCCTGCTTATTTAACTTATATGCAGAATTCATCATGTGAAAGGCTGGGCTGGATGAATCCCAAGCCGGAATTAAGATTGCCGGAAGAAATATCAACCAACCTCAGATATGCAGATGACACAACCTTGATGTCAGAAAGTGAGGAGGAATTAAAGAACCTTTTAATGAGGGTGAAAGAGGAGAGCGCAAAATATGGCTCAACAACAAAAAAATGAAGATCATGGCCACTGGGCCCATCACCTCCTGGAAAATAGAAGGGGAAGAAATGGAGGCAGTGAGAGATTTTACTTTCTTGGGCTCCATGATTACTGCAGATGGTGACAGGAGTCACGAAATTAAAAGACGCCTGCTCCTTGGGAGAAAAGCAATGACAAACCTAGACAGCATCTTAAAAAGCAGAGACATCACCTTGCCAACAAAGGTCCGTATAGTTCAAGCTATGGTTTTTCCAGTAGTGATGCATGGAAGTGAGAGCTGGACCATAAAGAAGGCTGATCGCCGAAGAATTGATGCTTTTGAATTCTGGTGCTGGAGGAGACTCTTGAGAGTCCCAAGGACTGCAAGAAGATCAAACCGATCCATTCTGAAGGAAATCAGCCCTGAGTGCTCACTGGAAGGACAGATCCTGAAGCTGAGACTCCAAGACTTTGGCCACCTCATGAGAAGAGAAGACTCCCTGGAAAAGACCCTGATGTTGGGAAAGATGGAGGGCGCAAGGAGAAGGGGACGACAAAGGACGAGATGGTGGGACAGTGTTCTTGAAGCTACCAGCATGAGTTTGACCAAACTGCGGGAGGCAGTGGAAGACAGGAGTGCCTGGCGTGCTCTGGTCCAGGGGTTCACGAAGAGTCGGACACGACTAAACGACTGAACAACAACAACTGTCTGCATAATATGGCAGCGGCAGAGCAATCTTTGCAGCTAGATCGCTTCCGAATGAATGCCGCGGTTGGGAAAATAAATCCCCTTGTGCCAAAAAGCATTCTGCTCAGCTGCAAACAGGGCCGCCAGCCAAACATGCAAGTTCATGTGTTTTCTTCTAATAAGCCGTTTGTCAGAATCAGTGTTACCTGGGAGCATCTTAAGTCTGCCGTTGCACACCTGAAACCTGCAGGCAAGAGACACCATAATGAGAACAAGGTGGTACCCATAGAAGCATTTTTGCGGAGACCTGTGCCAAGTCCACAGGTGTGCCTTAGGGACATAAGCTCCCACCTCAGGCTCCAAAACACATTTTCTTTCAAGGGCCAAATTCCCTCTGTGTTCATTTGCCAGAGTTGGGTAGCGCAAACGTTCTATCCGCCTCTCCTTTTCATATCCTCCTCTCCTTTCTCTCGCATTACATGCCTCCCTCTCTCTTTTTGCAGGATCACAGCACGGCAGAGTTGCAAGGGACACCTGGGGGTCATCTGGTCCAACCCCCTGCAATGCAAGAATCTCAACACGCAGCTCCCCGCCCCCATCCAATTTGAAACCGTATCGGACCCTGCTTAGCTTTGCAGATGTGCGGGCGGGTTTATCGCTGCCCCAGCTTTAGCTCCCTCTTTCGGACACCCTGCTTGTGATCACCCCCAGGGACGCGGGTGGCGCTGTGGGTTAAACCACAGAGCCTAGGGCTTGCCGATCAGAAGGTCAGCGGTTCGAATCCCCACGACGGGGTGAGCTCCCGTTGCTCGGTCCCTGCTCCTGTCAACCTAGCAGTTCGAAAGCACGTCCAAGTGCAAGTAGATAAATAGGCACCACTCTGGTGGGAAGGTAAACGGTGTTTCCGTGCACTGCTCTGGTTCGCCAGAAGCGGCTTATTCCTGCTGGCCACATGACCCGGAAGCTGTACGCCGGCTCCCTCAGCCAATAAAGTGAGATGAGCGCCGCAACCCCAGAGTCGGCCACGACTGGACCTACTGGTCAGGAGTCCCTTTACCTTTACCTGTTTCTCTCTCCTTCCGTCCCCACCCCATCCCCATTCTCACTTGCCTTTTGATAATAATAATAATTTATTATTTATACCTCGCCCATTTGGCTGGGTTTCCCCAGCCACTCTGGGCAGCTCCCAACAGAATATCAAAAGCACAACAGAACATCAAACATTAGAAACTTCCCTATACAGGGCAGCCTTCAGAAGTCTTCTAAAAGTCAGATAGTTGTTTATCTCCTTGACATCTGATGGGAGGGCGTTCCACAGGGCGGGTACCACCACCGAGAAGGCCCTCTGCCTGGTTCCCTGTCACCTCGCTTCTCACAGGGAGGGAACTGCCAGAAGGCCCTCGGAGCTGGACCTCAGTGGGGGTGGAGACGCTCCTTTCGTGAGAGAACACAAGATGTTTGCATATCTCTGGAGTGCCAAAAACAGCAAGCTGGCAGGACGGAAGGACCCTTGCACATTTGGCAAGGAGCTTTATTGACCAATTGTACCCGAACTCTAGTAGCCTCGAGGTTAGATTAGTGCAACCCAGTACATTAGTGCAACCCAGAACTGTCTCTGAAGACAGTTCAGAAACTTCAACCAGTGTAGAATTCGGCAACCAACTTGCTCACTGGGACAAGACAGTTTGAGCATATTGCAAGGATCCTGACCCTACTGCACTGGCTGCCAGTGACCTTCTAAGTGTCCCTATTTTCCAGAGACAGTTCTGGATTTACAGAAGCCATTTGGTTTCTGATTTGATCCCGGAATGGCCCACTTCTCCTTAGGACGTCCCTATTTTCATCGGGGAAATGTTGGAATATACAGTGGCAGCTGTTTATCAGCTCCATCTGGTACACAGGATGAGACCCTCCCTGACCGCAGACTGTCTCGCCAGAGTGGCACATGCTCTAGTTATCTACTACTGCAATGCGCTCTCCCTGGGGCTACCTTTGAAGGTGACCCGGAAACAACAACTAATCCAGAACGTGGCAGCCAGACTGGTGACTGGGAGCGGCCGCCGAGACCATATAACACAGGTCCTGAAAGACCTACGTTGGCTCCCAGTACGTTTCCAAGCACAATTCAAAGTGCTGGTGCTGACCTTTAAAGCCCTAAACGGCCTTGGCCCAGTATACCTGAAGGAGCGTCTCCACCCCCATCATTCTGCCCGGACGCTGAGGTCCAGTGCCGAGGGCCTTCTGGCGGTTCCCTCATTGCGAGAAGCCAAGTTACAGGGAACCAGGCAGAGGGCCTTCTTGGTAGTGGCACCCACCCTGTGGAACGCCCTCCCACAAGATGTCAAAGAGAAAAATAACTACCAAACTTTTAGAAGACATCTGAAGGCAGCCCTGTTTAGGGAAATTTTAATGTTTAATAAGTTATTGTATTTTAGCGTTCTGTTGGAGGCCGCCCAGAGTGGCTGGGGAAACCCAGCCAGATGGGCAGGGTATAAATAAATTATTATTATTATTATTATTATTATGGTACCTTGGTTTAAGAACAGCTTAGTTTTTGAAAAACTTGATTAAGAATGCTGCAAACCTGGAAGCAGGTGTTTTGGTTTGTGAGCTTTGCCTTGGAATAAGAACATGTTTTGCTTCCTGTTGAGTGTGTTCCATTTGTAAACTGAGTCCCCTGCTGCTATGTGAAAGCATGTCTTGGTTTAAGAAAGCTTTGGTTTAAGAACGGATTTCTGAAACGGATTAAGTTCATAAACCAAGGTACCACTGTACCTGAAGGAGCGTCTCCACCCCCATCTTCCAGCCCGGACACTGAGGTCCAGCTCCGAGGGCCTTCTGGCGGTTCCCTCCCTGCGAAAGCGAGGTTACCAGGAACCCAGCAGAGAGCACTTCACTGGCTAGCGATTATCTTCTGGGCTCAATTCAAAGTACTGCTTTTGACCTATAAAAGAAGCACATTCAGACCCTTCAACTGTCTCTATTTTCCAGGGATGGTCCCGGTTTCTGACTTGATCCCAGAATGCCCCACTTTCCCTTAGGACGCCCCTCTTTCCATCTGAGACACGCTGGAGGGTATGGAATAGGACATCTCCGTTTTCATCAGAGAAATGTTGGAGGGGACGGAAATGCAAACCACATTTGCACATCTAAAGAGGAACCAAAAGCATTCTCTTTAAAAGAGAGGGGGGGTGGGAAAGATGGGGATTTATTTTCTAACCCTGCTGCCCAAGCAGTAAACTCAGAAACTCAGCCGCTGCTCTTTTGACTTTGCCGTTTTAAAAATAAACGCGGCCCGGCTTGTCTCGTGAACAAGGCCGTGCATCGACTGTGCAATGCTGTCGCACGCCAGAGTCGAAGGTGTCCTCGGAAGTGCATGACAAGGCTTTTCCTCCGCCCCCCCGATCTATTTTTGCCACACAATCCGCTTTGCACTTTAAGTCCCCGAGGCTCTCTCTCTCTCTGTGCGAATGGGGATAAAGAGCTCTGAGGGATTTCAGATGCTGTGCAAGAATAGCCACAGCTTAATCCTACCCGGGGCAGACGGACAACATTTCCAAGGAGAAGGAAACGTCGCTGGCGACAAAAGGGTGGAATAGGAAGCCGTCGGAACCAGAATCTACATCTCAGGAAACCTCTACCTATGGAAGACAGCGGTGGTTGCCTCCAACTAAATCCTACTCCGAGTAAATCCATTGGAAATAATGGCCGTGACGGGCAATTTCAGTCCCTCTATCTCATGGGTGGGACGCGGGTGGTGCTGTGGGTTAAACCACAGAGCCTAGGACTTGCCGATCAGAAGGTCGGCGGTTCAAATCCCCGCGACAGGGTGAGCTCCCGTTGCTCGGTCCCTGCTCCCGCCCACCTAGCAGTTCGAAAGCACGTCAAAGTGCAAGGAGATAAATAGGTACCACTCCGGCGGGAAGGTAAACGGCGTTTCCGTGTGCTGCTCTGGTTCACCAGAAGCGGCTCAGTCATGCTGGCCACATGACCCGGAAGCTGTACGAGATGAGCGCTGCAACCTCAGAGTCGGCCACAACTGGACCTAATGGTCAGGGGTCCCTTTACCTTTACCTTATCTCATGGGTAGGCAAACTAAGGCCTGGGGGCTGGATCCGGCCCAATCGCCTTCTAAATCCAACCTGCAGACAGTCTGGGAATCAGCGTGTTTTTACACGAGTAGAAAGTGTCCTTTTATTTAAACTGCACTTCTGAGTTATTTGTGGGGCCTGCCTGGTGTTTTTATATGAGTAGAATGTGTGTTTTTATTTAAAATGCATCTCTAGGTTATTTGTGGGGCATGGGAATTCATTCATTCCTCCCCCCCAAAAAAAGATAGTCTGGCCCCCCACAAGGTCTGAGGGACAGTGGGCCGGCCCCCTGCTGAAAAAGTTTGCCGTTTCTCATAGCTATGCTTCACCATAAGATCAAGGACTGAGGTAAAGGTAAAGGGACCCCTGACCATTAGGTCCAGTTGTGACTGACTCTGGGGTTGCGGCGCTCATCTCACTCTATGGCCCGAGGGAGCCGGCGTTTGTCCGCAGACAGCTTCCGGGTCATGTGGCCAGCAGGACTAAGCCGCTTCTGGCGAACCAGAGCAACGCACGGAAACACCGTTTACCTTCCCGCCAGAGCGGTTCCTATTTATCTACTTGCACTTTTAAGTGCTTTCGAACTGCTAGGTTGGCAGGAGCTGGGACTGAGCAAGCAAGTCCTAGCCTCTGTGGTTTAACCCATAGCGCCACCTGTGTCCCTGCAAGGACCGAGTTACGACGATGCAAAAAACGAGACCTGCTTTTATAGAATCCTAGATTTGCCATCCCTTTGAAAAACAAAAGTAAGGCAGAGACTTTTTTCGCTCTCAGCCCGTCCTAACATATATTAAACGCAATTATAATTGCAAGCTGGCTTTCAGACTCCAGCGAACGTTTCCGCAATGCAATAAAGGAAGAAACAACAAACAACATTTCGCACGCAGATTGCAATGGAGAATCGGGAGCGCTTGGCTCTGCGGCGACCCGCGAGAATCTCGGGAGAATTGTTGCAATGAAGGCTTGGAAGGAGAATCGTAGAATCACAGAACTGTAGAGTTCGAAGGGACCCTAGACACCATCTAGTCCAACCCCCCTGGAAGGCAGGAATGTGCAGCAATGCCCCAGACGAGGATCAAACCTGCAACCTTGGCATCATCAGCACCACGCTCCAACCAAAGCCTTCGTCCCTCGTGGTCCGTTCCAACTCTACAATTCTACTATGAAATCTCCGCGTTGTGGGTTCAAGTCCCACGCTGGGCAAAAAAAAGATTCCTGCATTGCGGGGGGTTGGACTAGATGACCTGGGGAGGATCCCTCTTTCATTTCAACCATTCTAGGGTCCTACGAAGGGATGCGGGTGGCGCTGTGGGTCAAACCACAGAGCCTAGGACTTGCCAATCAGAAGGTCGGCGGTTCGAATCCCCGCAATGATGGGGTGAGCTCCCGTTGCTCGGTCCCTGCTCCTGCCCACCTAGCAGTTCGAAAGCACGTCAAAGTGCAAGTAGATAAATAGGTACCACTCCAACAGGAAGGTAAACAGCGTTTCCGTGCGCTGCTCTGGTTCGCCAGAAGCGGCTTAGTCCTGCTGGCCACATGACCTGGAAGCTGTACGCCGGCTCCCTCGGCCAGTAAAGCGAGATGAGCACCGCAACCCCAGAGTTGGTCACGACTGGACCTAATGGTCAGGGGTCCCTTTACCTTTACCTTAGGGTCCTACAGAAGGGGCAGTTTAAAGCCCCTTAACCAGGCATTGCCAATGTCCTCTTCTTCCTCCCTCTGCTTGGCTTAGTTGGCGAGTTTCTCACAAAGAAAATTTCGTTCATATCGCACAGAGAGGAGAGCCCAGCCCAGGCCTAATCCTGCTACCTTAGACTACTGGTTGCCTGTCCCCCGATACTCTGCCAACCCTCCATTCCATTTCATTTTCTCCAGCTCCTCTAGAAGTTACGTAACTTTGCATTCTTGGCACAGATGTTTTTGCAGAAGGAGATCTGTCTGCTCAAGAGCGAAGCTCGGAAGCGCGTCTCCTCCGTTAAGTGTGGAAGGGGATTTCCTGTCCCTGAACCTGCGCAGAAAGCTTCGCCGCCGAGCGGTTAGGAAGAATAATAATAATTCACTAGACTGTACGGAATAATCTGAATTTTGCAGAGGAAAACAATCCTTTTGAATTCTACGGGCCCAAGACATGGAATCTAACAAAGGGACAATATCAATGGATTCTCTGAGCTCTTACTTTGGCAAAAAGTTGCAGTATGAACAGTAATAATAATAATAATAATAATAATGTGGCTTTCTTTAACGACTGAAGATACGTTCAAACTTGCTACACATGGACAAGTTGCGTGCAAACACACACTTGCCATGTACAAAGTCAACGGTATTTGGAATTCATTTTTATAAATACCCTATTAGGTTAAGGTTTGTTGAACTGCAATAATATTATTTTTGGTAATGCATACAGCTTTTCTGTTGTTCTGTTTTATTTTCTTACACTGTCCTATTTCTTTTCTCCCCCCCCTTCTTTTTTGTGCCTTATCTTACACCGTGCACTTGTGTTTATGTGGTTTTTAGAAAAATAATAATTCAATAGGGAATATAAAACAATATATATGTACCTCTCTCTCTCTCTCTCTCTCTCAACAGATATGAAACATGGGGATAAAGTTATCCTTGCCATCCATTACAAGCTGTGTCCTAAGATTTAGCCTTATCATAACCCTCAAAGAACAAATTGTATAGTCTGAGGATCAAAGTAATGAGAACATTTCTTTTTTTAAAAAGGTTGCAAGGGGAAGCAAGCGAAATCTGGGTAAGAACATTTTGAGCCAGGAGTTTAGAATTTAACTTTGCGGGGGCCTCAAACACTCACTGTCCTGATCTGCTAATGGGGAACGAGAGACAGAGAAACCAGCATTTTAAAGATCACCATTTAATGCTTAATATTTAATTTCGCTGCCCAGCCAGGCTGGACGGAATTTTAAAAGCACGCTCCCAGCACCTTAGGGAACCAAGGCAAAAATATAAACTAGTCATCCCAAAGGTCTGGGCACTGTGTTTATGTGTGATCAAAGGGATCTCCATAAACAGAATTGATGTGTGTGCGCAAGCTCTAATTTGCAGGTGGATCCTATTCTTTTGCTCGGGGGAAAGATCCCGACGCCATGCGCGGAAGCTGTGATAAAGGGAAATTCCATGTTAGAGAGCATCGTTTGATTTCATTCACACAGGTTCTTTTATTTATCCCAGAGCTGGAAGCGCCAAGCCCAAACCCTTGAAACGCAGGAATCTTTTGCCCAACGTGGGGTCCGAACCCGCGAGCCTGAGATTGAGTCTTGAGTTCTACCGGCTGAGCTAAGGGGGCCGGTTCGCAAGATTAAAAACAGACATCACCTTGCCAACAAAGGTCCGTATAGTTAAAGCTATGGTTTTCCCAGTAGTGATGTATGGAAGTGAGAGCTGGACCATAAAGAAGGCTGATCACCGAAGAATTGATGCTTTTGAATTCTGGTGTTGGAGGAGACTCTTGAGAGTCCCATGGACGGCAAGAAGATCAGACCTCTCCATTCTGAAGGAAATCAGCCCTGAATGCTCACTGGAAGGACAGATCCTGAAGCTGAGGCTCCAAGACTTTGGCCACCTCAGGAGAAGAGAAGACTCCCTGGAAAAGACCCTGATGTTGGGAAAGATGGAGGGCACAAGGAGAAGGGGACGGCAGAGGACGAGATGGTGGGACAGTGTTCTTGAAGCTACCAGCATGAGTTTGACCAAACTGCAGGAGGCAGTGGAAGACAGGAGGGCCTGGCATGCTCTGGTCCAGGGGGCCACGAAGAGGCGGACACAACTAAACAACAACAAGTTGCTGTTGGCATCTTTCTGCTGCCGAGGGCAAAGTCAAACTGCTGTGTTAGCAACACCAGAGTTGACCTCCCGCCAGGGCAGAAGTTGTTTTTGTTGTTGCAATCCATCTGCAGGCCCGTCTTACCCATAGAGGCTAGTGGCGCCGGGGTGCCAAGTTCTGGAGGGGCGAGAGTCCGGGGAACACTAAACGAGCGCACTGAGCGAGCGAGGGCGCGTGCGCCATTCCCTCTGAACGTCAGCTCGGTTTTTTCCCTTTTAGCCTGCAGGCGTCAAATTCTGCAGGGCGCCAGAAGGCTAAAAGGGGAAAAACTGAGCCAACACTTGGTGGCACGAAGCAGCCAAGCTGAGCCGGGAGGCACCACGCCCAGCCTCTGCCTCTTCCCCGCCGGAGGAGCCGCCCTCCAGCCACTGCCCGCCTCCTCCAGCCCTAAAAAACAAAGGTTGACAACTCTGGGAAAGAGTTGCCAGAGGGATCTTTGCACCACGGCACCGGATATGCTTAAGATGGCCCTGTCATAGCTGTCAACTTACAGATTTGAAAATAAGGGACCAGCAGCCTCGAAAATAAGGGATCAGCAGCCAAAATAAGGGATTTTCAGAGCACAGGTATGTTCAACTTCTGAGCCCCTCCGAGCCAAAGGCAGAAAGCCCAACCAGCAGCCAAACGAAGCCTCAAGCGGTGGTTCCCACAGCGCAGCAACCCAGCAAAGGGGATGCAGCAAGGAAAACCACCGTCACCTCTCCGCTGGGAAGCGCTGAGCAAAGGCGAGTCCCCAGGCAAGGCGGCCGATTTGATAAGCACAAGGCATGCAAGCTCCACCCCCCAGTCGTTCTTAGACTCCTTATTGGGTGAGCAATGCAGCCAAGCAACACAGTTGGAGCCTCCCTCCTCCCTGGCCGGCAGGGAGGGAGAGGAGCTGCTTCCTCTGAAACCCGGGAAATTTAAGGGACATCATCAATAAGGGGCAGCAGCGGGACACGGCGCTGGGATAAGGGACTTTCCCGCCAAATAAGGGACGGTTGACAGCTATGGGCCCTGTCCATCTGTCTCGAGAGATGGTGGAACGTGCCTTGTTTCCAGGGTGCAAACCTGGGCAGTGTGTCTGGAGGTCCTGGGCTGCCCAGATCACAAGACCCACCCGCTCTCAGCCTATCCTATCCTCGCATCCTTGTGGGAGGAAGAGGAGAAGGGATGGAGCTGGAGAAAAAGAGAGAGAGAGAGAGAGAGAGAGAGAGAGAGGATTGGCGTTCTTTTCCCGGTTTCCCTTCCTCGACAGGAAAGGACAGCACATACCCGGGCATGCAAACATCCTGCCGAGCCGAACTCTGGAATGGAAATGGAGACGGGTGCATGAATGCTGATGCCGGGCTTGAGCTGGGCGGCTGAAAGCGACGGGAAAGACAAGCCTTTGCCAAAGACAACACTGGAACTAAATCCCTTTGCTGGGTAATGCGCGCGAGAGAAGGGTTACTAGTGTGAAAGACGTCATTTGTCGTTGGGCCATGGAAGACCAGGAAGAGACATTATGGACAACCAATCTCAGCTGAGACCTTACTTGCCTGCAGACTGTCTGGCCAGAGTGGTCCATGCCCTGGTTATCTCCCACTTGGACTACTGCAATGCACTCTACGTGGGGCAACCTTGGAAGGTGACCCGGAAACAACAGCTAATCCAGAACGCAGCTGCTGGACTGGCGATTGGGAGCGGCCGCCGGGACCATATAACACCGGTCCTGAAAGACCTACATTGGCTCCCAGTACGTTTCCGAGCACAATTCAAAGCGTTGGTGCTGACCTTGAAAGCCCTAAACGGCCTCGGTCCAGTATACCTGAAGGAGCGTCTCCACACCCAAACCATCCAAATGAGCTTATTTCCCTGGGACAGTCCCGGATTTACAGAAGCCGTCCCGGTTTCTGATTTGATTCTGGAATGTCCCACTTTTCCTTAGTACGTCTCTATTTTCATCGGAGGAATGTTGGAGGGGATGGAGTTATGCGAGCCCTGAGCCAAGGAGATAAGGTACTCCACAACCTTTAGAAGACATCTGAGGCCGCCCTGTGCAGGGAAGCTTTTAAAGGTTTATTATGTTTTAATTTATGCTGGAAGCTTCCCGGAGTGGCTGGGGCAACCCACTCAGATGGGTATTATGATTATGGTTGTGATTATTAAATAGTAAAAGGTAAAGTGACCCCTGACCATTAGGTCCAGTCGTGGCCGACTCTCGGGTTGCGGCGCTCATCTCGCTTTACTGGCCGAGGGAGCCGGCGTACAGCTTCCGGGTCACGTGGCCAGCATGACTAAGCCGCTTCTGGCGAACCAGAGCAGCACACGGAAACGCCGTTTACCTTCCTGCCGGAGCGGTACCTATTTATCTACTTGCACTTTGACGTGCTTTCGAACTGCTAGGTTGGCAGGAGCAGGGACCGAGCAACGGGAGCTCATCCCGTCGCAGCGGGGATTTGAACCGCCGACCTTCTGATCGGCAAGCCCTAGGCTCTGTGGTTTAACCCACAGCGCCACCCGCGTCCTGATTATTAAATAGGATGTCCCTATTTTCAACGGAGAAATGATGGGGGGGCATGCATTTCTCGAGGTTTATGTCAATGCACACTGTTTATCTTTCCCCCTTTCCCTCTCCCCTTGCCCCTCCTAAGCTCTCCGGAATCCAAAGTGTTTCCTTATCAGCAAGTGGAAACGAGAACCAGCCTCTCATCTTGCCCAGTGGGAAATAATACTGAAATAAACAACAAAATCTTCTCCTTTCCTAGTGGCGTCTCTATATGCAACTCCCCTGGCTCGATCGCGGCCGGCTCACAGCGCCGGGAATCCTGTGTACATTTTCACCACTGTCTAAATATTAGATCAGCGGCTGCTCTTTTGTCTGGTACTCTGGCCATGCTGTTCCTTTGTTTTTAAGGAATAATAGGAGTTGCAGGAGGCCTTCGAGGCTCAAGTGGCCTCTGTGTGTGGCTTTAGGAGTCCTTACTTCCATAATAATTATAATAATAACGTTATTACTTATACTCCGCCCATCTGGCCGGGTCTCCCCAGCTACTCTGAGCGGCTTCCAACAGGATATTTAAACACAACAAAACATTAAACATTAAAAACTTCCCTAAACAGGGCTGCCCTCAGATGTCTTCTAAAAGTCAGGTTGTTGTTTATTTCCTTGACATCAACACAGGGTGGGCACCACCACCGAGAAGGCCCTCTGCCTGGTTCCCTGTAACCTCACTTCTCTCAGGGAGGGAACCGCCAGAAGGCCCTCGGAGCAGGACCTCAGTGTCCGGGCTGGACAATGGGGATGGAGACACTCCTTCAGAGATACTTTGCAGAGACCGTTTACGGCTTTCAAGGTCAGCACCAAGACTTCGAACTGTGCTCGGAAACGTCCTGGGAGCCAATGTAGGTCTTTCAGGTCTTGGCGGCCGCTCCCAGTGACCAGTCTAGGTTGTTGTAGTTGTAGTTTCTGGGTCACCTTCAAAGGCAGCCCCACGGAGAGCGCGTTGCAGTAGTCCAAGCAGGAGATAACCACAGCATGCACCACTCTGGCCAGACAGTCTGGGGGCAGGGAGGGTCTCAGCCTGTGTACCAGATGGAGCTGCCCTGGACACAGAATTGACCTGCGCCTCCATGGACAGCTGTGAGTCCAGAATGACTCCCAGGCTGCGCACCTGGTCCTTCGGGGATACGGTTACCCCATTCAGGACCAGGGAGTCCCCCATACCTGTCCCCCCAGAACAGTGCCTCTGTCTTGTCAGGATTCAACCTCAATCTGTTAGCTGCCATCCATCCTCCAACCGCCTCCAGACACTTTAGGACTCATTCTCAGGCAACTTCCAAACTGTGCTACTGCAATGAAATTTATGTGGGGCTGCCCTTGAAGGCGAGGTGGGGATTTGATTCCATTTGGTCTCATTTTATTTTATACAGTATAGAAACAGAACCTTTAGAAGACATCTGAAGGCAGCCCTGTATAGTTTATTTAATGCTTAATGTTTCATTGTGTTTATATCTCTGTTGGTAGTGACCCAGACAGAGTGGCTGGGGAAACTGAATCAGATGGTTTCTTTCGCGTCTTAACTCTGGCTTGCGACACCGACGATATACAAGATGTGCCCTGTCGCTGTGATGGCAATCAGCTTTTAATGGTGGATTTTTAATTGATACAACCCAGAAGCATGAGGCAAGGGATAAATATCGCTTCTCTTTGGCAATCCCTCGTCGCTGAGTAAGATCGTCTTCCGTAAACACGGTTTTAACAGTGAGTCCATAAGTGACTGTGGAGGCTGATTCTGGATCCTCACGTCCTTCCACAGTGGGGACATTGGTTTCCGGGCGGGAGCTGATCCCGGTGAGGGTTTGCCAAGCGTGCTTTCCTCTTAGCACGTTTCTCCCTTGTGTCCTGAGTTCGAGTGTCTTCAAAGCCCACGACACCTTTGGAAAAGGCTGTTCTCCAACTGGAGCGCTCGCAGCCCAATGTTCTCCAGTTATCAGTGTTTATACTATATTTTTAAAGATTTGTTTTGAGGGTGTCTTTAAACCTCTTTTGTTGGCCACCAGCATTACGCTTTCCGTTCCTAAACTGGGAACAGAGTAGTTGCTTCGGAAGACGAAAATCAGGCATCCGCACAACATGACCGGTCCAACGAAGTTGATGTTGAAGAATCGTCGCTTCCACACTAGCGATCTTTGCTTCTTCCAGCATTCGTTCGCCTGTCTTCCCAAGTGATGCGTGAAATTTTTCGGAGACGATGGAATCTTTCGAGGAGTTGCCGTTTATAATTCACCCTCCTCCTCGGTTTCTTCATGTTCTTGTTCTCCTTCCTTGCTCCACGCAGAAACACATCTCAAAACAGCGGAGGTGTTGCGAGCTCCTGAAAGAACTTTCAGAACTTTCGTTTGTTGCTCCTCGCACTTTTGATTCACTTTCCGCTAGCATGTGGCCACTGGAAAGAGGCTTAGGAGGAAGAACAGCCCTCGGGCTAATAGACATTTTCCCATTCGGGGGACCTGCCAAAGCTAGATGGCTTTCAGGCAAAATGTCTACGATCTCTGCCGCAGGTACCCAACTGCGTCCCCAACTCCATACTTCTGTTAGAGGCTGGTGAATGCCCAATTTCAACTAAAGCGTGGTTGTTGCTGTTTAGTCGTGTCCGCCTCTTCGTGACCCCCTGGACCAGAGCATGCCAGGCACTCCTGTCTTCCACGGCCTCCCGCAGTTTGGTCAAACTCATGCTGGTAGCTTCGAGAACACTGTCCCACCATCTCGTCCTCTGTCGTCCCCTTCTCCTTGCGTCCTCCATCTTTCCCAGCATCAGGGTCTTTTCCAGGGAGTCTTCTCTTCTCATGAGGTGGCCAAAGTCTTGGAGCCTCAGCTTCAGGATCTGTCCTTCCAGTGAGCACTCAGGGCTGATTTCCTTCAGAATGGAGAGGTTTGATCTTCTTGCAGTCCATGGGACTCTCAAGAGTCTCCTCCAGCACCAGAATTCAAAAGCATCCATTCTTCGGCGATCAGCCTTCTTTATGGTCCAGCTCTCACTTCCATACATGACCACTGGGAAAACCATGGCTTTAACTATACGGACCTTGGTGGGCTGCCCTAAAACATTGGCTCAGGATTTCAGTGTTTAATCTAGGGAAGGGTTTGTACCAACACCTGACCAATGAGGAATTTGTCAGCAAATGGCAGAAAACCATGGCTAAAAAAGCCACCTCTATTGGTCTGTCTCCCTGCCAATGGTATTACCTGGGTTATGAAGGCGCCCAAAAGATGTTAAAGCAAAGATTATGGGATAATGCACACAGTGACTTGCGATCTCGATCACACACAGTCTGTAGTCCGCTGGCAGTAGGAGTACAATATGGGTATGTCTTTAAGTTAATATCTTACATTAAAAACCTGACAGTACCAAACTTTCGAAGGCTTTTCACCAAAGCCAGTCTAAATGTCTTTCCTTCTGCAGTGTTGGATGGCAGGTTGAGAGGAGTTCCCTACCAGGACAGACTTTGCTCGCGTGCTCAAGACATCGATTCCATAAAACATATTTTGTTGCACTGTGCAAAACATGAGCAAGCCAGGGCTGAACTGATGCTACCCTTGCTGGTACCTTTCCCGGGAAAATCAGAGGCTCGCTATGTCAGGTTCCTACTGGAAGACCGGACAAACACTAGAACATTAGCAGTGGCAAAGTTTTTATCGGTGGTTGCAAGAACAAATGATCCCTATATCCTAAACAAAATGCTTGTCTAACCTGGAGGTAGGCTGTATGAATTGTGTATTGCTTTGTAATGATTTGTTGGGTCTCTGGACCATAATAAAGATTGAGGATGGTGATGATTTCCCCATTCGAGCAATGCAACAAGGCCTAGTGGGCGGTGCAGGAGCGTTTCACACTGTGCCATTTGTGCACACAGAAATAAGCTCCATGGAGATCAGTGGGAAATCGTAGCCTTAAGCACACGAAGCAATCTGCACATCACCACACGGTGTTCTCTCACATCTAAAGGACCTCTGAATAAAACATTTTTTTTAAAAAAGTAGGGCAACAAGCTGGAACGTGTTCCGGGGAAGAAGATGCAGAAGTAATGACAGAGGGAGTGCTCGGATTATATTCTCGGCACGCGTCCCACTGCTTCCTGCAAAGCCACAGAGAGGGATGGTAGAGGAGGGAGCCTCTGGGCATGCGCAGAGCACACGCGCCTCGCACATTACCGAGGGACCACGGTGGACACTCCCACACCTTTGCAAGGTTCAAGAAGCCGGAAGGCACGAGTTCGAATCAAGTCCCACAGATCCTCCAAGGGTCCCTATTTTCCAGGGGCAGCCCTGGGTTAACAGAAGCCGGCCCACTTTCTAATTTGATCCAGGAGCGCCTTGCTTTCTCTATTTTCCTCAGAGAAATGTTGGGAGGGTACGGACGTAGGTGAGCCCTGAGATGTAACTATACAACTTTAGAAGACATCTGAAGGCAGCCCTGCATGGGGAGGTTTTTAAAGAAAAAAATAAATGTTTTATTAAGTTTTTATATATGTTGGAAGCTGCCTGGGTCAACCCAGTCAGATGAGGGGAGTATTACTATTATGAATTATTATTATTATTATTAAATAAAGGTAAAGGTAAAGGAAGAGATGCGGGTGGTGCTGTGGGTTAAACGACAGAGCCTAGGGTTGCCGATCAGAAGGTTGGCGGTTCAAATCTGTGCGACGGGGTGAGCTCCTGTTGCTCAGTCCCTGCTCCTGCCCACCTAGCAGTTCAAAAGCACCTCAAAGTGCAAGGAGATAAAAAGGCACCGCTCCAGCGTCAAGGTAAACAGCGTTTCTGTGAGCTGCTCTGGTTCGCCAGAAGTGGCTTTACTTGCTGGCCACATGACCCGGAAACTGTATGCCGGCTCCCTCGGCCAGTAAAGCGAGATGAGCGCCGCAACCCCAGAGTTGTCCACGACTGGATGTGATGGTCAGGGGTCCCTTTACCTTTAAGTTTTTATATATGTTGGAAGCTGCCCAGGGTGCCTGGGGCAACCCAGTCAGATGAGGGGGTGTATAAATATTATTATTATTATCGAATAAAGGTAAAGGTAAAAGACCCCTGACAGTTAAATCCAGTTGCAAACGACTCTGGGGTTGCGGAGCTCATCTCGCTTTACTAGCCGAGGGAGCCAGCGTTTGTCTGCAGACAGTTTTTCCGGGTCATGTGGCCAGCATGATTAAGCCACTTGTGACGAACCAGAGCAGCGCATGGAAACGCCGTTTACCTTCCCGCCGGAGCGGTACCTATTTATCTACTTGCAGTTAGGGGTGCTTTCGAACTGCTAGGTGGGCAGGAGCTGGGACCGAGCAACGGGAGCTCACCCCGCCGCGGGGATTCGAACCGCCGACCATACGATCGGCAAGCCCTAGGCTCTGTGGTTTAACCCACTGCACCACCCGCGTCTGTTATGGAATAGGACGTCCCTATTCTAATCCAAGAAGGATTATGTGCAATCAGAGTGAGTCATCTGGGGAGAATGCACTGACTGCGATTCTGGAATATAGGGAAGTTTCTTCTTCTGAGTCAGAGCATTCACTGATCATAAGAACCAAAGACCCTGCTGGGTCAGCACAAAAATCTACGAGGTCCAGAATCTTCTCCTGGCAGTGGGCTGCCAGATTCCCCAGTGAGAAGCCTGCAAAGGAGCTGAGTGCGCACTCCATCAATGGCTGCTAGCCATGAAGGCCCGGCTGGATGAACCATTGAGGAAAATAAGCACAAGGGAAAGGGGGACACCACAGAAATTGAAAGCCCTTAACAGCCTCAGCCGAATATACCTGAAGGAGCGTCTTCACCCCCATCGTTCTGCCCAGACACTGAGGTCCAGCTCCAAGGGCCTTCTGGCGGTTCCCTCCCTGCGAGAAGTGAGGTGACAGGGAACCAGGCAGAGGGCCTTCTCGGTGGTGGCACCTGCCCTGTGGAATGCCCTCCCATCAGATGTCAAGGAAATAAACCACTATCTGACTTTTAGAAGACATCTGAAGGCAGCCCTGTTGAGGGAAGTTTTTAATGTTTGACGTTTTATTGTGTTTTTAATATTCTGTTGGAAGCCGCCCACAGTGGCTGGGGAAACCCAGCCTGATGTGCGGGGTAAATAAATGTTATTATTATCTCTAAATCCGGGACTGTCCCTGGAAAATAAGGGCACTTGGAAGGTCTGAAATCTTTGGCACTTTGCAGCACTTTGAGACCCCATCTCTCACTTTGGGGCTGTCCACGTTCCCGATTTTTCTGGCTCCAATATCATAGAACTGTAGAGTTGGAAGAGACCCCAAGAGTCACCTAGTCTAACCCGCTTCTATGCAGGAATCTCTTGTCTAGAGTGCGACTCGAACTCAAGACCCAGCCACAAAATTAAAAGACGCCTGCTTCTTGGGAGAAAAGCAATGACAAACCTAGACAGGATCTTAAAAAGCAGAGACATCACCTTGCCAATACAGGTCTGTATAGTTAAAGCTATGGTTTTCCCAGCAGTGATGTATGGAAGTGAGAGCTGGACCATAAAGAAGGCTGATCGCCAAAGAATGGATGCTTTTGAATTCTGGTGCTGGAGGAGACTCTTGAGAGTCCCATGGACTGCAAGAACATCTCCATTCTGAAGGAAATCAGCCCTGAGTGCTCACTGGAAGGACACATCCTGAAGCTGAGGCTCCAAGACTTTGGCCACCTCAGGAGAAGAGAAGACTCCCTAGAAAAGACCCTGATGTTGGGAAAGATGGAGGGCACAAGGAGAAAGGGACGACGGAGGACGAGATGGTGGGACAGTGTTCTCAAAGCAGCCAACATGAGTTTGACCAAACTGCGGGAGGCAGTTGAAAACAGGAGGGCCTGGCGTGCTCAGGTCCAGGGGGTCACGAAGAGGCGGACACGACTAAACGACAACAACAACCCCTTGCCAAGACTCCATTCTGATGAGCCTTCATTGTGCCCATCCTTGAGGATGATATTGGGTCACACCAGGAGGTGCTGACTCAGAGAAGGCAACCCAACCTGACTGGGTTTCGGCTACCCTGATTGGCCTATGAGATACAAACGTGTGATGCACAGTGAGTTAGGCAACAGCTCATTAAATTGCCAAAGGTATGTGCCTCTTTGACATACATTTAACGCCATTTATCACAGACAATTGGGACGCGGGTGGCACTGTGGGTGAAACCACAGAGCCTAGGACTTGCCGATCGGAAGGTCGGCGGTTCGAATCCCCGTAACGACGGGGTGAGCTCCCGTTGCTCGGTCCCTGCTCCTGCCAACCTAGCAGTTCGAAAGCACGTCAAAGCGCAAGTAGATAAATAGGTACCGCTCTGGCAGGAAGGTAAACGGCGTTTCCGTGCGCTGTTCTGGTTCGCCAGAAGCGGCTTAGTCCTGCTGGCCACATGACCCGGAAGCTGTACACCAGCTCCCTCGGCCAATAAAGCGAGATGAGCACCGCAACCCCAGAGTCAGCCATGACTGGACCTAATGGTCAGGGGTCCCTTTACCTTTACCTATCACAGACAATAATCTTTGCTTTTCATGAGCACCCCGTAATTTCATTTCAAAATAATAATAATAATACCGTATTTTTTGCTCTATAAGACTGACTTTTTCCCTCCTAAAAAGTAAGGGGAAATGTGTGTGCGTCTTAGGGGGTGAATGCAGGCTGCGCAGCTATCCCAGAAGCCAGAACAGCAAGAGGGATCGTTGCTTTCGCTGCACAGCCATCCCTCTTGCTGTTCTGGCTTCTGAGATTCAGAATTTTTTTCTTCTTGTTTTCCTCCTCCAAAAACTAGGTGTGTCTTATGGTCTGGTGCGTCTTATGGAGCGAAAAATAGATGATGATGATGATGATGATGATGATAATAATAATAATAATATCAACAAGCCACACTCAAATCCCTGGACCATATAGTCCAGACCATATCGCGATTCGGTGCAGGTAGAGGCATCGATTTCAGCCCAGTGAGTCAAAGACTGACTTCTGCCTACGAAGACGACGGTGAGGAAAACAGCAGTGACTATGAGGAAGAGACTCTCCCAGGTCTGAACCACTGTGGCATCTCTAGAAAGGACAGGGTAATTCCCCAGAGAGTTCCTGCCAGTCCGTGTGGGCAATATTGAGCTCGATGAGTCAACAGTCTGGCTCGAGAAGTCGCAGTTTCCTGTATGCTACAACAGCAGCAAGAATACTCATTGGGAAGTACTGGAAGACACAAGAACTGCCCACCCGAGAAGAATGGCAGATGAAAGTGATGGACTACATGGAACTGGCTGAGATGACTGGCAGAATTCGAGACCAGGGAGAAGGGTCGATGGAAGAAGATTGGAAAAAATTCAAAATATACCTTCAAAAATACTGCAATATAAAAGACTGTTAGAAAGAGGTTGGAAAAAGAAAATTAGGTCGTTCTGGTAGATATGATATAAAGGATTAGGTAAAAATGAGTTGATGAAATTGATGAAACAGAGGAGGTTTAATCACATTATTTAAATTTTAAAATACGTAAATGAAAATAAGGTTAGAAGGATTTGCTGGAAATACGATCTGAACTAGAATACAAAATTGGGAGGTGAGAGGAGGTCATGGAAATAAGTAAAGGGAAAAGGCTATGTAAAGGTTAAATCTGTTTTTGTTTTATTTTAACTTAATGCATTTTTATATTTTATGTTAAGTCTTCTTTTTTATTCTATTTTATTGTTCACTTTTATCTTTTTATTTTTCGCTTTGTTATGGTTAAAGTTTTCTTTGTATTTTGTATGGTGTTTTTTTTTCCTCTTTTTTGTAACTTTAAATTTGGAATAAATATCATTTTTTTTAAAAAAAAAGAGAGAAGTCGCAGTTTCCTGCAATCCCGTTTTTAAATGCTCCAGAACCGGGAGGAATCTTGGTTTGGGACTGCAGCTCCACAGCGCAATGCAACTCACCCCAAGCGTGCGGAAAGTCCTGAGTTCGAATCCTGGCGAGATCCCCGGTTAAAAGGATCTGGTTAAAAGTTAAAAGGGCTCGTATTTTGCTGCTCGTATTTTGTTAGCTAAAAAGTGGAAAATCCAAGAATTACCAACAATAGAAGAATGACAGATGAAGATGATGAATTTTTCGGAGCTAGCCGACCTGACAGGAAGAGTCCGCGACCAGGAGGAGGAGGAGTATCAGGAAGAGTGGAATAAATTTAATGATTACTTAGTTAAATTTGTTAAGTTAAACTAACTGAAAACAGCTTGCAGACACCTAATGGGCTTAGGATTTTATTTACGTTAAGTGATGAATTAATATGTTTAATTCCATAAGGTGAAGATCTAAGGATGTTAATGTTTAAGTTAAATTTCATAAAAACTGGGATTTGGAAAACCGTTAAAAGGACATACAGTGAAATTCAACCAAGGGGAAGCGAGGAAGTCACTTAACAAAGTTAATAACTGTAATTTTCAATAAGGCTATGATTTATGTCTGTTTGTCTTGTGTGTTTGTTTGTTTATAATATTGTGAAAATTAATAATTTTTTTGGGAAAATGAAAAGAAAAAAATAAGTTAAAAGGGCTCTTCTTCCTTGGAGGTTTTTAAGCTGGGTGGTCACGTGTTGGGGATGCTTGAGCAGCGATTCCCGGATTGCAGGGGGTTGGACTAGATGACTGCTGGGGAGCCCTTCCAATTCTACACTTATTGATTCTATCTCCTCTCTGTCTCCTCTTCTCCGGGCTAAAAGTACCCAGCTCCTTCGAGCATTCTTCATAAGGCATAAGCAGATGACGAGGGGAGCTCTCTTTCCTGAAATCCTTACATGCTTCTGCCAGTCAGACACTGGTCTATATCTGACAAAGGGCTGCATGGACACTATAAAGCACATTTCTGCCCCTGTCCCCGCAGAAAAAAAGAATACTGGTAACTGAAGTTTGGTGCTGGGAACTGTAGCACTGTGGCGGTCAAACTACAGTTCCCAGGACGTCCTTGCATGCTTTAGATGTGCACAGCCTAAGGCACATTAATCAAAGGTCTACTCTGAGTATGTTTTAGTCAGAAACAGCCTAACGCAGCGGTTCTCAACCTGTGGGTCCCCAGATGTTGTTGGACTACAACTCCCATCATCTCTGAGCTCCGGCCTTGCTAGCTAGGGGTGATGGGAGTTGTAGTTCAACAACATCTGGGGACCCACACGTTGAGAAAGGCTGGCCTAACGGATGGACTTTGACTTGTGCCCTAACAAAAATTAATGGTATTATTATTATTAATTGAGTTTATATACCAACCTATACCCGGAGGTCTCAGGGCGGTTCACAGAAAAGATCACAATATATATAATCAGAATAAAAACAACAACCCAATAACACACACCAGAAAAGAGCCACATTTTAAAAGGGTATAGGATGTCAAACAGATCAACCAAAGGCCTGGTTAAAAAGGAACGTTTTTGCCTGGTGCCTAAAGGTGTGTAATGAAGGCACCAAACGAGCATCCCACAAACAGGGAGCCACTGCAGAGAAGGCCCCGTTCTCGTGTTGCCACCCTCCGGACCTCTTGAGGAGGAGGTACACGAAGGAGGGCCTCAGAAGATTATCTTGGGGTCCGGGTAGGTTCATATGGGAAGAGGGGGTCGTTTTTTTAAAATGGAAGAAGGGAATCAGTGAATCTTCCCCATATTTCTTTGTACAGGGCAGACAGAAAGTGGCAAGAACATCTAGCAGCTAAATATCTTGCGGAGGAATCCAGCCAAGAATTCAAGTGTTTTAGTCTTACCCCTCACGCACCCCTCTCCAAAGAAGAGCGGTGAGGGTTCAAGGCTACCTGGAAAGGTTACCTGATGACCTGCACGATTTCCTCATCATCCCAGGTGTGTGGCGGTGCAGATGACAAAAGGCACTCTGCGGCTGCTCAGAGGCAATCCCAATGGGAAGCCGGCAAGCGGGATCCGAGTGCAAGATCCCCTCCATCAATGGGCATTAGTGCCTATTGCTCACTGGGCAGAGCGTGAGACTCGCAATCTCAAGGTCCTGGATTCGAGTCCTGCATCGGATGAAAGATTCCTGCATTGCAGGGGGTTGGACTAGATGACCCCCTGCGGCCCCTTCCAAATCTGTCTCCAGCCATGGAAGCAGAGCAGGGCCATCCTAGCTAACAGCCATCAATAAGCCTCCTCCTTGAATTTGCCCAATCCTCTTTCAAGGCCACCCCAGTTGATGGCCACCGCCGGCTACTGTGGCAGGGAGTTCCATAGTCTAACTCTGCATGGTGGAGGATTTATTTATTTTTGTCCATCCTGAATCTTTGCAACACTGAGCTTCACTTCTAGTGTTACGAGAGAGAGAAAGGCCTCTCCAAAAAAATACATAATTTTAAAAGCGTCTGTGCTGTCACCGCTTCCCTGCCAAAAACCCCCCAAGCCTTCTTGTTGGTGGCCCCTTGTTATATATCTGTGCTCAGCCTACCTCAAAGGGCCGTTGTGATCCAGGTCAGGTTCCGAAGGAGGCAGAACTACTTAAAAACTACCCCGAAGTCCTTGCAAGGAAGGGGGGGGGGGCATGATGAAGATTTGATCTGCCGAAAGTGCCTGTTATGCGGGTGGCGCTGTGGGTCAAGCCACAGAGCCTAGGACTTGCCAATCAGAAGGTCGGCGGTTCAAATCCCCGCGACGGGGTGAGCTCCTGTTGCTCGGTCCCTGCTCCTGCCCACCTAGCATTTCGAAAGCACATCAAAGTGCAAGTAGATAAATAGGTACCGCTCCGGCGGGAAGGTAAACGGCGTTTCCGTGCGCTGCTCTGGTTCGCCAGAAGCGGCTTAGTCCTGCTGGCCACATGACCCGGAAGCTGTACGCCAGCTCCCTCGGCCAGTAAAGCGAGATGAGCGCCGCAACCCCAGAGTCGGCCACGACTGGACCTAATGGTCAGGGGTCCCTTTACCTTTACCTTTACCTTTACTACTAATGACCCCCCCCCCCCCGTTCTAGAAGTGTATGGCAGCACAATCCAGAAAGCCACATAATGCAATAGGCTCTAATTGTGCGATACAATCAATAACATAAGATAATCAATAACACGAGGAATCGAGAGTCAGCGATTTCTGAAAGCCGTAACACAACCTTTCAAATAAACACACACACAAATCAAAACTGAAACGGCGCACCGGAGCTCACCAGTTTGGAAACCACCGTTATAGGGTTGCCAACTTTATTTCCTGGCCCCTGCTCCTGCGCCTTTTGTGGCACATGTGTTACAGAGGAAACGAGGGGACACACACACACACACACACTTCCCCTCCTATCTTGCAGCACGGGCAGCTCTTAAAGGCGCAGGGGGAGGGCCGAAGGGGCACCAAAAAAAGAGTTGGCAACACCCTCAACTGGGAAGAGGCAGGGAGAAGAGAGCCCAGCTTAGGCAGGCAGCAGCCTATTGAGGTTGCAGCTGGACCAGTTCTTTTTCCAGGCACCGCAAGGCCGGCTGGAAGGGAAAGCTGGCGACTGTGGTTGTTGCTGGCGAATCAGCCCTGCCAACTGGGGGGGAGGCTCTCCCCGCGCCCACAAACACCACCCACGTGTCCCTTTCCCCAGAGCAGTATCTTTGGCACGGCCAGGCATGCCCTGGCCTTGCTGCAGCTTGCCCCCAAAACCGGGCACTGCCAGGCGAACCCTGGGCCTATCTATTATCCCTTCTGCCTCGGTTGTCTCTCGACTTCCACGTGGCGGAATAACGGGGAGAGCCTGCCCCACGCTTAGGGGCTGCTGCTCCTCTTCGCCCAGTGGCCTCGCCCCCAGGGCTGAGCCGTGGTGCTTCCTGCCCACCCTAAAAGATGCCCTGCCAACTGGGCACTGTCGAACCGACTCTCTGCCAACTGCTCACAAGGCCGTGTCTCCTGGAACAGCAAAATCCAGCCTGCCTTCTTCCTCCCTCCCTCCCCGCACACCGCTCTGGCACTGCCAACTTCCCCACACAGAGAACAAGCCGTTATGGCCCAGGGCGGAGGGCGGTCCTGATGGCCTCTAGGTGCCCCTTCCCAGTCTCGATTGGGGCCTTTTCTCTCTCTCTCTGAGTGTGTCCTAAACCGTGCCCGCCCAACACTAAGGCCCATTCACTACCAACAGCCGCCCTCTTGCCTCAAAGCGGCCCAGCGCCCACCTGATGCCACTGGTGCCCTTTGTGAGTGTTTGTGGGGGGGGGGTCGCTCTTCCAGCTCTTCGCTCGCTCTGTCTGGATGCCCTCTGGGTGCACCGACTTCCTTACCGGGTGGTACCCAATTTCTACCAAACCGAGCGCCCCTTCTTCTTCCTAGTTCAGCTTTCGTACTGAGCCGGTGTTGCCCACCAGCCAAGAGACACCCCCTGGCAGGGGTGCCAACTTGAATAAAATATCGGGGTGGGGTGGGGTGTATGTTTGCCCAGGTAAGCCGTGCCCCGCATAATCACAAGACATGGCGCCTGCCCACCATCTGAATGCCAATGCCCATCGACTTTGTTGAGCCCACCCCTCTCAAATATTTTCCTGGGGGAGCCAAGGGACCTCGGCGCCTTGAGGTTGGCTCCCATGCCCCCGGGCGCTCCTCCCCCAGGCGCGATACCCCCTGCCCCAAAAGCCACCCTCCTCCTCGTCCTGACTCACTTCTGACAACCTTCCCCGCCCGGGTCTGCTGCGCCCATCGCCGTGCCCCCTTTGCCCAGATGTGCCCATGGAAGAGAGATGGGCGGCGGCGGCGGCGGCGGCGCACCCCCCCCAAACCCCCCCCCCCACGAATCCTTGCTTCAGATCTAGCATTGTGGGCTGTGCCAACGCTGATGCCCAGCTGGCGATTGGGGAGGGAGCGCCGACGCCGGCTGATGCACAGCCCTGGGGCGCTGTCGCTTCCAGAGCGCGCTGCCTGGGCACTGCCCCTTTTCCCCGGGGAGGGGGGACCCTCCGTCTCTCCCCCCCCCCCCGCCAGCCCCCTTCCCTGCCCGCGTCCAGACCTGCTGCTCCGGCGCGCGCGTCTTCGCCGCTTCTCCGAGGCGCCTTCCGTCGGCTCCGGAGTTCGCTGGAGCTCCGGGTCAGGGTGGAGGGAGACGGGGCGGCCCCAGGAAGGAGGAGCCCCGAGGAGGCGGGCAGAGGCGCTCTCGCTTCGCCTTCCCTCCTTCCCTCCCTCCCGCCTGCGCTTCCCCCTCCTCCGGGGCCGAGAGGGAGGAGCGAAGCCTGTGGATCATCAAGAGCGCCGGGGAGGGCGCCGGAGTAGCCGTGCCTCTGAGCGTGTGCAGAGCGCGGCCAGCCCCAAGCGCAAAAACGCACCCGCGCCTTGTCGTTGGTTGGTTTGCTTGCTTGTTATTAAATAAAAATAAAAATGTGGTCGGATTCTCCCCGCGAGGGGGAGGGCGCCTGGCTGACCGTGCCTTTGAGCGCGTACAGAGCGCGGCCAGACCCAAGCGCAAAAACGCACCCGCGCCTTGTTGTTGGTTGGTTGGTTTGCTTGCTTGCTTGTTATGAAATAAAAATAAAAATGTGGTCGGATTCTCCTCGCGAGGGGGAGGGCGCCTGGCTGACCGTGCCTTTGAGCGCGTGCAGAGCGCGGCCAGACCCAAGCGCAAAAACGCACCCGCGCCTTGTTGTTGGTTGGTTGGTTTGCTTGCTTGCTTGTTATGAAATAAAAATAAAAATGTGGTCGGATTCTCCCCGCGAGGGGGAGGGCGCCTGGCTGACCGTGCCTTTGAGCGCGTGCAGAGCGCGGCCAGACCCAAGCGCAAAAACGCAGGCGCATCTTGTTGTTGGTTTGTTTGCTTGCTTGTTATGAAATAAAAATAAAAATGTGGTCGGATTCTCCCCGCGAGGAGGAGGGCGCCTGGCTGGCCGTGCCTCTGAGCGCGCGCAGAGCGCGGCCCGCCCCAAGCGCCAAAACGCACGTGTTGTTTGTTTTTAAAGGGGCAATGTTTCCTAGGATTTCTTCTGGGTCCTGGGAGGTGTGGAGTAATAATAATGAAGCAGGGCCTCTGAGCGTGTGCAGAGAGCTCCCCGCCCTAATGGCGAAAATGATGGTGCGCGTTGCTGTTGTTTGTTCGCTTGCTTATTTTTAAAGGGTTTCCTGGGATTTATTCTGGGCACTCAGTTTTGGGCCCTGGGACGTGTGGAGAATGAAGCAGGGCCTCTGAGCCCGTGCAGAGTGCCTTTCACCCTCCCTCATGGATAAAAGAGAGGGTTGGCTTTGAGGGGGGGCTGTTTAAGAGAGGCTCAAGCATGGGAGTGGCCAGTGGGGGCAGCTGCCCTCCCGTCAAGTAAATAAATAAAAATGCTTAACTAAAAGTAGAAATGGTAAATTTGAACAGATTTTTCTTGACACCTTAAGGCCAGAAGGTGTGGAATTAAGAATTTTTAGTTTTAATTATTCACATCCCAGGTTCCCCCAAAGAAGCTCAAGGTGGCATTTGTTTTTTAATTTTTAAAATTTATGTTAAATTTATAGGCCGCACTTCATCTGTTGATCTCCGATTTCAGCCTCACAACAACCCTGTGAGGTCGATCAGGCAGAGAGAGAAGAGAAGAAGAAGAGTTTGGATTTGATATCCGGCTTTATCACTACCCGAAGGAGTCTCAAAGCGGCTAACATTCTCCTTTCCCTTCCTCCCCCACAACAAACACTCTGTGAGGTGAGTGGGGCTGAGAGACTTCAGAGAAGTGTGACTGGCCCAAGGTCACCCAGCAGCTGCAGGTGGAGGAGCGGGGAAGCGAACCCAGTTCACCAGATTACGAGTCCACCGCTCTGAACCACTACACCACATTGGCTCTTAGACAGTAACTGGAAACCTAGAGAGCAAGTGGGGTTTTTAAGGGGGCTCCGTTGCCTAGGATTTCTTCTTGGCACTTGAGGCTGCGCCCTGAACGTTGTTGGAATAATAAGAATCACATAGTGTAAGGTTACCAGATTTTTTTCAATGAATCCGGGGACACTTTTCAACTTCAATAGATTTTGTATGGGGACTGATTTGTAAATCTGGGGACTGTTCCCGGGAAACAGGGACGTCTGGTAACCTTATAGTGTCTCTGAGCATCTGCCAAGTTCCTTCTGCACAATCCCAATGGATAAAACACAGGTGGCCTTTTTAATATATTTTTTAAGAGGCTCAGTAATCCCAGGATTTATACTCGAGTCTCAAAAGTGGACCCTGGAAGGTCCGGTGTTTTGACAACAGCAGCGGCACGTTGTTGTTGTTTAGTCATTTAGTCGTGTCCGCCTCTTCGTGACCCCCTGGACCAGAGCACGCCAGGCACTCCTGTCTTCCACTGCCTCCCGCAGTTTGGTCAAACTCATGCTGGTAGCTTCGAGAACACTGTCCCACCATCTCGTCCTCTGTCGTCCCCTTCTCCTTGTGCCCTCCATCTTTCGCAACATCAGGGTCTTTTCCAGGGAGTCTTCTCTTCTCCTGAGGTAGCCAAAGTCTTGGAACCTCAGCTTCAGGATCTGTCCTTCCAGTGAGCACTCAGGGCTGATTTCCTTCAGAATGGAGAGGTTTGATCTTCTTGCAGTCCATGGGACTCTCAAGAGTCTCCTCCAGCACCAGAATTCAAAAGCATCCATTCTTCGGCGACCAGCCTTCTTTATGGTCCAGCTCTCACTTCCATACATCACTACTGGGAAAACCATAGCTTTTACTATACGGACCTTTGTTGGCAAGGTGATGTCTCTGCTTTTTAAGATGCTGGCGGCACGTACATCAAATCAATTCAAATCCAAGAGATGCGTCAAATAGGATGAAGATTTTTTTGCAGAAGCTAGCTTGGAAGAGGGAAGGCTTCGGCAAAGGCCAAAGAGACAATCTGGAGCACCGCAGGAGGGAATTCTAAACCCTTCCCCGCAATCTGTTGCCAAGAACTACTGCTTGTGGACACATTAAGACTCTCCTGTCCATCATCTAAAACACGCAAACAAACGGCCATCACTGAATGGTCTCAGATCCAGTCTCCACAATTGCCAGGTAGGTCTGGGAGAGACTCAGTCAGTGTGTAGACAGGCCCAGGAAGTGACGCTGCCAAAATTTTTAAAAAAGGCAGCTTTGTGTTCCTAACTTTCTTTCTTTTTAAATATTTATTATTATTATTATTTTCTAATTTACATTTCAAAATATTCATCCAAACAAGCTTAAATCAATTGACTTCCCTTCTTCTCCTTCCACAGTTCATTCTGCGTACCATCCATCTCTTCATATTTTACATGAACTAAACCGTTCAGTAATCCATTGACTGATGAAGCATGTAGTGAAACCTGTAATATATCCGGAGAGGTAAAAGGTAAAGGTAAAAGGACCTCTGACCATTAGGTCCAGTCGCGGACGACTCTGGGGTTGCGGCGCTCATCTCGCTTTATTGGCCGAGGGAGCCGGCATACAGCTTCCGGGTCATGTGGCCAGCAGGACTAAGCCGCTTCTGGCGAACCAGAGCAGCGCATGGAAACGCCGTTTACCTTCCCGCTGGAGTGGTACCTATTTATCTACTTGCACTTTGATGTGCTTTCGAACTGCTAGGTTGGCAGGAGCAGGGACCGAGCAACGGGAGCTCACCCCGTCGCGGGGATTCGAGCCGCCGACCTTTGATTGGCAAGTCCTAGGCTCTGTGGAACCCACAGCTCCACTTGAACAGGTCTCCTTTTGCCCACTTGCGTTATTCTCACCAGGGGGGTGGCTTTGATTTGCCATCCTGTGATTGATCCATGCATACGAATTTGTGTTTCCAACTCAAGACCCATTGAAGAACATCTCATCCAGTTCAATCTTTGAAAAACAGCTTTGAGAAACTTTTTCACATTCTCCAGTCTGCTACCCTTGCCATTGCTGGGGTTGCCGTTCTGTGATTGGACGTACGCTACTTGTTGAACGGTTCATTTATCCAGTCTGTATAGCATTTATTGCACGTGTACCTTGTTAAGATACAATTGTACATGTTATCCACTCCATGTTTACAGTATCTCCAGGCTTTGCTTTGCCAATGCCACCTTTGTTGCTTGAATGGTTACAAGTCTATCTCTATTCTAGCTACTATTCTAGTAAATTTGGTTTTATACTTAAAAGCCAGTTTGTGGTGTTGTCGTTTTGTTGCATTATTATTACTGTCACCACATTTGATACTTTGTGTATACACCTTGAAATACGACAACTATCTTGAAATAGAGCGTTGCACTAGATACATTGTGAGCACCCTTTTTATGTGTTATTCGGTCGCAGAAGTAATTTGGTCGTGGGATCAGTGCTGCAAAACGGGGAGGAATCCAAGTTTTGAATCAAAGAATTGTAGAGTTGGGCCAGAATGCAAGAATATACAGCAATGCCCATATGGGAATCGAACCTGCAACCTTTATGTTACCAGCAGCACTATGCTCCAACCAACGGAGCTAGCCAGATGGCACTTTTTTGTTGTTGAGTCGTTTAGTCGTGTCCGACTCTTCGCGACCCCCTGGACCAGAACACGCCAGGCACTCCTATCTTCCACTGCCTCCCGCGCTTTGGTCAAACTCATGCTGGTAGCTTCAAGAACACTGTCCCACAATCTTGTCCTCTGCCGTCCCCTTCTCCTTGTGCCCTCCATCTTTCCCAACATCAGGGTCTTTTCCAGGGAGTCTTCTCTTCTCATGAGGTGGCGCCTCAGCTTCAGGATCTGTCCTTCCCGTGAGCACTCAGGGCTGATTTCCTTCAGAATGGAGAGGTTTGATCTTCTTGCAGTCCATGGGACTCTCAAGAGTCTCTTCCAGCACCAGAATTCAAAAGCATCCATTCTTCGGCAATCAGCCTTCTTTATGGTCCAGCTCTCACTTCCATACATCACTACTGGGAAAACCATAGCTTTAACTATTCGGACCTTTGTTGGCAAGGTGGTATCTCTGCTTTTTATGATGCTGTCTAGGTTTGTCACTGCTTTTCTCCCAAGAAGCAGGCGTCATTTAATTTCGTGACTGCTGTCACCATCTGCAGTGGAGCCCAAGAAAGTAAAATCTCTCACTGCCTCCATTTCTTCCCCTTCTATTTGCCAGGAGGTGATGGGACCAGCAGCCATGATCTTCGTTTTTTTGATGCTGACCATATTTTGCGCTCTCCTCTTTCACCCTCATTAAAAGGTTCTTCAATTCCTCCTCACTTTCTGCCATCAAGGTTGTGTCATCAGCATATCTGAGGTTCTTGATATTTTTAATTTGCGCATTAATTTTCGATTTGGTAGGTTTGTGTTCCGTTGTTTACCGAACTCAACGTCTCCCTGTTCTTTGCTCACATTGGGCAACTAGATCCCTCTGGGAAGAGAACACACACACACACACAGTCGTTCCCTGGCCCCGGGATCCAGTAGCCAGAGGTAGTTTTATGAACACAGAAGTTCTGTCTCGATCAGGGGTTCCCAAACTGTGGCCTATGGACCACAGCCATGGCTTGTTTTGTGGAGAGGCAGATTTTAGGGAGTGGAACCAGTTTGGCCGCACTGGGTGCAAAACCCGCCACTATTATTTAGAATGGCACACAAGATGTGAGGAGGGAGCCGCTGAAATTTGAGACCTCAAAGTTCACCAACTTTTTTTCCGTTGTTTTGCCAAATAATATTTGTTTTCCAGATTTTTAACAAATCCGTGCCAAATTGCATCAGATTTATTGCATTTCCTCTCCCCCCAAAGAGTTGATTTCCTGCTGTTTGTCATCGATGGTTCCAACCTTTCCCCCATTGCTGCTCGACATACCATAAGGTAAAGGGACCCCTGACCATTAGGTCCAGTCATGACTGACTCTGGGGTTGCGGCGCTCATCTCGCTTTACTGGCCGAGGGAGCTGGCGTACAGCTTCCGGGTCATGTGGCCAGCATGACTAAGCCGCTTCTGGTGAACCAGAGCAGCGCACGGAAACGCCGTTTTCCTTCCCGCCAGAGCGGTACCTATTTATCTACTTGCACTTTGACATGCTTTTGAACTGCTAGGTTGGCAGGAGCAGGGACCGAGCAACGGGAGCTCACCCTGTCGCAGGGATTTGGACTGCCAACCTTCTGATCGGCAAGTCCTAGGCTCTGTGGTTTAACCCACCGCGCCACCCACGTCCCATACGGCATACCATATTCATTTCTAATTCACATCCCATTTCTTATATTCAGTTATGAACTTCTTGATTTTTTTACTTTTGTTTCCTCTTCCCATTATTCGCCAGCTATCGTTGTATCGATTCCTGCTCCTTACATAACAGCAACATCTTCCCTTAAAGAACGAAAGAGGTTTTTGCCATCCCCTTGTCTGTCCACTTAAACATCATTGCTTATTATTTCTATATTAATTTTTCTTTCTTTGGCGTCTTGCGACGGAACGGCAGGCTGTTCTAAGATCTCTGCAGCCCACCTGTGAGGTGATCTGCACAGATCAGAGGTGGCAGAGAGGAAAGGAGAAGCAATTGAAAGGCAATTAAAAACCATATAGCACTTAGCACCGTGTAGTACCAGGCAGAGAGAATTTGCTAAGTGGTCCCCTAAGGCCCAAAGCAATTTTCAATCGGTCCCATGTGGGAGAGGAATTTGGGAAATGCTGATGTAGGTGGTTCTCTGGTTAATGGCTGCTTGGCAGACCGAGCATGGATCTCTGACCAAGTTCCAGTGGGGAGTTGGGTGGTTGTGGGGAGCTCACAAATAATAATAATAATAATAACAACAACAACAATAATAATAATAATAATAAAATTATACCCCACCCATCTGGCTGGGTTTCCCAAGTCACTCCGGGTGGCTCCCAACAGAATACTATTATTATTAATAATAATGATAATAATAATAATAATAAAGTGATAAAACATCAAGCATTAAAACTTCCCTAAACAGGGCTGTCTTCAGATGTCTTCTAAAAGTCAGACAATTGTTTATTTCCTTGACATCTGATGGGAGGGTGCCACCCCCGAGAAGGCCCTCTGCCTGGACCCCTGTAACCTCACTTCTCGCAGGGAGGGAACTGCCAGGAGGCCCTCAGAACTGGACCTCAGTGTCCGGGCTGAATGATGGGGGTGGAGACGCTCCTTCAGATATACTGGACTGAGGCCGTTTAGGGCTTTCAAGGTCAGCACCAACACTTTGAATTGTGCTTGGAAACGTACTGGGAGCCAATGGAGGTTTTTCAGGACTGGTGTTATATGGTCTCGCTGGCCGCTCCCAGTCACCAGTCCAGCTGCTGCATTCTGGATTAGTTGCAGTTTCCAGGTCACCTTCAAAGGTAGCCCCACATAGAGTGCATTGCAGTAGTCCAAGCGGGAGATAACCAGAGCATGCACCACTCTGGTCAGATAGTCTGTGGGCAGGGAAGGTCTCAGCCTGCGTACCAGATGGAGCTGGTAGACTGCTGCCCTGGACACAGAACTGACCTGCTCCTCCATGGACAGCGGTGAGTCCAAAATATGAGGCATAGGAATTCGTTCATCCCCCCCAAAAAAATATAGTTCAGCCCCCCACAAGGTCTGAGGGACAGTGGACCGGCCCCCTGCTGGAAAAGTTTGCTCACCGCTGTTCTTAGCGAACCTAGGTAAAGGTAAAGGGACCCCTGACCGTTAGGTCCAGTCATGGCCGACTCTGGGGTTGCGGTGCTCATCTCGCTTTGCTGGCCGAGGGAGCCGGCGTACAGCTTCCGGGTCATGTGGTCAGCATGACTAAGCCGCTTCTGGCGAACCAGAGCAGCGCACGGAAACACCATTTACCTTCCCACCGGAGTGGTACCTATTTATCTACTTGCGCTTTGACGTGCTTTTGAACTGCTAGGTAGGCAGGAGCTGGGGCGGAGCAACGGGAGCTCACCCCATTGCGGGGATTCGAACCCCCGACCTTCTGATCGGCAAGTCCTAGGCTCTGTGGTTTAACCCACAACGCCACCCGCGTCCCCTTAGCAAGTCTACTTAAATACCGTCTGTGAATATTTTCAGGTCGTTCTCCGGATGTGCTCCCATTTTACAGGGGGATAACTGAGGCTTAGCAGTAGAGGACTGGCCTTTGCTGAAGTCCGAGCCCAGATCAAATCCTGCTCTTCCCTCCCTCTTACTTTCCCCGCCCTCAGCCTGCCAGCTCCCCCTCCCTGGGACTGTCCTGCGCGATCAGCCTTGAATAGGCTGTCTTGACCAGTGCAAAGTTTTAAATAAACAGCAGAGGTGAAAAAGCATTCATTCCGCCTCTTTCCCTTGGAAGGATCTCTATTCTGCGGGGGACAAGAGGCTGCCTAGTGATCAACTTTTGTGTTTCCACCTAGCGGAGGCTCCCTCTCCATGTTCTCTTAGGCCGGAGAGAAAAAAAGCCTTTACAGTAACTAATATTCTTTGTACAGCTGTGCCGATCACTTAGCCGACAAGCTCCTTTGTAATCCAATTCTGGAGGAGCATACTGTACAAACGCTCCCCGTGCCAACTTGGCACGGCCCGTTCGCTGCTGGCACCCCTGGGCGGTTCTGACGTCGCGACTGCACATAAGCTCAGAGCGGCACCTCGCGCTCGACCCAGCAAAATGCAAAAAACACACAACAACCCACAACCTCGAACAAACAGCTGCAGTTTTGCCTGCCCAAGTCTAGCAGGCAGGTTGTTAGCCCTGCAGACAGGTGTGACAAAAAAGTGCTAAGGCACAGATCCAGCCTGAAGTCTCCCTAAAGCAGGGGTGGGAAGACTTTAGCAGAATGAGGCCCATATTCCTTTCTAGCTAAAGGCCCCGGGGCCACATGGTGGCACGGGGCGGAGGAGAGGGAAAGGGAGGCAATTGAAACGTGAGCACAGCTGAGATTTCTCTGAGGAAAATAGGGACGTCCTATTCCAGGGGTTGACGCTGTGGGTTAAACCACAGAGCCTAGTACTTGCCGATCAGAAGGTCGGCGGTTCAAATCCCCGCTGCGACGGGGTGAGCTCCCGTTGCTCGGTCCCTGCTCCTGCCAACCTAGCAGTTCGAAAGCACGTCAAAGTGCAAGTAGATAAATAGGTACCGCTCCAGCGGGTAAACGGCCTTTCCGTGCGCTGCTCTGGTTCGCCAGAAGCGGCTTAGTCTGCTGGCCACATGACCCGGAAGCTGTATGCCGGCTCCCTCGGCCACTAAAGCGAGATGAGCGCCGCAACCCCAAAGTCAGCCACGACTGGACCTAATGGTCTGGGGTCCCTTTACCTTTACCTAAGGAAAAGAAGGACTTTCAAATTGGAAACCGGGATGGCTTCTGTGAATCTGGGACTGTACTTGGAAAAGAGGGAGGCCTCCAACTCATCCCTGACCTTGCATTTCCTGCATGCTCCAGGCAATCTGCACATTCTCCGGTCAGGATACAGAGTCTCCAAGAAACGTACTCTCCCCCCCCACTTTCCGTTGAGAAATGTGCAGTTATCTATATCCTCGGGCTGCTGTTTCTCTCCTGCTTAATCTTACCTGGCCCAAGACCTATCTCCTGCTTATCAGCCAGACGGCAGGAAGATGTGAGGGTCCCCGATAAAGATTAACTTTTTCCCCTGTTAACGGAAAAATCCGAGGGCTCCCTTGGACAAAAACAAAGACACCAACCAGGATTACTTGGAGCAAAACAGCAGCCTGTAGCCTTGGCCTTTATTGATCTGCTGCAACAAGGTGCTCCCCTCACCCGCAGGAGAGAGGAAGGACCCAGAAAAATGGTGTGCAAGGCCTTATAAAGACTTTTGAAATTGCCACCCTGTAGATCAAGACCACCCCCCGGAACATCATACATACATCACAGAAGGGGTGTAACCTAAGACCACCTCTCAGATACATCACACCTACATCACAGAAAAGGCGGTCTAAAACAGAAATTTGAATGTTGTTTTTCTCCTGTCTGGCAGGTTACTTGATTGGATTGCCTGGGTAGCCTGGCCAGTCTTTTGTAATGATAAATACTTAGTTCCTGGGCCAGGTCACAGGCTCACACCCTATTCATATCTTAAATGTGCCCTTAAGACAGGATTTGTGAGGAAAGAGACAATGGGGAAGTTTCCCACTTTGACCTTGCAGAGAAAACATTGGCTCAGTTTAGGAATCAAAATGGTTCCAGGTCTGTCTTCCTGTGCTGATCTATGTACGTGCTTGGTTGGTGCACTTACGAACATTACCATATATCTAAGACCATAAAATTCCTATCCCCTGCTTATCAGCCGGATGGTAGGAAGATGTGTGGGTCCCTGATAAAGATTATCTTTCCCCCCTGTAAACCGGCCCCAGCTGGTGAGATTGCAAGTGCATTCACATGACAAGCGTACGCTGGGTTTTTGTTTCAAAGCTGCCTCATTTATCATGGCTTCTTGTCCATGCGAATCCTGGGAACTGTAGCCGATTGAGGAGCTGAGAACCCTGTTAGAAATCTAATGGGGGATTCAGAGTCCCTGACGGCGCCATAAGTACTTTATCCCTGCTGGCAAAGGAATCGGAGAATCGTAGAGTTGGATGGGACCCACAGAGATCCTCTATCCCGACCCCTTGAGATGCAGGAATCTCAGCTAAATTATCCATGCCAGACAGCCACCCTACCTCTGCTTAAAAACCTGCAAGGAAGGATAGTTCACCATCTTCCCGACGGAGACGGTTCCGCAGTCAAACAGCAGAGTTAAGGGCAGTGCCTTTAAGATATAGCTAAACAAGCTATATCTTAGGGCCCCACTCTCTTGGGGGCGCCCAAAAAATTTAAAGGGAAGAAAACCTGGATGTACATTTCCAAAATATGAGATAAAAAACAAATAAAATAAAACCTACATT